GGCCATGGTGGGCGCTACACAAGCGTAGAGTGCTGAGTGAGTGTTGGTGGCGCATCGCCAAGCTGAGTACTGTATAGAACATGGAAGCCTGATGTACCTACCAGGTAGACGTGAAACGCATTGAGTCCTAGCCTCCCTGCTACTCGCCTTGTTCCGCGCAAATACGAGTATAAGAGACGCAGCTGCTTGCCGAGTTTGGCTTTGTTTGGACGATGACTTGACCCATGAAGCAGCTAGTGTCTTCTCTTACTTTTGCTTTGACCACTGCGAGGCTCCATGCCCTCCGCAAGACCGCAAAGATGAGTTCATCAGGTCCTGGCCAGGGCCATTTGCAAGGCATCAGTCGTCGAAGAAACAAAGAACTACCTTTCCAGTACCACGATTGTCTCCCTTCCATCGCGGAACATGCGGCAAGCAATGCACCGTTTCCATTCAGGTAGCCCTACTGTCTCTCTCAGTGCCAAAAGAAAGCATCTCCACCAAGCAACCGGAAACAGCCAAGCATTACAAGCCCCTACGATTGCTCTTCTACGCTGGCTCTACAAGAAGGTAGAGCGAGCTGCTATAAAAAACACTGTCCCCATACCGTGCCACGATCCATCGCCCATCAAAAGCCCGTGATCTCTCACCCTAAGGACTAAGCACTCTGAAGCTTTCTAGCGGACTGTCCGACGGCGTGTCACTAGCTACCAAAGTCGACTCCATCCACAGATGGTCTCTGTCTAGTGCCTCTACCCATGTGGCGATTTGGATAGTGCACGCATTGGGGCACCGGCATCTCCCTGTTTGCGGCTCTGACTGGCTGTGAGAGGAGGCACTTGTCAGTGGACCTTGGACCGCGTAGCAACCTTTGGAAGCTGAAAGAAAGAGAAAACCAAACGGCACAGTTTGAATAAAGAGGAGAGTCCGGAACCGGTAAAGCCCAGTTCTAGTCGGGCTCCGGTTATGCAGGCCACAAGCGGGGGAGTTGGACTGTATCTGGCTCAATTGTCAGATCTGACAGTCAAAATCAGCAGAAGTCTGCTGAGGCTTGAACTACCTTAGTACGTTGACAAGTTCTACAACTGTACGTGAGGTCTTGTTATACCAGCATACTCTGACTGTTTACTGCGTTGATACTATTGTGAGACTTTGAGCGGTACTGCTATGGCCTCTGCAGAGCACAGAATGGCGCGGATTGCAAGTTAAACAAGGGTCTACACGCAACTCTAGCCAATGCACATGCAACAGTCATGTCTCAGTATAATCTTGCAGTCTGTTTACCGAGGAACCGACTGAGGCCACGAAATACTTCCCACACAAATACCACCCAATCCATCTCGTTCTCCAGGTCCCTGGCACAAAGTCTCAGATCAATATTGTAACGCGACAAAGATGCTTTGTGTAAATTAAAGTGAATCAGCTTCTGCGCAGATACACGTGAATAGCTAATTAATACCCGTACCTCATGCAAGCGCCCTCCAAAATGAATACCTTGGCGCTAAACGACTATTGAATTTGTGTTCATGTGTTCAGTCTTTACCCCTGGTGCCTTGCAGCGGCGATGGTGATGCTGGTAGCCGTCTTGTTCCATGTACTTTCGGTACGTACCGATCGCCGCAAGATCAGGGCTGGCTGTCGAAAGGGAGGGAGGGAACAAACGTCCGCGCGCATCTTTCAACACCAAACTCCCTTGCATAAAGATATTCCAAGGCCAAGCTGCTTATCAACAACGCATTGTAAAACTCAGCATGGCATTTTCTCCCTGCTTTTTGTGCTGATGCCCTTAAGCACCACGCTGCACACAGGAGCATCGGCATGGAGCCAGCGGGCGTATTACAGCCTCTCGTCACATCTCTCAAACATACTGGAACCATGGGATCCCCCTAGCAGGGAAAGAAAAAAAAAATGCTGCATCCCGGGCTTTCCTCTCATCGGCCAGTGCCACGAGCAAGTCCTCGTTGATACGCAGGCATGGGATTCTTCTCGTTTGCGCCGAGACTGCCGTCGCATTTCGCGACAAATGCGGTCTCTTGTTGATCGACCCGGGCCTCGTCTTGGAGACTCAAGTACATAGACGGGAGCATCTCTCGCCATCAGCTGCGTCGGTACGGCACCCCTGCATGATTACGTGCTTCGGAACGCTGACAAGGGAGATTGCATGCAGGCGTACAAAAGGTACGGAGTGTCTACAAGCAGCAGTGCTCCGGCACAGATCACTTGTGACAAGAGCCAAAGCCCAGCCAACTTTGTCTTTCGCCGAAGAACAAGCTCCTGGGAACCTCCATCGCGAGCTCTCCAGCAGCTTTCCTAGCTCTCCAGCAGAGCTCCTAGGCCTACAGTATAAGCCATGCCCGAGGCAGGCCCGTCTGCCATGTGGTATCCAGCCTGTGCATCCCGCCTATGGATCTTGTTTCTGACCCGTCACGATCGTACAGGGCACCACTTCTACCCCTCCTCACCCCCGGCCGCTCAGCGCGCCATAGAGACGCCCCTCCCCTTGTCGCCTCTCTCGAACTGCAGGGCTTTGGCGGACGCTGGTTGGGGGAGCCCGAATCAAGGAGTGGCACTCCTGCACAACACCATCTGCTCAAAGCCCCAATGAGGAACGTTTCCAGGTATCTGGATGCCCGCCGCCGGTGGGTTAACCTTGCGAGGTAGGTAGTGCTGTTGGTTTGGTGGTGTCTTTTGACATGGGAGCTGGCTCCTCTCCTGCAGCAGTTTGACCGTGTGGCCGCAGAGATGCTACCTCGTAGGGGGGGCCAGGTTTATCCTTCTAGAGGACAAGAGCTTTAGCCAGTCAGCGTTTGACAATTCGAATCGATTTTCGACGTCTTTGCCCCCTCGTCCAGGAACCGCCATGGTTCTTACCGGCCTATAATAGTCATGACGGCATTGCGTTCACGACGACGAGTACAGACAGGGCCTCGTTGCCTAATATTTGATTTTTCTTTCCATATTATAAGTGCGTCCCGCGTCAAGAGAAAAATGATCTGATACGTATGACGTACTATGTACGATACTACAGGGCTTATTGTCGGCGGGATTCGCAGTTTTCGCTCCTTGGTTGCATGGATCACCAGAAACCCCTGCAATGTTTTTGCTTGCCTGTTTCCAGCTGAGAAAAAGCCACTATAGGCGGCCAATGCTACATGTCAGCTCAGTGCAAAATACTATTCATTTAAAGCCGCCGACTTTACTTCTTTCACCGCGTTTCGGAGAGCATTGACATAGCAACTGATGAATGTAGCTGGACCCTCAGCTTTCCAGGCAAAAGCAATAGCCAAAAGCCGACGTGCGTAGTAGCCACCATCTGCTATCACCGCTAGGCCGGCATGCAACTTATTTTTCCTTCTTAATTTTGTCTTCCGTTCGGAGTAGAACGTTGGTGAGGCGTGTCTCTATACTGCGGGGCTCACGACCTAATGAATGTTTAGTTAGCAAAAGCTTTTCATACACCACATCGTGAACTCGGTCGCCCGTGGGTCACAACTGGGAAAAGAGAGAGGAAAAAATCCGCTGCCATTGGACGACTTGTCGTGGGTCTCTCTCGGCATCCAATGACCTCGGCCTCCTGCCCTACGCACGCAAGAATTTTATCAGCTTACCTGATCCGGCACTATGCACAATGCATATGATAGAGTCTAACTTGCGGTAGTGGTTTGCTTGCCGTTGAGCGAATTGAAGTTTACGCCGTAGATAGTAGTATGAGCTAGGACTTTGCAAGCTGCCCTGCAAAGACTAGTAGCAGTAGTATTCGCTTTGAGAAAAATCCTACTGTACCCAGCGTCCCACTTCGTTTTGACAGTTTGCCGCCGTCACACTAGAACTTTTTGCCCTCTTGTCCTATTGGTTTTACTGTCCGATTGTTCCGCTCTTTCGCTTGGTTATTTGGACGGTGTTGGAACTGTAACCCTGGGGAAATGGCTGACGTTACTCGCCGAATCCCGAATTGGGCTGGAAGAAGAAGAAGAGTAAGTCATAGTATAGACACTCCATCCCTACCTACTTTAGGTTTCTACCAATGCGCGTTTAAGAGAAATCTTATCCCTTAATTGACAGGTCTGCATTACTGACTTCACCCGGTGATTCCTCTTGGAGATAACTGCGTTACTGGCGTGCTCGCAAGTACATTTAGATGCTGCACCTCTACGGAGCACATCTACAGCGAGAGTACTCAATACGGAAGCTCCGCCGCAGAGGATGTAGGGAGAGGTTGGATAATTCAAACAGCAGCTTGCATAGCCCCTTCAGGATGCAAAAAGCCAAACATGCTGTAAGGAGGCATCATTTGACGATGTGTCTTTGCAGCACGCCCCATACCATCTCAATGTACACTGCAGAAGACTACATGTGCCTAGAGCAACTGAAAGCATCTGTAATACGGCCTCTCTTTATGGCCGCATGTACGTACTCCGCACGCTACTAAGCAGGTACAGAATTGGCTTGGCTTGAAGAGATCGGTAGATCTCGCAACAACCCTGGCCTGGGACATGCTGTGGCTTGGGCCAGCACATCCAGCAGTTACTAAAGCACCGTAGCTGCAATATCTATGCCCAAATGCAAATATTTTTCCGAATAGGACCTGTGAAAATCAATGCTGTAGCAAATCTCCTGCGTCTCCCTACCAACCTATGCCCAGGAATTTGAAAATGCCCCTGCTGCACCTCACGTGTTCCGCAGCACCTGGCTGCTTAGTCATTGTTTACTTCGTTACGACAGCGACGTTGGCCTAAAGTGATGATGCACTGACGGGAGCCTCAAGCCCTCTACCCAGATCACCTTTTTCTCCCCCCAGCATTTCCATCTCTGCAAATTCCACGTTCCTTCTTCCACCACAACACATTTTCATCTCCAACTTTTCGAATTCCGTTTCATACGTACTGTTAAGCCGTGATATTGGTCGTTTTTTGCATTTCTTCTTTTCCTTTCTTCTCTGTATTATCAAGCATTTGAGTTTCCCCCACGCTACTAGCCCGTCTGGCCCTGCTCCAAGTCACAGCTCTGAGACATCTGCAGTCATGACGGCCACACCTACTCCTGAGCAGCGAGAGCTGCAGTTGATAGACAGCGTCGAGTTCAAGATTCTCAGCGTTGCAAACGTCGAAGACAAGCTCTGTGAGCTTTTGGGCCGCTATTTGGCGCCCGTCATTCTCAAGGCAGACAGCAGTCATGCCTCTGTACGAGTCAAGGTAAGGCTTCCTCGCTGATCATCAGCCATATTACTGGTCTCGATTTCTAAAGTTCTTTAGGTTATCCAAGTTTTGGCAAGGCTGAGAACATTTATCCAGCCTCCAAGGTACAGTAGCTTCTTTTTCTCTTCTCCTCTTCTCCTCCTATTTCCTCCCTTCTCCTCCCATCTCCTCTCTGCTGGTTTTATATCTAGTCGAGATTCATTGCTAACTTCCGGCAGTGTCGTTCTTCCCGTAAAAGCTCTACTCGAGCAGTACAAGTCAAATGACTCCAATGTCATCAAGCAACTTGATTTGCCATTCATCCAGCACAGTCTGAGTCGCCTCGATGAAGATAACAGGCAAGCCTTAGTTCCCATTGCACTACGAGGTTGTTCAAAGGACGAGGGCCTAAGCAGAGCACCCGCATTCTTCAACATCATTCTTCAACTTCTGATTGATGTCCGTCTACCTTCACGCGGAAGCAAGGACGATGAAGCTTTGAGAGCTTCTATCGGATTAGAAGACGAGGCAGACGCCAAGTATCTCGCCAAGATGCTGTCCATCTTCTTGCGTTTGCGGCCTCCAACTCCAAGCAAGACGCTTGCGGAGTCAAACCCCACCTTCTCTCAAGAAGAGATCACCTTGTTCTCTGTCGAGGGCGCCGGAACCGTGAAGATATTCCAGAATGTCTCTCAGCTGAGAGCCAAAATAGTCACGTTCCTCGCCAGCGCAGCCTTTACGGACGAGGAGAAATTCCTTCCGGCTTTATATGCTTCTTCAAGCCCCGACACAAGGGTGGCCTCTTCAGCAGAGGAAATAATCAAGAGAACATCAGTCTCATTTGATAATGAAGACTTGGTCAAGCGATTGTTCGAAGCTCATGCCCGGCTTCCCGCTGCCTATCGCACGCGAATTCTTACCCTCCTTTCCAAGTCAGCTATTGCTACGTCAATGTCTGAGCACATCATGAATGTTGTCAAGCTGGACTTTTTGCCAGCTTTCAGACAAGACTCTTCCACAGACGCACTCCAGCCGTCGAGCTCCCTGGAAAGAACAAAGTTGCACAAAGCTCTGTTCCAATTTCTGTCATGGGTTGCTCAAGTAGGCCCGTCCAACAAAGACTTCTCGATCGGTCCAAACCTCATTAAGAGTATGCAAAGCTATATCGAGTCACAAGGATGGCCAGTTCCGGTGCAAATATCTCACGATGAGACCCAACTTCGCTCGAGAGGTTATGAAACCATCGGAATGCTCGCGCGTTCCGCTGCTATGCCTTTTGAAGCACGAGTTGACTTGGCTGGCTGGCTCTTCCAATCGCTGTCTGAGGATCCTACCAATGACGCCGTGGTTAACATTGATGGAGCACTCTCAAGCCTGACATCAAATATCCCCAAGCATACTGCTGATGAAGACTCGAAGTTGAGGAGCATGCTCCTTAAGTACATGTCTCTTACTGAAAAAGCGCCCGCTGTACGAAGCACTCGCCATGCAGTTGTCAAGTGGGCCAATGAATGTCTTTCATTCACAAACATTGATGCTCGCTGGATAAACTTTATGGCTATCGCCGGTCGTCCCAACGAGAGAAGCGATGTCATTGAACAAGGACAAAAGGGTCTGGATCCGTGGACCTACTATGCCCACAGCGAGTTGGCTCCAGTTCTACCCGACTGGCGCGAGATGGTTCTCAAGTACTTCCACATTGCTTCCGAACTTCAACCCGAAGCTGATTCTGAGGCTGGCCACGGGGCAATAGTCCGACCTAATGACAGCGTATTTGCCAACTTCAAAGGCGATGCAATCCGCGCTTTTCCTCATGTCATTCAATATTGCAAGCAAATGATATTTCTCTCAGCCCTTGAAAACTTCAACGTTCAGCCGGATTGGATGCAGGCGCTTGACGCCCATATCAAAACAAGCGTCAACTCTCGCCAAAAGGTGCGAGTCCATTTGAGATACGGAGACCCGAGTTTTCTAAAAATCTTTCTGAGTGCTTGTCTCATTGGCTCTTCTGTCGAGGATGCTCCGATAGCAGAGGAGAGTCTTCGCTCTTTTGTCGAAGTCGCTTCTCTCGCTCCATTCAGAGTGGTTGGAGAATTTGCCAAAAACAATATCGCTCGCATATTGCCTCTTGTTAAATCCAATAAGACCGAGATAAGGCAATTGAGCGCGAGAGCTGTTGGTATCTTGGCAGCTCATCCGGCTGTGGACATTGACGAGGTTCAGAATTGGAGACTTACTCTCAATGCTTTGTTTGAGAAAGCTACAACGGCAGTTGGGCCAGATCTCAACGCCGCTGAAGGAGCAATAGTTGCCTATGGCCATCTGGCATCTCGATCCGTTTTCTACAACCATGCATCCGTGGCTGATTGGAAGTATCCCCTTCGTATCCTTGTCGAGGACAATGTTGTACCATCTCTGTTTGACGCAGCGGTCGAGTCCTTCACTCATCTATGGCTGGCAAAACTTGCCATCCCTCCGAAAGAAGGAGATACTTCCCTTGACAATGTTATCAAAAAGCTTTCTGAGAAAGCAAAGAAGGGAAATGAGAAAGCAATCGTTGCGCTTGGTATGCTAGCTGCGAGCATCCCAGATTCAGAACTTGCCGAATCGCCAGCTTCATGGTCAGAAGGTCCAGTTGGAGCCATCTTGACAGCGTTGTTCGCTCTTCATGAAATCAAGAGAGTTGAAGTTCAATTTGCAGTTGGCGATGCTATAACCATTGCAATTGCTCGCTGGGATTCGGATTATGTGAAGCTGCTGGTGGATGTGGAATGGCGAACTCGCGACTTCCAAGCCAAAGCCCGAACCCAGCTGCTCACAAGTGTCCTGGACAAGTTATTTGAAGATTGCAAGGCTACCAAACCATCTCTTCTGAAAGCTTCTGGTATCTGGCTTTTCTGCATCGTCCAATACTGCTCTGATCTCAAAGAGGTGACTTCCCGCCTACGGCAAGCACAGGCCGCTTTCATGCGTCTTCTCAGCTCAAGGGACGAACTCGTCCAAGAAACCGCCTCGCGTGGTCTGAATTTAGTACACGAGCGTGGAGACAACGAACTCAAAGCCGCCTTGGTCAACGACCTTGTGTCTGCCTTTACTGGATCGACCACCCAGCTCAAAGTGGAACATGAAACCGAGCTATTTGAGCCTGGAGCGCTACCAACTGGCGAGGGAAGCTCAGTTTCCTCCTACAAGGACATTGTCAACCTCGCAAACGAAGTTGGTGACCAAGGTCTTGTTTACAAGTTCATGTCTTTGGCAAACAACGCGGCTACGTGGTCGACAAGATCTGCATTCGGACGCTTTGGTCTCACTAATATCCTCTCAGACTCCGCGATCGACCCCAAGATATATCCAAAACTCTTCAGATACCGATTTGATCCGAATACAAATGTTCAACGAGCCATGAACGAAATTTGGAAAGCGTTGGTGAAAGATCCAAAGACGGTTATGGACACCCATTTCAACGCCATCATGGAAGAGCTCCTCAAGAGCATTTTAGGACGAGAATGGAGAATGCGAGAAGCCAGCTGTGCTGCCATTTCCGACATTTTAACTGGTGTCCCATTCCACCAATATGAGAAGTTCTATGGAGACATTTGGACAAAGGCTGTCAAGGTCCTCGACGATGTGAAGGGAAGCGTCAGGGAGGCAGCTTTTAGACTTTGCAGAGGCCTGTCTACCACTCTTACTCGACAGTTGGAAGAGGGAACTCACGAGTCATCCGCCAATGCTATGATGCAGAAGGCACTGCCTTTCTTGCTTTCTGAAAAAGCTGCAGAGAGCTCGGTCCAAGAAGTCCAAGCCTTTGCGATCATTACAATCATCAAGACTGCACGACACGGCGGTAAGCACTTGAAGCCGTTTATCCCGGAGATGATCCCCAAGCTTCTGGGACTTTTGAGCACCATTGAACCTGAGCGAATCAATTACTATTATCAACGAGTCGGCGAGGACAGTCGAGAGCAGATTGATAAATTGCGATCCAGAATGGTTAATGCGTCTCCCATCTCGGAAGCCATCGATAACATCCTTCGCTTTGTTGATGAGGACGTGATGGCAGAGCTCGCCCCACACCTTGAAGCAACTATCAAGACCGCCATTGGGATGCCTACCAAGATTGGCTGCAGCAGAGTTTTGACAACTCTCTTTACCCGCCATACGAATGAAATCAAATCTGTGTCTACTCGATTTTTGGAACTATTGGGCAAGCAGGTTCTGGACAAGAACGACGAAGTCAGCCAAGCCTACGCGCGCGCCGCCGCCTATATCATGCGAGTCGTCTCAGACAGCGCCAAGCAGCGATTCTCGGAGCGCATGTTGAATCTTTATCTTCAATCGGAAGAGGAGACTCGCCGTCAAAAAGTTGCGGATGTAATTGTTTCTCTGGCAAAGGTCTCCCCTGATCACTTTAGCACTCAGGAGACGCTTTTACTGCCATTTTCTTATCTTGGTGCTCATGATGTGGATGAATACACCGGCAAGGTATTCCAAGAAGTGTGGGAGCAGCATTCCGGCAGCAACCGAACCGTTGTTCGTTATGTGCCAGAGATTGTCAACCTTATTGAACGCTGTTTGGGTACGACTCAGTGGTCACTGAGACATACTGGTGCCTTTACCGTGGCTGCCATGGTATCGGATGTAGCCAGCGCCAGTGACACTACAGGCGCAATTGGAGAGGCCAACTTGAAGGCCATATGGCCAGTCTTTGAAAAGGCCCTCGCTCTAAAAACTTTTCCCGGCAAGGAAAAGCTTCTGGAGTCATTCCCTGATTTTGTTGAGAAGGGTCAATCTCTGTGGAGATTCAATGCTGACATTGCGGCCCAAATGAAGAAGATTGTTATTCGCGAAGCAAAGCGGAACAACGACGACTACCGTGTCCATGCTTTCCGCTGCCTGTGGCGATTTGCGAAGCTGGCGGATAACATTGACATGTTGCAAGACATTATCGATATTGTGACGCCTCACTTGGAGGACTATAAGGACGAGAACAAGATGGACGTGGATTCTAAGGAGGAAACTGTCATCAAGACTGCGAAGAACGGACTGGAGGCAATTGCACGCGGATACAGTCGCTCGTCAGACAGACGAGCCCATACCGTTGCAAATCAAATCATCAAGGCCCTTGAGACTTTCCTTTCGGATCCGAAGTTCAACGTTATCAAACGAGAGGTGTGGTATGAATCTGTCACTGATCTGATGAAGGATCTTGCGGCGTCTGAGCCTGCAGCTGATCCCTCTTCAGTCGATGGAGACGGTATCTTGCAGGCATATCTCAGCAGCTTGGATGTTGACAAGGCGGAAGTTGGCATTGAATCTCAACGACTCAAGAGAGCCGAGGCGGTCTCGGCGACGCTCCTAACTTATTCGAGCGGCGTGTTTGGAAAATCAACTGCACCACTGGATGAGTTTACGGCGGCAGTGAACAAGGCCAAGATCGAAGAACGCAATCCAGAGATTCAAAAGGCTTGGCAGAGAGTATTGGTGGAATTGCAGGAAGCTAGTGTCTAAGAAGACGAAGTTGGAATGAGGACGGTTGAATTGATTTGCTACGTTATAAACCTTGCTACAAGTTGTTTTTATTTTTCTGTTAGCCTCATATAAATGTATATTGAGGATCATAGGTATTTACGGATTCGAATATGGCAGGAAGCCACTCAAATGGATTATCTATATAAAAACAAATGAACCAATATGACTTGTTGCATGTGATATGATTTGAAAGAGAGAGAAAAGACAGACGAAGGCTCTCTTCATTGTATCTTCGATTAAAGTCTAGAAACTTCCAGCCATTTGAAACTTTTACCACTAACCAATTCTTTATCCTCACATTCCCAACATGGTCAAAACACTAACGCTATCAGCTTGCTATAGAACTAGGACATTGCAACAACACGCTGCACTCTAATCCCGTCACTGAAATCACGGCTAACATCCTGATGATAGGCAACACTTTGAAAATGGAGAACCAACAAGAAAGTAAATGATATTATCCTACCGAAGCCAGGTACTTGCTTGATTCGAAAATCGCGATGATCAGACCTTCGAGCACAATACGACTAGAGAAGAAAGAGGGAGAAATACTACAATTCCAACAAGAGGCGCCAAAATACGAGGTTTTCGATACTTCGAAAGAAGAGAAAGACGAAATACAAGCTTTTCGATACCTTGCATGCCAAGACCAAAGGAAGAAAAAGTAATTGAACGGAAATAGTACGATGCAGTTGAGAGATACCGTGCCGAACAAGGAGGATTGAAGTAGACATATGGAGCTAATAATATGGAATACTCGCGAGTAAAGTAATAGTCACGACGTTGTAGACCTCTGTTTTAGTCAAGGGGATCAGTTGAATGTATCTGAATGACAGACGCTGGTATCATTTTGAGATATATGTTGAAGATGATTCCAAGCTCTTCACATTCACGATACGTTCTCTCGGATTAATTGCCATGATGTAAAAGTTACTAGTTGCAGAAATTTGAAGGAAGTATACATGAAGACGCTGTTAATTTAATTATGATTCATCCTCGCTATGAAAAATTTCACCCTTAGGGCTACTAGTTCTCAGCTTCTCAAAAAAGTTTAAAGAGTGAGCCAATACCTATTGAATCTACGTTGGGATTACATCAATCTTAGTATGGGTAGGTGAAGCTACTATAGTCATACATCAAAAGATCTTTACCCAACAACCGCGCTGATAATTCCACACATCAAGTAAAGAAAAACGAAATCTAGATCCAGATATGCCGGTAATGCATCACGCTCGCTTATCTGCCTTTTCCTCCAAATCGTAGGGTAAGCATCATGTGGCGCGTTGCGGCATGACGGCGCTAGGAATGATCCGGCCGATTGGCTCTTCCAACGTACCTCCAGGTACCCGCCAGCAAGAGATCCTGCAGGAGGTACCTGCGCAAAGTCCCATGGCGGGGTGCTCCTGTTGCGTCATGTTCGCGGTGCCTGTGGCGCCGATGCGGCCTGTGTTTTATCACTCCAGCTGCCTGACAGTTACCTATCGCTATCGCGTCTACCTGACAGTTTTCAACCCTTCCTCAGTGTTCTGCGCGATTCGAACACCTGCTTCCCTGAACCCCGGCTTGCCACCAGTATTTTAGGGGCTCCAAGCCAGATTCACGCTTCTCAAAGCATTCGGATCCCTTTGGCTAGGGACGCATTGCTATTCTATACGTTTATTAACTGTGTCTGGGCACTACCGCAACTTACCCAGCGCGTGTGGGGCGGTATCTTAGTCCTATCTGACCGGCATTTATTGCAGTTCCCCGACTCATTTGACATTCAATCATCACCTGCTACCCGGTCCTACTGGCGAGAAGACGACCTCTTCTGGCGCTCCTGTCCTAAGAGAACAGTTCGACCCTCGTTCCACTAGCTGCCTTAGCACCTATCGGATACCTCAGCCGGTTGGGGGCGTTGTGGCATCACTTTGATCAGCCATGGAGGAGAGCATTCAGCACTTCACTGACATTACCGGGGCGAGCGTCGATGTGGCTCGAGGCTTCCTGGAGATCACGGGAGGAGACTACCAGCGGGCCATCGAGCTTTTCTTCGAGAGTCCTGATTTGGTCGGAGCTGGCGTTTCCAGCAACCCTCCCACCGCTTCGACATCTCGCCCTCCTGTACCATCCAGAACCAACATTGGCAGGGAAGATGCCAGCGGGGTGATCCACATCCCTAGTGATGATGAGGAAGAGGACGATGTCGACATGCAATTCAACGACGACGATGCCTTCGAAGCCGATGAAGACGAGCGAGTTGCCGCTGCGCAGGCTGCAGCCTACGCACAAGAAGAGGAAGATGCTGCCATGGCAAAGCGTCTGCAGGAGGAATTATACCAGGAATCGGGGCCAGCTGGCGGGAATGTCAGGGCTCCTATCGCTCGGACAACAGAGACGCTTGTGGCGCCGGACCCATCCTGGGGAGAAGAGGAGAGCTCAGCTATTTTGGAACAACTGAGAAGGAGGCGACAGATGCCCCGTAAGTCCGACCGTTCGTTTGATAAAGGAGGCGCTCAGCCAAAATTATATGATTATGGTTTCTAATCCTTCAATATAGTTTCATCCAGAGGCCCCTTCGGCCATCGGATATGGGGAGATGATACGAGACGTGCCGAGCTCGCGGGCGATGACGATACTACATCCGCCCATGCCAGGCGCCTGGAAGATTTGTTCCGACCACCATACGATCTGATGTCTCGACTATCATGGGATGAGGCTCGTACACTGGGCAAGGAAGACAAGAAATGGATTATGGTCAACCTACAAGACATGAGTGACTTTGGCTGCCAGATGCTCAACCGAGACATCTGGAAAGACAGAGCTGTGAAAGAGCTGGTCAACGAAAATTTCATTTTTTTGCAGCTGGACAAAGAATACCCTGATGCGGAGGAGTACATAACATTTTACTTCCCAAACAGGTCTCACGAAAATCCAGACAACTACCCTCACGTCTCCATAGTTGACCCTCGAACTGGAGAACAGGTCAAAGTATGGAGCGGGAAACCCTTCCCTAACGCCAACGAGTTCCATGCCGAGGTGGCCGAATTTTTGGACAGATACAGCCTTGCAGCCAATAGCAAGAATCCGGTTGCTAGAGCCCAGACAAAGAAACCTCAAGTTATTGACGTGGATCGCATGACGGAAGATGAGATGCTGGAGATGGCGCTCAAGAACAGCTTGGCTGGAGCTCAGGATGGCGGTTCAGGTTCGGGCTCGGGATCGACGCCGAGCGTTCATGATCCTGATGCATTGACCAAGGAGGAGGCTAAAAAGGCCGAAGAACAAGAGTCGCAGAGCCCATTTGCACAGATCTCCAGCGTAAACCCTCATGCTGAACCCGACAACAACCCCTCTACAACGACACGCATCCAATTCCGACACCCTGATGGCCGTATCATTCGACGCTTCAATTTGCAGGACCCTGTTCGCAGGATATATGAATGGCTCAAGGCGGAGCCGCTGCAGGGCAAGGACGGGATTGCTTTTGAGCTGAAGCAGATGCCCCAGGGACAAGATCTTATCGAGTCGCTGGATTCCACCATTGAAGAGGCAGGCCTGAAGCAAGGGACAGTCATGATTGAGCTAATTACGGACGAATAACGGCGCTGATGGCAGCTTTTTTACTATTGAATGACGAATGACGATATATAAGATGCGGAAACGGATCAGATCTCTTGATGACGCTTATTCAGCGTGGTCAGGATAATGATGACTGCATCTGCTTGATATAGACAAAATGGGATACAAATACCCGTCACGGGCGAACCGGTTCTATGATGATTTACTAGGCATATTTACCGCTTTTATAAGGGAGGAAACCGCTGATTACGAAGTACGAGGGACTTGGTAAAATAGAGGAGCTGTTATGCGCTTGGTTCTCCTGACCAAACGGGGAATTGCTCTTTGAGGGCTTTCTTTTTCTGCTTATTTTTCTTCTTCTCCCCTTTACCCCTTGGAAACACAACCTCTACCGCGTTGTGCTGTTTTAGGTAGACAATGCAAGTGTTTTTGACATGGGAAATTGGCGAAACAACAGGTCTCAGCCATGGTTTTTGACTTGCCATTCGCCCTTTGTTGCTATTCGCCCTTGTATTCGTAGTCAAGCAGTACACTTATTGTAGTAAGTAGTATACGCTGAAGAAGGGCTAACAGACACATTTGCTGCGCTTGTGAACCCCTGGTTGCGATTGGCGTTGCCCCGCAATAAACCCCACGAAAAGGTGGCGTAAACAATGGGCGACCAGCTGATTTGTTTTGATGCGGCGTTGGCTGTGGCATTTGTTTACAATACTGACAACCAACGGTTAGTCCTTTGATCAGTTTGCGCAACGTCATTGTTAATGGTACTGCTCGAATAATCTACATGGCGCTGCCGAGTCTTGACTCTTGAACCTGTGAGATGTCGCCGCCTTTGTATTGCTGGCTCTATTAATATGCACAAGTATACAGCATGCTGGGCAAAATGGCTGATCGCTGACGGCTGATCGATAAGCAAGCTCGAGCTGTGTTGCCGGTGCGACGGCCGGGATCGCCGCCTGTAAAACAGCGACAGGCACCCTACAGGCACCCACAGGCACTTGCAGGCCCCTGGGCGCAGGCACCACAGCGCCCTGCCCCTACAGCGGGAGCGCTTGTGCCGGCCCATGGTGGGGCTCACCGCCAGCTCCAAGCAACGGATACGACATTCGGCCGTTTCCAGCGCATGCCCTTTATCCCGTGCATCATCAAGCACCAACGCCCGTTGCCCGCTTCGCGCCCCGGCTTGCGACTCCCGTTTACATAAACCGAAAACTGGCTTTTGTCGCTCTCTCACACACGCGGCGAGCCGAGCCATCATTGAGCGCATGGCTTTATGATCGCGCAGCGACGACATTGCCCTCTTGGTGGACGCGCAAGTAGCCGCTCCCATTCACATTCCCGCCCATCGGCAGCGCAGAGCCGGTGACGAGAATTACATACCAGCACAGACGCCATGGCGGAATCGCACTCCCGCTATACGGACGAGGCCAACGAGGCTCTGGATCCGGAGCTTCTGTACACGAAGGAATACTGCATTGGTCAGTTTGCTGGTCGGGGGATTGTCTAGTTGTCTTGGTCGTGGTCCCTAATGCTGTGGTGCTTGCAGGCGGTGGTAGCTTTGGCAAGGTGTTCAAGGGGTACGTCGTGAGTTTGCATGTTCTGCGTTATCGAGCCGGGCTTTTTTCCCTCGTGATCTTTTCCCTTCTCTCTAGCGAGGTTGATTGAGATTGCTGGCGACTTTTGCTGACTTGTCCTCCTGTGCCCTTTTAGAGTCGACAAACGCACTGGCCTCTCTGTTGCCATCAAGATCATCGACGTTGAAAATGCCGAAGACGAGGTCGAAGACATCATCCAGGAAATCGCCATCCTGTCCGAACTCCAGTCGCCATATGTGACCAAATACTACGGATCCTATGCAAAGGGCGCAGAGCTATGGATCGTCATGGAGTTTTGCGCAGGCGGCAGCTGTGCTGACCTGATGAAGCCGGGGATCATGGGCGAGGATTACATCGCAATCATCATAAGGGAGCTGCTGATGGGTCTGGACTATCTCCACGCGGACAAGAAGCTACATCGTGACATTAAAGGTAAGGGCTCATAGATTCGCCACGACCATTGCAAAAATCCTTGGGAGTATGTTTACTGACGCTGTTGCTAGCGGCCAATGTCTTGCTGGGGGCCAACGGTCAGGTCAAGCTGGCTGATTTTGGCGTTTCGGGCCAGCTCTCAGCAACCATGACAAAGAAGAATACATTCGTCGGAACTCCCTTTTGGATGGCACCGGAGGTCATTAAACAATCTGGATATGATCACAAGGCTGATATTTGGTCACTCGGTATCACCGCTCTCGAGCTCGCAAACGGCGAACCTCCTTACGCCGATATTCACCCCATGAAGGTCTTATTCCTCATTCCCAAGAATCCACCACCAAGGCTGGATGGAAATTTCACAAAGGCCTTCAAAGATTTTGTCGAACTGTGTCTGCAGCGCGATCCAAAGGAACGACCGACTGCGAGAGACCTACTGCGGCATCCATGGATTCGAAAGGCAAAAAAAACTACATACCTTACAGAGTTGATTGAGCGGCATAGCAGATGGGCGGCGACACACAAGACGGAAGATGAGGACTCTTGGGATATCCCCGAGAGCGCACCTCCCGAGCGGACGCGGGTAAATGAAGACATGTGGGACTTTGGCACTGTCAGGCTTGTCAATGATCGTGGTGGTGTTGTCAACCGGCCGAGTAAGCTCAATCCGCTCGGTGCAAGTGCTACTAACACAAGAGCCACGCGGTCTTCTGAAAACTCGGACGATTACGGCGAAAGGCGGCGCGAACCATCAAGCCCAACAAAGCTGAGACCAGAACATGTCCTTCAGCCCAGTGATACTCTCAAAGCGGCCAATGCATCCAGCGCGGGAACATCGCGGCAAACGAGCCCTCAGCGCAAACCGATCCCTCACGCGGTACAGCAGCGCGGATTTGTGTCGAAAGCAGCTCCTGCACCCCCTAGCCCCGTCGTAAAGACCTCGAGCTGGGACTTCTCAGGTGCCACACCAAAGGCTCCAAAGATTGTCCCAGTGCCAGTGATGGCCCCGGCGCCAGAGCCTCCCTCGCCAGATTATGACCGAGAATTGCAGGCTCAGCTGCAGCGCGATATGGGAATTCTGAATCTGAATATAGAGTTGCCCGACCCTGTACCAACACCCTCGCCTCCTCCCCCTGCAGCTCCGGTGCATCGAGTCATTTCCATACCTCCCGGGTTTGAGAGACCAGTACCGCCAGCTCATGGCGTTTCACCTCGATCAACGAGCACAAAGTTGACGCATTACGATGTGCCGGAAATCCCCCCTTATAGAGGCCCGTCCCCTAAGCCACCGCCGCCTCAGGCTACCGTTGAAAAGCGAACGGTGACACCGGTCATTGCGCAGACCTCAGCGTCTAGAGTATCTGCTTCATCGCCCAAGAATACAGAAAAGCGAACGGTAACGCCGGTTCTGGCACATACTTCGGCGTCCAGAGTATCTAACTCATCGCCTAAGAATACTGAAAAGAGGACGGTGACACCGGTTATGGCTCATACTTCGGCATCCAGAGTGCCTGCTGCGTCGACAGCTGCGCCTCCGGTTGCGCATGGGCATGGGCATGGGCCATCGGCATCAGTATCGTCGTTGCGATCACAGGGAAATTCCTCAGGAATGTTGGATAACTTTCCTTCGCCCCCAGCTGCGAATCCAAACGGGGAACTTGACGCCCTCAACGACGTCATCTTTCCCGCCCTGGAGGAGGCACTCAAGAGACGGCAGATTCGCCTTCAACAGATGTATAGGTCTGTGCAGAAAGGCTCTACAATGTCGTCCAAACAGCAGCGAGCCGAGGCTTCTCATGAGAAAGTTCGTAAACTTGTCTATAAGCTAGCACATGTTTGCAAGGAGATTGATTACCACGACAAAGCTGAGCCTGTAGGTATGGGCCGTGACGTGGGCAACTTTTTGGAGGGGCTGCTTGAGGAGATTTTGGTTCGAGTCGAGCCGTTGGATGAGGAAGAGGTGTAGTGGATGTTGGAGAGACGAACGATTTTCTTGTACGGAATAGCCTTGAATGAACTAACGAACTGTACTGTTTCTGGGAACTGGGAAAAAAAAAAAAGAAATTGAGGTAAGCTTCTACTACACGAGGGCATGAAAGCAACGACGAGAGAAATATGCCCACGAGACTGTTAGCCCTAGGACACCCTTGGGCGGTAGAAGGCTGGGTATGATTGATGCGAATGCGTTTGTAAGAGTGACGACGACACTGATAATTGGGTATGAAGGGAATGAATGAATGGGAACTGACTGGAAATTACTTGTTAGAAGGAGTGCCTTTTACATGATTTCAATTGTTGTATAACCGAACGAGGAGTAGCCATAGAATTTCTTATTATTTTAGGTAGCTGAGTACTAGCTCTGCAAATGTATGACTTGATGAACATGCTCGAATAATGGCTCACACGCGAATTATATGAGGAGAACAGGGTAGTAGTAGTAAACGTAAATTAGAAGAATCGTGAGCGACATGACGTTGAGCTGGAATTACCGAGTTTGGCAATAAAGGCAGATAAAACGCCCATCGCAGCGCTCTAGTCCCGAACAAGCAACAGCGCTAAGCCCGGAGCTGCGCTCGGAAAGACGTCGCATTCCGCTCCTTGAGCCGAAGTTTCCAGCTAAAAAACGGAGCAATGGAAGGCTGAGAGGAAAAAAAAAAAATTAACGAAAAAAATGCCTGCTGGCGGCGCCGCCGGCACAGGCCGAAAAAAAGAGCTCGGCTCAATCAATTGGTACGGAGCCTATCAAACGGTCACTGCGGTAATTTGGGGCGCTGGGCGACTTTTTATGAAACCTGTTCCAAAAAAGAAACTCTTCTCCTCTTTCTCTCTTCTTTTCTCTCTTTTTCCTTAAGTAAAAAGCAAACTCTCCTCTCTTCTTTCTCCTAATTTTAATACTTTTTCCCTTTTGGTCGAATAGGGAATCCTTTTGGATCGTGCACCTCTTTTCTTCTGTGTCCAAGATGTTGTCGCGAAGCTCTCTCCGGACCGCGCAGGTACGTGGTTTACTTTTGTTCTCCTCTTTTTATGGATAAGAGGGTTTGAGAATGGGATCGAATCTGGGAGGAAAAGAAAGGAAGCGAAAGACAATGGAATACGATGCATTGCGAAAGAGTGGTTTTCCCTCTCTCTTGGGGATACGCCCGGATGAGGTGGAGGGGCTGGTGGCTTAAACCGAGGCGATTCTCGCGAGTTTTTTTTTTTTTTTGCTTCCAAGGTTTGAACATGAGGACCAGCGACTGACAAGCAATCAACGCCAACAGGTCCTCCGCGCTGCTGCCCAGCCCCAGCAGCTCAGCCGATCCTTCGCCACGGTCCAGTCCGACATCTTCAAGCCCGCCAAGTTCGGCGGCAAGTACACCGTGACCCTGATCCCCGGTGACGGTATCGGTGGAGAGGTTGCCGAGTCCGTCAAGACCATCTTCAAGGCCGACAACGTGCCCATCGAGTGGGAGCAGATCGAGGTGTCCGGCGTCGAGGAGAGCGCGCTGCGGACCGAGGAGGCGTTCCGCGAGAGCGTCGCCTCGCTCAAGCGCAACAAGCTGGGCCTCAAGGGCATCCTGCACACGCCCGTCAGCCGCTCCGGCCACCAGAGCTTCAACGTGGCCATGCGCCAGGAGCTGGACATTTACGCCAGCATCTCGCTGATCAAGAACATCCCCGGCTACGAGACGCGCCACAAGGACGTCGACCTGTGCATCATCCGTGAGAACACCGAGGGCGAGTACTCGGGCCTGGAGCACCAGAGCGTGCCCGGCGTCGTCGAGTCGCTCAAGATCATCACCCGCGCAAAGTCGGAGCGCATTGCCAAGTTTGCCTTTGCCTTTGCCCTCGCCAACGGCCGCAAGAAGGTCACCTGCATCCACAAGGCCAACATCATGAAGCTGGCCGACGGTCTGTTCCGCAGCACCTTCCACCAGACCGCCAAGGAGTACCCCACCCTCGAGGTCAACGACATGATTGTCGATAACGCCTCCATGCAGGCTGTTTCGCGCCCTCAGCAGTTTGACGTCATGGTCATGCCTAACCTGTACGGAGGCATCCTGTCCAACATTGGTGCCGCCCTGGTTGGTGGCCCCGGTATCGTCCCCGGCTGCAACATGGGCCGCGAGGTTGCCGTCTTCGAGCCCGGCTGCCGTCACGTCGGTCTTGACATCAAGGGCAAGGACCAGGCCAACCCCACTGCCATGATTCTCAGCGGCAGCATGCTCCTGAGACACCTTGGCCTTGACGACCACGCCAACCGCATCTCCAAGGCTGTCTACGGCGTCATTGCCGACGGGTACGTTTCTCTCTTTCCATTCTTTCTATGATATGACGGTTACTGACATCTTCTACAGCAAGGTCCGCACTCGCGACATGGGCGGCGAGTCCACCACCCACGAGTTCACCAAGGCCATCCTTGACCGCATGGAGACCATCTAAATACCTCACACGGAGCCGTAAGGCAAGAAGATACTTTACTTTACACCTAGCACGACCACTATCGACATCCCACACCTTTCTCACATTACCCCGACCAGGCGTGTTTGGAAAAAAAAAATGATACCTCAGACCTTGAAAACAGAAGGCGATGTGGAGCGGCGTCGCTGGAATTATATATTAAAGGGCAAGAAACAAATTAAGGCCAGATAAAATGGTATGGAGGCGGAGGGCGATTGTGGAGAAAAATGACAACGGTGGGGAGAATGGAGGAGGAAAAGAGAGTGTACCTATGTTTTAACATGAGCGTATGGAGCAAGGCCGCAGTCTGAATATATAGACTTTTTTTTTTACAAGTACATGATTATTGATATCACATGTGGGCTTGAAGCATTGTTTTGTGAAGTGGCTAGAGGCATGGGCTATGTGCACCCATATTGATCCAAATTCGAATTTACACACTGAGAGAACTCTGCTAATCTATAAGCTGCTCTAGTTGGCTTTGATATACAACTTTTATATGCATGATTGAGTCTGGATCGATTGATTGTCAATTACGCGCAGACTCAGGGGTTGTCACTGCTGCGACGATCCGGCTGAGGCCCTCTTCCAGATAGTCCTTGTCATGAGAAAAGACAATACGGAACCAGCCTGGCTTCTCGGATCCAAAACGTTCCCCCGATGCGAGGAAGACTTTGTGTTTCAGCAGGGCATTCATAACGACGTTGTCAAGATCCTCGGGCTTGATGGCATTGGCAGCGATATCGTCCTGGTGTTTCAGATATGATCTTCCTAGATCAACCCAGAGAAAGAACCCAGCGTTAACGCCCGGCGCATAGACAATGTCGTTCTTTTTGGCCCAATTGGCGATGTAATCGTAGTATTCTGCTAGTTTGCGCTGGTTCTCCTTGATGTAGTTCTCTACCCAGGCGTCATCTTCTAGGACATTGGCAAATACATGCTCTGAGAGAGATGAGATTGTGGTGAATAAGACTGCAGAGCCTAAAGCCGTCATCAAGTCTACATTGTGCTGCGAGATAATTGCGCCCAGGCGGAGACCGTTTGCGCCAAAGTCTTTGGACATGCCCCAGAGGACGTGGACAAGCGAAGGGTCTATCAGGCCTGTGGGATCGATGGAAAGAACGGAGTGGAAAGGCTCTGCGGGGGGTTCCGAGTCTATCTTGTTCTCGAATATTGAGAGGGCGTAGATCTCGTCGCTGATGAGATGGAGCTTGTACTTGTTGCAGAATTTGAGCAGGTCGATGAGGACGTTGCGGGAGTAGCATCGTCCGAGGGGGTTATGCGGGTGGCAGAGCAGCAGACCGGTGACTTTTTCACCTCTTGCTCGAGCTTCCAAGAGCGCATCTTCGTATCTTTTGACACAATTCACCCCGAGAGGATCATCTTCGCCAAAATCGACAAAGGCCAACTTCGTCCCCGTCCGAAGCGTCGCATCACTCGGAAAAGCCCCGTAATACGGCCTTCCGAGAAGGATACGCTCGCCCGGATCGGCAAAAGCCCACGCCAGATGCTCGACTGCAGAGGTACACCCGCTGGTAACGGCGACATGCTCCGGCTTTATGGGATGTATAGGGTGTAGATGCTTCGAGAGGAAGCGCGCAATGGCGGTCCTGCCGCGCTTCCAGAAGTCGCCGTAGGTGAAGGCCGAGGTGGGCACTTTGAGGTTGGCGTGCAGGTGCTCTGAGAGGGAGTCATGCATGAGGTAGTTTTCTGCGACGCCGAGGTTGACGTAGCCGGATGGGTTGGAGTTGGCGTGCCAGTTGTCGAGGATGATGTTGAAGGAGGGATCGGGGGTTGTGAGCTTGGAGGCTCGGGATGAGAGGGCCATGTTGGATTAATTACGGGTTTTTCTTATAAGTAGTCAAGGAAAGATTTATAGAGGTGAAAGGAAGGTGAAAACATGATGAGAAGTTAAGGTATTTAGCTGGAGACTGAAAGGCGCGTAAGACTGAGTGGAGATGTAAGTGGTGGTTTAGAGGATGGGTTAGGGATATACGGTGATTTAGCCGCTGCTAGCAGCAATACGAAGCAGATCTTAGTAGCATGACCCCCAAATAAGCTAATTAGTATCATAGGATCAGCTACTGATATTGCTTGCTTATTCTGCTGAGTAGCATTCGCCGGAAGAAATGCTTTGGCGGAGCATGATAAGCATCTGCTGCTTCTGAGTTGGTGTGTACGGACCGTCGGCCGACTTGCGGGCAGAGTTACGTCAATGTAGAAATTTAGATGAGACAGCGGTATCTATAGGCGAGGAACTGCCTAGAGTGTAACTTATGGCGGGGTTTTAGGCTCGTATAAGCTGCAAGCTCTCTGTTAATTTCGATCTATGCTCAAATACCACCTACAGTCTTTAGTCCACAATTTTTCTACCTGGGTATAAGTGAACTTGTCTTTGGCGACGAGATGTCCCTTGTATTCGTCAAATCAAACGACGCATCATTTTTTCAATATCCATTTCATAATTATTGAATGACTCAATTATTTGAATTTTACCATTCCCAATTCACACTCAACCCGATAAATACATGCCAGCCAGCCCAGGCCAAACGCTCAGCTGTAAATGGCATGCAGCGTATCGGCCGGATCGGGGAATTGAATTCCCGTCCATTTAAGGAAAAAATTGCCCTGGCGCCGACCCCTCCATTGGTCGCATGGCGGGGTGACTCCGATTTCTGCTCTGACTCGAAGAAGCCTGTGCGAAAGCGGATATTTTTTTTCTGTTTCTATATATTTCAAACCTCGTCACGACAATTCCACCAATTTGACTCCGCCGACATCCCTAGACGCCCATAAATCGATTCAACATGGCGGACAAGCAACCCACTGCCGGCGATGCGCCTGTCGACGCTGCCGCTGCCGCTGTTTCCAAGCTGCACCTTGACGAGGTCACCGGCAAGATGGTCTCCAAGACTGAGCTCAAGAAGCTACAAAAGGCCCGTGAGAAGGAGGCCCAGAAGAAGGAGAAGGATGCTGCCAACAAGGACAAGAAGCCCGCGCAGGCCGCTGGCAAGAAGAATGCTGAGGCTTCCGAGAAGGAGCTCACTCCTAACCAGGTATGTTTATGCGATTGAATCTTGTCGCGCGACCATTGAATTCTCTGGATTTTTTCTAACACGGCATATCCATGCAGTACTTTGAGATTCGATCAAGAGCCGTCAACGAGCTCCATGCCCAGGGCAAGGCTTACCCCCACAAGGTGCGCTCGTACTGATACCGACGAATATACCGTTGATTGCTCATCAATCCCATAGTTCCATGTTACATATGACATCCGCAAGTTCGCCGAGGAGTTCTCCAACCTCAAGAACGGCGAGTCCGACACAACCAAGAAGATTGCTCTGGCTGGCAGAGTCTACGTGAAGCGGTCAGCTGGTAGCAAGCTGTTCTTCTACGATATCCGCTCCGAGGTGCGCTTCTATGCCTGGATATTTACATATGCCTAGGCCACGCAGTCTGACAGCTTTTAGGGTACTCGTCTCCAAGTCCTTGCCCAGGCCGACAACCGCGAAGAGGGCACTCCCGAGTTTGACGAGCAGCACATCAACCTCCGCCGTGGTGATATTATCGGTTCGTAGATGAAATATTTCGCTTCATTTGCGAATACCTACTTACACCCATCATAGGCATCCGTGGTTACCCTACCCGAACCAACCCCAAGACCAAGCAGGGATCTGGCGACTTCTCTGGCGAGCTTTCTATCGCCGCTGTCGAGGTCATCCTCCTGTCACCATGCTTGCACCAGGTAAGCCATTACAATCGCGCGATCCACAACTATTCGCCCTCTGACTTAGTTCCAGATTCCCGATGACCACTACGGCTTCAAGAACCCCGAGCAGCGATTCCGTCAGCGATATCTCGATCTGATGATGAACGACAATGTCAGAAATGTCTTCCTCACCCGCGCCAAGGTTGATTCCTACATCCGTCGCTGGTTTGACGACCGGGATTTCATCTCAGTGCAAACCCCCATGCTCAATGCCATTGCTGGTGGCGCCACCGCTAAGCCATTTATTACTCACCACAACGATCTCAACATGGACATGTTCCTCCGTATCGCTCCCGAGCTGTACCTCAAGATGCTTGTTGTCGGTGGATTGAACCGAGTCTACGAGATGGGACGACAGTTCCGAAATGAGAGCATGGATTTGACCCACAACCCTGGTAAGCTTTTACTTCATGACTTCTTGAATTTAGAAATAACGCTGACCTTTTTCTAGAATTCACCACTCTGGAGTTCTATATGGCCTATGCCGATTACTATGACCTCATGGACATGACCGAGAGCCTTGTTACTGGCCTCGTCAAGCACATCCACGGCTCTTACAAGACCAAGTACCACACCATCAACGGCGAGGAAATCGAGATCAACTGGGAGGGCCCATGGCGCCGAATTGAGATGATTTCCACTCTGGAGGAGTGTGTCGGCGAGAAGTTCCCTCCTGCTGACGAGCTCCACACCGATGAGGCCAATGTGTTCCTCAAGAAGATCCTGAAGAAGACTGGTGTCGAGTGCGGCGCTCCTTTGACCAACGCCCGCATGCTGGATGCCCTTGTTGGAGAGTTCTTGGAGTCTCAATGCGTAAGTGCTTGCAAAAAATTCGAGAAACATGGGTTTGTCTGCGATCTTGACTAACACTGAACAGACTAACCCTACCTTCATCACTGGTCACCCCAAGATGATGTCCCCTCTTGCCAAGAGCTCTCGCAGCATTCCTGGCCTTTGCGAGCGATTCGAGGCTTTCGTCTGCAAGAAGGAAATTTGCAATGCGTAAGTAATTTCGGCATGAGAAAGATGACCTAGTTACTGAAAAAGAGTATAGCTACACCGAGTTGAACGTTGCCACGGAGCAGCGTGAGCGATTTGAGGAGCAGGCCCGACAGAAGGCCCAGGGTGATGACGAGGCTCAGGGCGTCGATGAGACCTTTTGCAAGGCCCTCGAGCACGGTCTCCCTCCCACCGGTGGTTGGGGTATGGGCATTGATCGAATGATGATGTTCTTGACCGACAACTACAGCATTAGAGAGGTCCTGGCTTTCCCTACCATGAAGCCAGAGCAAAACAGCGTCCCATCTGACAAGCCTGCTGTCGCCCAGGAGGCATCGACATCTGCGAATTAAAGGCAAAAAAGGGGAGGGAAAATTTGAATAAAATGAGGCGAAATTATTTGCCTTAGATGAAAACTTGATGAACATGGCTAGAATGCTGATATAAAGCAGTAGCATCATATCGATGAATGAAATTAAAACAAGAAGAATACATTTTTCACCGCAGCAAACACGTAAATGGGTCTAGCTAGCAATCTGTAGCAAAGTCAAGCCTGGCTTGAATGATAAAAGGGTATCAACAATTCATATATATCATATGTATCTGGAAAAGAAATTGTAAAAGATCGAATGCGCCACTAACGCCTAAACCATGCAACGGAGCTCTCTTCTCATATAGTCGGCTTTTAAAACTGAATGCGACGCTTGCGGCCGGTGTACTTGGACGTGGCCTTGACAATCTTTCCTTTTCGCTCCATCTGCTCCTTCTTCTTGACGATCCACGCCTTGCTTCCTTTCTTAACCTGGGTGTTGTTCGCCTTGAGTCTCTTCCTGGCGTCCAGAACATCAACGTTGTCCATGCCGCTGACCACACCAGTGATGTCTGTGTTGCCACCTTCGTTGTCATTATTGCCCACAGTAAGGACGAGATACAGCTTGACGTTCTTGGTGCCGGGGTCGTCCTCAAGGAGACCGGCGCCGAAGCCGGCCTTGACGGCAGCCTGGGTGATCATGTTGCGCTGGGTGTCGTTCTTGGGGTAAAACTGGCATACAGCACGGCCCCCTCTACGCAGCGACGCATACAGACCGTTGAAGAAGCGATTGAGCCGTCCCGTAGGCGAAGTCTCGCTCGATTCTGCGCTACAAAGCCACTGGATGGCGGAGATGCTGATGGCGGCGTCGAAGGAGCCCGCGCGGAAGGGCACGCCCTGGCCAATGTCGGCAAGCATCAGGTCACCCTCGACGTCGCGCTGCAGCGCAATGTCCAGCATGGAGGGCGAGACATCCATGCCGATCCAGGTGTGCGGCCCGCCGTCGGAGGGGTCGACGGCGGAGAGGATCTCGCCGGAGAGGCCGCTGCCGCAGCCGATGTCGAGAATGAGGGAGGGCGCTTTGAGGTCGAGCAGCTCGAGGGCGCGGCGGGTCATGGAGGCTTGGATGTTTTGGATACGGGAGCTGGTGGTGTATTTGCGGGCTTCGGTGTCGTCGTAGTGGACGTCGGCCGCGCTGAGGAGACAGTTAGAAGAGGATGGGATGAATGATGGCGGGGGGAAGGGGGGAGAGCGTACAGAGAGTCCTCGGGGCGAGACATTGTGGCGATGTGAGTGTAATTTTAGATCGTGTAGTAGTGGATTGAGAGAAATTGCTTGCTGTGCTTTGAAATAGTGAAATGCGACGCTGAGGATGATGGTCTTTTTGCTTGGGTCATTGAGTCTGCGATGCGATGGGGCATCATGATCTTTTTTTGTGGGTGTTATCGATAAGCTTATCGGAGCTGACGAGGTGCATGGCAAGTAACACATGCCAAGCTTCGTACACGGGCCTGCGAAGCTCGACATGTGATGATGGTCTACTTTGTCGCACCACCCTAGCAAACGGCTGATAAGACTCAGAAGAAAAAGCAAACTTGACTGTTGGAAAACTCTTTTGACTAATTTTTCTTTCTTTTGTTTTCGGATACATAGATAATAGATAACATCCTGCTGAAAACATCATATTGTTTGCATCTGCCTTGAAGCTTATCGGAGCGGGAAAAGTTATAGTTCCGTATGACGACAGGCATCCCACCCAAGCTCATCCCATACTTGAGTACATGAACGTGTCCACAGCTACAGCTAACCGCATCCTTGCTTTAATCTAATCTAAACGAGCCGCTCTTCCTCGTTCATTCATTCGTTCATTCTCAAGCTTCTTCTTCTTCTTCCTCTTCTTCTTCTTCTTCTTCTTCCTCTTCTTCTTCTTCTTCTTTCTTCTGTCGTAACTCATACCCCTCAGCTCAACTTGACCTTCTAGCCATATACTACACCACTAATACGCCAAGATGTGGATTCTACCGCTGCTGGGCTATGTCGGCGCCATCATCGGCTTCTGCTTCTTAACCTTGTCAATCGCGTCTGGGCTCTACTATCTTTCGGAACTGGTGGAGGAGCATACCGTCTTGGCAAAGCGCTTACTCACACGACTGATCCAGATCATCATTGGCGTGCAGGTTGCGCTCTTGATCGACGGCTTCCCCTTCTGGGCGACTGTCTTGGGAATTGTCTGCCATGTGGTGTACTTGGGTAACTTGCGGCGGTTCCCATATGTGCAGCTGACTGACCCGCTGTTCTTGCTCTCTTGTGGTATGATGCCCTGTCCAGCTTGATCTCTTGGAGAGAGTACCTACTAACGTTCTTCTTTAGTCTTGGTGCTTCTCGACCACTATGTGTGGTTCCGATTCTTCTCCAACCACCAGGAGCGAGCCTACGCCCGATCTTCCTACTACGAGCATGTGGACGTTCCGACCTTTACCATGATTGCGTCCTACTTTGGCATATGCGTCTGGCTGATTCCTTTTGCGCTCTTTGTGAGCTTGTCTGCTGGCGACAATGTCCTGCCTACCATGGGCACGGAGCCTGTTCGTGGCGTGGATGGCAAGAATAAGCCCCAAGGCTTGGTCAAGGCGCTTGTTGATTGGGTTCGAGGGTTGATTGGAGATATGGCTGGCAGCGGGATGGACCGGCCGTAAGAATATAATTGTCCTTGTCAAAATGGGGCAGGGGCTGTCTTTACTATGGCGAGGCCGGCCAGTCTCAAATAGATTTGAGGCCGATTCGCTGAATTGAGGGTCCACGGTATCAGGTGTCTACCTGCTTTGGCCATCTGATTTATGTCGTTACTTTTACATGGTAATTTGATATCCGTCTGTTCTGTCCTATTGTTACTAACAACGCTTACAGAGGCATTTCTTGGCTGGGCAAGCTGCATACGATTTATTATAATGATGCTACTCTGTAATCTGGATCGTTTGAACGTCAAGACAGGTGTTATGCTTGTCGAATGAGGAGTAGCGCATACTGAAATGCTGCGTTGTATAATATGTATCATATGGGTAAGGGATAAGGTGCAGCACGCGGCGTTCTCTGCTTGTGTATTCATGTATTGCCCCAATATCGTTAGTATTTAAAGCTACAATTTCTATGAACTGGCATCTTCAGTCGACATTATTCAGCTCATGGGTGTTCATCTTTCTTAGTAGGCTCAAAAGAAATGAGCTTTTTGAACTTGTGTAGCCCTTGGGTAGATGAGATTGATAACAGAAGAAGAAATAAGGCGATCAGTTGATCATCTAGACGGCTATCTGAAGCTCACTAACGCATCTTCCGCTTCCGCTCCCTTCACACACTCGGGCAACGCATACAGTGCTCTGTGGCCCATCTGCAAAGAACTCAACAATTACTCATTCTCGCATCGCGCGAATATTCGGTATCCTTGTAACCCTGTTGTACACTAAAAATACAAAATCGCAAGACATGTGTTTATCAAGACTTGTTGTTGCCTTCGCCAGCTTCCCAGAACTTCTTGTCTACCTTGTCGTCCGGCGCTGTATGACCGTGATCAAACTTCTCTTCGAAGTCTTTGTTGCTATTGGCAAGATGTCGTGTTAGCTTTTTATTTTTCTCTTCCTTTTTTTCGTATTGTCCAAAAGAGGATAATGGCTCTTACTGTTGCCGCACTTCCTCCTTTTGCTCTTTCGTGAGTTCCTTTGCCTTATTGACACCCGGCATGCTCAGATTAGAGATCTTGGGCTGCGGAGCATGGTTTCCTTGCGACTCCTTGCTTTGGTCGGGCTTTTCGTCTCCTTCGAGCTTGACGGCGGAATTGAAGCGCGGGATTGTCTGGTGGAAGGATCGGCGGAATGTGCTGGTGGCAGTGGTGCGGATGAAGCTGGAGGAGGAAATTTGGCGGAGATGCATCGTTGAAGCCATGATGGTTGAGTTCGTTTGATAGACTTTCAATTGATTTAATTGAATTTTAAAGTTTTAATGAAAATGCAATTGAATTGTATGGCATTTTGTATAGCTGTTATGGTTTGCGAGATTCGCCCCTTTGATGGAGTGATTTGGGGTGACGTCAAGCCTTCATGACATCACCCGCTCGCAACGGATTTTGAGTTACAGTGAGACAGAGCTACGCGAAGCGGGATGTGAGATGTGAGAGGTAGACAAGCACGTGGATTTATTATTAGTTGGGAAAATTTTCAGGTTGCTGAACTATGTAACTGGGTAAAAAATTGGAGAAAAGACAATAATAGAAAATCGCTGCAGATCCGACACCAATCTTTAACCATATCAAGACACTATCAACAAAAGGTATCAAAGAGAGACGAGCCCAATTCCTACTTTAAGCGTCGCGGGCGATGCGGATAACGGGCGATCCCATTCCTGAGCCTTTGCCCCAAGCTTCATGGGCCTCTTTGATATCGTCAAATTCCCAGACGGCCTTGATCGGAGGGGTGATGATTCCATCCCTGGTCATGTTGAGCAGCAGCTGCAGTTCAGGCTTAAAAGTCTTTTGGTCGCGCGTGATGAAGTAGAAGTTGGCTCCTTTGTTGGACCAGATATAGAGGTTCTTAAACATCAACTTGGCTATCGGGATCCAGGGATTGCGTCGCTTCGCACCAGTGAGATTGCTGAGATTGTTTCCGTAGGCGACGACCACGCTTCTCTCCTTGGGCGTCAAGATGTCGTAGGACTCGTCGAAGCTTTCAAAGCCCAGGGCGTCAAAGACGGCGTGCACGCCTCCGAGGTCCTTCATGGCGGCGATCCAGTCCTTGTTGGTGTAGAGATACGGATGAGCACCTGCTTCTTTGAGGGCGGCGTGGTTCCTCTCAGAGGCTGTGCCGTAGACAGTTGCGCCTTGGAGGAGGGAGAGATACATGACGGCCTGGCCAACGGCTCCGCTGATGCCGTGGATGAAGACGCGCTGGCCCTCGGACACTTTTGCGGCGCGGTGGACCATGCCGTAGGCCGTGGACCAGTCGACTGGCAAGGCGACGGCCACTTTGGGGTCAACGCCGTCGGGGATGGCTACAAGGTACTTTTCCGGGATGTTGATGTACTCGGCGTCGGAGTCGTACTTTGTCAGCGCCGTGACGAGGGTGCCGGGCTCGAACTTGGAGCTGCCGGGCCCGTTGACGGAGACGCGGCCGGCGAAGCAGTAGCCCGGCGTGAAGGGAGGGGCGCTCTGGAAGGGGTAGACGCCGAGGCGCATGTTGACGTCGGCGCCGGCGAAGCCTGCGTAGAGGATCTTGACCTGGACGTGGTCCTTGGGCGGAGGGGGGAGGTCCTCGGTGACGAACTGGAGGGAGGTGGAGGGGGGGCCGTAGGCGGTGATGACGACTTTGCGGTTGGGGACTGCCATTGTGGTGATGGAGTTTGTGTGAGGTTGTGGTGGTGTTGAGTGCGTTTCGTGTAAGTGAGACTGTATAGGTTGATGGTGTTCGCGATATTATTTAGAAAGAAAGTAAAGAGAAATGTGTAGTTGTCTGTAGCTGTTTGTTGGTGATGCTGAAATATCAGAATTCCATCTCCAAAAGGCAGCGGCACATCACCCTATTTATCTCCTCCTTCATCATCTTACTTTTCGCATTCGCCAGACGGAGCCCAATCAGCTCTCAATCACGGCACAGCCCTTGTCGTCACCGCGCAGCAGCCCAAGGCACCACTCGGCCGTGTCGCAGCCGACTATAGCGCCACGGCGCCAATTTAGCAGCAGTATCATGATCCTACAGGTTGCGTGTTCCTTTTCTTTTTTTGGAGAAATGACAAGGCTGTGAGTTACGTAGTTGTAGAAGCCATGGCGAGATTCAATTGTTCCGGTTCAAGCAGAGCAGTGCCTGTTTTAGTCCCAGTTGGGAAGATGCGAGAACGAAAAAGGATTGACGATAAGCTTAAGATGGCCCACCCCTGTTCAATGTGCCCTGTGCTTTTGCTTATTGTCCTTCTTTAGCAGACTCCGGGCCGTTGGATGTCGGTGCCACGGAGCTTAGGCGGGGAGAAATTTGAGCCGTTTGGCGCTTGGGTGGTTTTGTGGCGTTTTTTTAGCAGCTGGTCATGGCGGTAAAATATGGGGGAGTGTCAGGGCGCTTTAGTCGCTGGGATGTACCACTGGGTGAATCGCTGCTATTGCGTCGCTTGCTGGTGTCAATGCTCAAGAGCCGGTATACGGTTACAGAATTTCTTAAAAATTTATGAAAAAAATTGGAAATCAATATTTATGCCTCATTTCATCATAAAATGAGTTTTTAACCCTGTAATTACCATAAAAGATGGCATATCATCTATGAACGCAATTGCAGCCATAACACCAAGAGACTTGTCGGGTACCTCTCCCTTCAGTGAGGCTGTCGATGCAAGCCCCAGCGGCTCGGGTAGATTCTCGCCGCGTGGCGTTCGGTGGCTTGACCAGGGCCTCTGGAAGGGTCTCAGTTCTCAAGGCTCGTTCTCGTTCATGCATCCTCAATTCTCCGATACTCAGCATCATCATGTCTATATTAGCAACGTACGCGTCTTCGGATTGACCTATTCCTCCATCTCTCGTCTCCCTACCAACGAGGCATCTGACAACAAGATTTTCGAAAGATGCTTCGCAATCCCATCATGGCTCCTCTTCAACACCACTGAGTCACTTGGTCTGCTCGGACTCATTCGTTTGATATCACGTCAAGGCATCCTGGACACGCCTTTTCTAGCTCCGCAGTGATGTCCTTCCATACTCGAACCTGCCATTCTCTTCCGTCATCGTCCGTGACCCAGTTGGGAACGATATGGCTTACGCACACGTTTCATTAGCCTTGTCTACTTCTCTAGGCATTGTCTTGACCAATGTAGAAGAGGCCACATCGAGAAGGAGATCGAAATTGAAAGACTCACTCGCTAATCTCACACTCTGAGAGGTATCTGCCGTGGGCTTCCTCACCGACCGTGAGGCCATGAAGCAACGTCCGGCTGCCCATTTCAGCGTTTCGGCCTATTAGCGACAGAACGGCGCCAATTTGAAGCCGGACGCTGGAATTGAGATGACGTGGAAGGTTGGTCTTGCAGGCACCTGGATTTACCATGGTAATTGTCACGCCGGTACGAGAAAATGGCACTCGCCGTGCGAATTCGAAATACGCAAAGGTGAGAAGTAGCTTGGACAGAGGATAGCTGGGAGATGTCCCGGTCAGCTTCGCCTTATCGAGCTCTTCAAGCAAAAGTCCAAACAGCAGAAAGAAGATTGTCTGCTTACCCCGTGTTACTCAACTTGGGCGCCCACTTCTGACGGTCTCTCAAATCTCCGAAAATATTGCCAATGTCCAACTTTTCCCATATTGGCTTTGCTTGAAAGGCGAGCCCACTACCGATAATGACCAGCTGCGGTACAATGCCAAACTGTCTGGCTGACTTGTGCAAATGCGGCAGCATCAAAAGAACTATCAAGAATGTCGAAAATATATTCACCGTCATATTTGCTTCATTTCCCTCCTTTACAACCCAAGACCCCTCCGCGGTGCCTGCATTCTCCACGATGCCGTCAATCCGGTGGAGCTCTTCGCCGGCTTTCTTTGCAAACGCCGCAACAGACTCATAGCTTCCGAGATCGATTTCCCATACCTGGAGAATGCTGGTATCGCACCCTGTCTCCGTCTCGATAGTTTTCTTCGCGACCTCGCCCTTATCTCTGCTTCGAACTCCCAAAATCACTCGTGAAGAGCCGAGGCGGGCAAGATGCTTGACACATTCATACCCGATGCCACTGTTGGCTCCAGTGACGATATACGTACGCCCTTGACAATCAGTAGGTGTAAGTGCCAGAGGAAGATTTTTGTACTGTGCACGAATGAAGTGAAAGAAAGACATTCTTAAGACAATCACGTATGCAAACTGGTGCAAGACTCTGAGAGTAAAGATGCATCACTTTCATTTCGAGGAGCCCTATGACTGCGCTTTATATACCCGCTTGCATTCATCCTTCGACCATATCGTCGCCAATTGACTATTTTACAGCTAAAGATCCTGGAGGATTGGCGTTGGCGCACATGAAGCATAGGCACCAATTAAATCAGGGCAACCTCGTTATATACGGCGACTAATTAACTATTCCATCGCCGACTTTAGCATAATAGGCATCGCAATAGGTGCGAAAGCTTTCTGCCCATACCAGAGTTGGAATCGCTTCATGCAGATAATTCCTACCTCAGCTCAGCTACACCCCGCAAAGCTTGCCAACGCCGAGTACCAGTGTAGCATTAATACTGTTGTTTTATCATAGTTGGTAGGTCACAATGATCTTCACGAATGCTACGAATGCTGTCGCAGTAGACAAATCTATATAATTGCTTCGGTTAACCATTTTCTAGATAAATATTTCTCATATCTTTATATTGTACATTCCATGTCAAAAAAAAAAAAATTCGCCAGTTTAACAACGCCATAAACACCAATCATTTCTGCAAAGAAGCTTCAATCGTTTTAGCCCTGAGCATGATGGACTCCCCCTCTTAGTGTCGAAGCCAACTTCTGTCTTACACTGTCTTTATTCCGATGCGAATCGTACCCATCGCGGTCCTCAAATCCCACCTTTTGAGGGCGCGGAGGAGGTGGCGGCGGCGCATGGTGAGGCGCTGACTGCGCTGTCGAGTAATATGCTTCATCCCACTCCTGAGGAGACACCTCCTGGTGAGCTACTCCATTTGTCTGGAGATCGGGATGGCTCTGTTGAGGGACTGGTGGCGCTCGCTGCGTAGTATCTACACTGATAGATGAACGAGACCGTTCTTCGCGCTTCTTTCGACGAATCGGCGAGCTTGGCGTTACTTGCGGCTGCTGCACATTTCCATTCGACAAGGATGTCGAATAGCGCTTAGAACTGTAGCTGTTCCGGCGCTGGTCCTCATCATCTGTCCCAACCTCATCATCCATGTCATCATCATATGAGCGTAGCTCGCTTCTCATCGCCAGGCTGGCACATATGCTCCGTGCTTCTTCAATAGCCACCTTCCTCGCCTTTAATGCCGCGCGCTTGTCGCGAGCCTCTTTGTTCTCAGCGGCGATGGCCTCAACAGTAGCATTTTGCATGCGGAGAATTTCGATGGGATTGAACAGTCCGAGCAATCTCATAAGTAAGTGTCTTTCGACAACCTGGGTGATGGTGTTGCGGGTGAATATCCGTGCTGTCAGGTCATAGTATATGAGCATCTTCTCGAGCACTTCCTCCGCCTCGGTATAGGTGCCACCGTCTTTCAAAGCCTCTGAGCGCCATCTGACGAGACGTTGTTCATATTCAGGGTCGTATGGCTGAATTTCCAGCTCCAAATCGTCAATCAGCCTCTTAAGCTCCTTCTCGGCTTGCTCCATCATCTCCTTCATCTTGTTCTCCAGGAAATGGAAACGCAGGGGCTCTCTCATCCGCAATGGCCAGACGTAGTCAATAACATCGGCGAGAAATTCGTTACAGATGACAGCAACGTTATCTTTGTACTCCTGTGCCAGAACGGGCCAGGGGCGAGAAAAGTCCTGGAAAAGTATATACGGAGCTCTTGGGTTAGAGTCGAGGGGAAGCTCGTTACCACGAATCTGTCGCAGGAGCGGCTCGACTTCTCTCTGAGCAAACTCCTTCTTGGACTGATCGCCGACGACACCTGCTGCCGGCAGATTATTCGTCCCAGAGCTATTGGAAGAAGAAAAGTTGACCTTGCTATTGTGCTGGCGGAAAAGGCGTGCAAACTTTTCGCTTTCTTCGCGGACGCGAGCTCGGAGCTTCTGCGCCGGTGTTCCTTTGGGATGGGATTGTCGGGCGAAGAAGGATTCTCCAACGGGATTCTTATAATTGCCATTCACAGCCGGAGTAACCAGATTGTTGGATGCAGAGAAGAGCTCGCCCATTTCGAAGCGCATCTCTTCAATGGTCTCTTTTCCGGAACCCATGGCTTTCAGGTCCGCCTCGCACTGCTCAAGAGCTTGTTGAATCTGTCTCCGAAGCGTCTTCACATGTTTTCCTACATGTCGTTGTAACTGAGAGCTGAGCTTCTGTCTCAAGGCTTCTATTCCCAACATTGCAGGTGGCAGAGCTGCCCATTTGCCTCTTGCGAAGAAATCTGCTTCCCGACGTGATCTTTCTTCGAGAGACGACCAGAATTCTCCTGGGCCTGGATTAAGCAGGATATACCATCCGAGCTTAAAATTGTTTTCTTGGTCTTGGTTTGTTACAAGCCCAATGAATTTATCTTCGAGGCCGATACCTTCTGTCATGTCAGGCTTTGTCAAGACGCCAATGGTTCGCGAGCCTGTAGGGTCGAAATGACGAGCTTTTTTCAATATTGGCGCCTGGACATAATCGTTGTTTCCGCCAATAACAGCCAGGATGATTGTTCGGCTGCTCTTCATATATCGATCAGAGAGGATCTCGATGGTCTGAATATCGGCCTCGGACTGATCCCGGTTGGCCACACGGACCAATCCGGGCAGGTCGACAAGACTCAGCATGGGCATTTCCGGCCCTGTCTTTTCTACGACGAGGATATCGCGAGCAGCAAAACGTCCCGGTATATTTCGAGGGGCGATCAGCTCGGTTGCTTCTCTCATCATGGCATCAAACGGCGTATCGATGCCAGCGTCACCTCCAAACTGCAACAGGCGAGCCTGTTCATTGTATGGACGGTTTTTGTCTGGAATAATAGACACTTTGAGGTTGGTTTCTTTCGATCTTCTCAATCGAATCTCAGTGGCATGACGAGTGCACGCTCCGGCATCTCGCGGGAACGGCGTGCCACTGAGGGCTTCTAAGACGGAGCTTTTGCCGGCGGATTGGTCGCCAACGACGACAATCTGTGGAAGCTTGACATTGTCTAATTGCGCAAACTGGAGTTTATCGATGAGATCCAACAAGCCTCTCTGCTCGTCTGCGAGCCCTTGCGCATCTAGCGAAGAGCCGAGGGTTTGAGCCATGGCGGGATTTGCGGATTGGGAGTTGAAACGAATGGATCCCATCACCTGGTGAGTCTGAATGCACAAACGCAGAGAAATGACGATATGATGTAAAGATGCACAGGAGTAAATTTCGCTACCGGAATGCTCTATATATACGAGAACAAAAACAAAAAGCAAACTAGGACAAACAGCCACAGCAGGCAGATTTATCGAACATGTGAAACGGCCCTTTCGCCCATACAAACACGCATTGTTAATCTCACTTTCGCCACTCAGTCCGCCTCATTCCATTACTTGCGCACTGGGATTTGCCGCTGCGTACGTATTTGCGTACGAATGCTTTAGAGGCAACCATTTAAACAAGCCTCTTAGTGTAAGTGCGAATAGGACAGCCTAGAATATGTGGGGTACCGCGAATGCCGGATTACGTATTCCTTCAGCTTAGCCGCGATTCATATGGTGGGCCAATTGACTATTGGCAATGGATGACACGCCAATATTTAGCATCAATGCTGTGGCAGTGGTAGAAGCAGTATATAGAACGAATAGTGGCTGTGCTTCACAGTCATTGTTACGCATAGAACTATTGTAGGCGCATAGAAGAGCGTATGTAGGCAGCAATAACTCTTCAATTGCAGGAAATAGAAGCTCAACTGCTCATATAAGACCACTCAATGATCGTTCGCCGCTAGTATCGAAGTATAGCGCCAGCGTTTCCCCGGATCATGCGGCTTTTCGGCTATACTTTTGACATACTGCGCTGAATAGCCGTTACTGCTGTTGCCAGTATATTAGGTATGAAGAGTTTCGATCAATCAGATAGATAAAGTAGAGCTATTCCGGGCGTAAACGCACTACTCCAAGTTGGCAATTTTAGAGGGAGGTTATGGTGATCAGCCTTTTAAGATCAGGGCCTGGAGATCATTGCAAGGCGCAGCAGCACAATAGCCAATGAAAAATAGGTAACATTGTACTTAGTGTTCTTAGTCAACTAAATACTAGCTTCTTTAGGCGTTGAATAGATTTGCCCTGGTAGGGGATTTAAGACGTATAAAAGAGAGAGAGAATTAGTTGCCTCAATCGCTTTAATAGCCAAGGATTCCAGACAACGTCTGATCGCCACGCAGACATAGAGAAGCGCCGAAATATATTGAAGAGAATCAGATTAATCTCTCTCTTTTTTTTTAACTACGCTGATGGGGCCTGCGCAAACGAGAGCAGTCACGAGCAGAATGTAAATTAGGAAAAAGAAAAGTGACTGTCCCATTATCATGTTCCTGCTAACCACACCTCCCATGGCCATTCTTCAAATGCTTACAGAACTTTTCGTAGAGTTGTTGAAGAAACCAACCACAAAGCGAATAAAGCCTCCCAAATCGAAATCACTCTCGTATCCATTGCGCACTAATCCCAGCTCCATGTCCGATTCCAAATAAAGCGAAAATCTCGAAGATTGACGTCTCTCGAAAAATTTGGTCAATCCGAAAACTCAGCGAGCTGACTGATCTGAATACCTCCCTCTAGCAAGCCTTTCCATTCATGCTCCATATGGGCAATCATGTGGTATAGCCTCCTCGGCTCGTATTTGAATACCAAAATAATTTCGAGAAGGGTTCTTAAAGAGTTTCAAATCTCATTCGCTATCAGTCATCTCTGGCTGAGTCCTCGCTTTTCTTTTCTTTCCTTTCTTTTCAACACTTTTGAGCAGTCGCTCCATTTTGGATTCTTTCTGCTGATTGCGAAAGAACAAGTACAGCTCATAAGCAATATCAGACAACACAACGAGTTTTTCTCTCGGAGCTTTTTGAGTTTGCATCTTATTTGCCAAATGAGAAAGGGTAGATATATCATCGGCCAATTTCTCATTGACTTCGCGGAAAGCTGCCCAGGATCGGCTCTGAGTGGTATCTACCCCTGCGAGTCGGTGCATAGCTTGTGAAAAGTAGCGCATGTTCATGCCAAAGAATTCATTCGGATTGGTACAGTGCTGTCCAAAATAGCTCAAGTCGCTGATGTCTTCTTCTTCTTTATCCATGGCTGCCCTCACTTTCTTCGCAATGTCTGACGGTGATGCATTGACATCTGATGAGTCTTGGAGATCAACCAAAAGCTCCTTCCAGACGGAATGGGAAACGGCGGGTAAAAGCTTCAACTCTTTCAAGACGAGCTTCTTGATAAGAGAGCCACGAATAGGTATTTCTTTTCCGAGATTGTCTTGGCTCTCAGAGCTGGGTGGCAACGCAAAAGACGTAGATACTCTATCCGCATTTGCCCATAATCCTGCGTGAAACAAAGGAGCCAGCCCTTCGAGGGGTTCGGGGCTCATATCTTGAGCCATGAGTAGCCCATCTTCATCAACCCACACAAGAGAGCTGTCGCCAACGTGAAGATGACCTTGATTGATTAGAGCATATAGACGAACTTCTTGACGGTTAATGAAGGCAACTCTCAAGTTCTGCTGCGAAATAGACATATCGCTTGACCTGAGACGAGAGAGCTTCAGAGGATTCTGCGTAATCTCGCTTTTGGCCTTCTTGAGCCAAGACTATCTGGCTGTATATTCTTCAATATTATGCTGAAATAGATGCCGTATAATAACTGGAGTTTGTTTGAACGAAGGTGTGAGAATGAAGAGGGAGGGAAGAAGATGAGAAGGCAGAAATATTGAAGATTGCAGTTTATATAGCAGCCACCTGAGAAAAGGCGCAGAAAGTATGCGGAAATCTGTGGTGCCACTGGAGAGTGAGTGAGGAGGAAGAAATTTCTGCCTGTACTTGGAATTGGTGGAAGTTCTTGGTATACAATGTCACAAACAGAACACGGAGCACCTTTGTCTCTCCGATCTTCCTCCAAGCCTGAAATATTCTGCCAGCTGGCAATGAAAGCGGTAAGCATTACCGAGTCTCATCTTCGAGGCTTTACCTCTCGGAACCAAAACACAAAGATGCATTTATGTCATGGCCTTGCCTCCCTTCGAACTTGACATACCATAAGATGAGTGTTTCAGGATCTCATCTAGCAAACAAATGAAGTCGGAAGAAGAACTTTTAGATTAAATGAATGCAGAGAAGCTTTGTCTAGAGTCGCATATCTGTATAGATTAGTCGACAATTCTCTTCGGCAGCCATTTGTGAATAGCCTTGACGATTATTAACCGCACTCTCATCCGAACCATATTGGTCATTTTGTTACGCCATACCAAGAATATCGTGGCGAGAACGAGAAAGGCGAGCACTTTCAGGCTGCACTTGATGTATATCTTAGGGAAACCTTGCTCACACTTGTTCTTAAGGAACACGGACTGAGTGGCATCGCGATTATCTGCTATGGTAGCCACCTCGTTAGCACGAAACACAACATCATTAGTCGTCTGCGAGTCATGAAAGATGGTCACTATTCTGTCTACATTGGTATAAATGCTTCTGTGGTTCTGCGCTTCCCCAACTACCATTCTCACCTAGGCCATATCACCTCCTATCTGTATTATTGTCCATTGCCAATGCTGGCCCCCTGCTACACATCGTCTCATTAACCCTATTTAGCTACGTCGTGCTTTGGATTCTTCATTTCCCAAACCCTTTCATATCTTTCTCTAGCACCTCGACCGCACTTGTTCACCATACTACAAAGCCATTCTTCATCGGGTTTCTCTGATCGATAACAGTCCGGCTCCGCACCATTATCCAGCAAAATCATGACAATATCCCAAAATCCCCAGATAGTAGCCGCATTCAGGGCGTTTTTATACTCTCCTCCCTGCGCATTGACATTTGCCCCCTTTTGTATCAGCAACTTGACTGATTCAGGCTGGCCTGCGTATGCCGCTGCCTGTAAAGCAGAGCCAAATTCGCCTCCTTCTGCATTGACGTTGATATCAGGGTAGTGGTCAAGGAGAAACTCCAAGCCTACATTCCGATAGAGAGGTATCCTAACGCTTTTATGCCTGGCCATCACTGCTGACTGGAGGGCGAAGCCGTAATGCCCCGTCCCAGCATTAGCATCAGCGCCGCGCTCCAAGAGAAATTGAAGCCTTTCAAGTAACTTGCTGGGCTCAATATCGTCAGTCAAGTTCTCTAATACGGCTTGTAAAGCTGTGATGCCACTTAATTCCTCGCAGTCGTTGATATCGACACCCAAGTCGAGCAGCTGCTGGATGCTGCTATTCGGAAGACGTAGGTTGGCCGCCGCAACGGTTAAAGCGCTGCCATATACACCACCTCTAGCGTGGACATCAGCGCCATGTTCAATAAGTAACTTTACGATATTTTGTGCCTGCTCGCTGTTGTTGAGACGATAGGCAGCTTGGAGCGCGGTTCCATATTGATCACCGCCTTCGTTCACACCTACTCCTCGTTCAAGTAGCTCACGAACAAGCCATTCTTGTCCATGAGCCGCGGCAGCCTCAAGCACTATTCCAAAATCTTCACTTCCAGCATGGATTCCGACGCTATGCTCGAGTAAAAGGGATATCTCATCCTTCGAACAACGCATGTTACAAGCGACTCGCAGAGCATTTCCTTGAGAACTCTGGGCATTGACCTTTGCCCCATTGCTTAGCAGCAGCTTCATGATATCCAGCCTATCTCTTGAGGCCCGGAGAGAATATTGCAGCGCGTCTTGACCAAACTCATCCCTGACATTAACATCAGCTCCCCTGTCCAACAATATCTTTACAAGACGAATATCGCCGCTCTCACACGCAGCTTGCAGGGCATTGCCATTAATGCCTCCTGGGGCATTTCCATTAATGCCTCCTGGGGCATTGATGTCTACTCCGAGATCCAGCAGTCGCTGAACAAAGTTGATCCTCTTGGTGTAATCTCCCCTTTCACGGCCAAGGAATGAAAATGTGCACGCTGCTTGAAGTGGGGACTGGTCTATACCTTTCGGGTCAGAAGCATGAATGCTGGCCCCTTGATCAAGTAGGAAATCACACAAATCCCAACGACTGACTGACGCTGCCCTGATAAGCGCCGTTTCTCTGTCGTCCCTTTTCAAGGCACCTTTGCTGAGAAGAAAGTGAAAGCAATGGTCGTTAGTGGAGTGAATGGAGGAGGCAAGCACGCTGCCTTCCATGCTCAATCGAGCGTGAATGTCAGCTCCACGGTCAACAAGAAACTTGACAATGTCGAGATAATCTCCCCTTGCTGCTGCGTGCAACGCTGAACCAGCTTGACCGTGATTCGCATTGATGTCCGCTCCCTTGTTCATTAAAAGCTGCACAATCTCGAGGTGACCACCTTCCGCTGCTGCGTGTAATGCGAAACCACGGTCTATGCTGCCATTAAAATTGCGCATCATATGCTCATGACTAGTGCTCACAACGTCTTCTTCCGCCAGTATATTGGCGCCTTTGTCAAGAAGCCGGCGGACCAACTCAATACTTCCCGCATAAGCCGCATCCACCAACGCCAAGTCTAAATCCTCCTGCGTAAAAAAGTTGTTGGTTTCAGGTCCGTTTGAGAGCAGCATCATGGCGAGATTCGAAAGACCTAGCCGAGTAATGTAATGTATTGGCTGCACTAAGAACACATTTGTTCCACGATGAAACCATATGTCCAAAGATATCATCTTAGCCAGAGTCCTGCTACGGGCTTCAAGGGCAGATGATGCCATTTGGACGATTTCAGAAGGCCACAACTTGCTCGGAACCATTTCGAGATGCCGGGCCCACTGCGTACTGGTATAACTGTCCAAGTCGTCCGGTTTGTCCTTGAAACTGTCCTCCGGTTTGATATGCTTATATATACCATCATCGGCGTGCAGGAAATGATAGTTCAAACACCAAGTTGCGAGGTGTAAGTGGGCGTCGATTTCAGTAAGCCCAAATGCTGCTGCTGGCCCGCCAGTGATCCGAGTAGAGATCAGGTATTCTTTGATAGAAAGGTGCGCCAAGCGAACAACATTATCAGCAACTATAACCAAGCTAGAAAAATATTTTACGATGTCACTAGCATGGAATAGCTTTTCTGTTCCATCAGGAGCCTGGGAGGGTTCAGCGCGAAATGTGAAGATCTCTGACAACCAATTTACTTCAATTGGAGTAAGGGAAAAGGCCAGCCACTTTAACGAATCTATGATCCGGTATTGGAATTTTGGATTAATATTCAGGAGCATCCTGTCATAAGTTGCACCCAGGCCATCGGGAAGACTTTGGAGGGCTTCGTGGACTTCAGCAACAGTAGATAAGTCACTGAGTGCATCGAACTGGCAGCGAACATATTGGAACCTTGGATAGATATTAGCAAGACCGCCATATCAGTAATTGATAGAGATTCGGTTACTTACATGCCATCCGCCTTCTCAACCAACAAATTCCTTGCTTCTCCCTTTACACTTGCAGGCCAAGATTCGTAATCGTCACTCGCAAGGATTGTGTCGATAAATATACCAATATCGTCGTCAATGGTAGACCTATAGGCCAATAAGTCTAGTTCATGACTGCATGGGCGTGATAAGTGGTGCTTCATTGCTGCACTAATATCGCTCTCTTTTCGGCTGGTGAATAGGAGATGTAGATTCTCAGGGGCTTTGTCGAGAATGGCACTTAAAACTTTTAGAAGCTTCTTCCGTTCTCCACTCGAAGTCGGACACTCATCCAGAGCGTCGAACACGATATATACCGCCGAAAACCCAAAGATAGCATCATTTATTGCGGTTGTCAGACTTTGAGAATCAGGCCGCTTGCCGCTGACCTTGTATTCTTTGAGCTTAAGAGCCGACTGGGGAATATTTGGCCGACAAGCCAAGATCTGCTTAATGATGGATGCGAGCATGATGTCTACTCCTTGTGTCTCAGGATCGGTGAAGCTAAAGTAGAAATAGGCCACCGCAGTCAATGGATCGGATGAATATTTATCATCAAGATGTTTGATGACTGAAGAGCTCAATATGGACTTTCCGGAGCCGGCTATAAACCATTTGTTAGAATGAATTGAAGACTCAGTAGTACCACGAAGTGTATAATACCTTTACCATGGATCCACAGCAGAGATTTGTCTTCTTTTTCCCAAGCCAAGAGTTCTTGGTTCTCCATCAGCCACTCGCTTGTTCCAACTTCGTGTTTGTCACGAGCTGCATTATACATTTGAGAAGGATCCACTTGGCATAACCAGGACAAAAGGTCTGCACGATCACGGTCTTTTTGTGCTTCTGCTATTGCCTTTCGTAAGCTAGAAACATCTTCGCTAATAGTAAGCCAAGCTGCAAGAGACTCTTGATGCTGTTTCTTTACCGCCAAAGACTCTTGGCTGTATTGAACATCATGCCAAAGGTTGTCCAGCGCAGCAAGCGCGTCTTCTTGTGAGCGCACATCATCCATCATTGCCTCCCAATCGTTCCACTTGACAGCATCTAAGCCAAACCTGTACGCGGCATTTTTTGCAAAATGGCAGTAGGTCTCAGCCTGGAATCTCAAGATACTTCGGTACTGGGCTTCTAAAGCCTTCTTGTAAGCCAAGTGATCAAGGCTAGGTGACTGACAACTGTTGGTCATCTTTTCTAGCGCATATCGCCGTGAGTGTAAGCCCTCGCGCAGTTGACCCCGAACAATAAGAGTCGAGATGTAATCTAGCCCTTTTGCCAGCGATCCAGCTTGCTCAGAGGGATTAAGAAAAAGCTTGGTTGAGTTTAGTCTATTGCCAGCCTCTCAAGCAGACAGCCTGCGGCCATTACAGACACAACTTACTGGTAGCAATACGCTAATCCCTCCCCATGCAAGCGAAGCGGGCGGGTTGGCAGCCAAAGCAGTGGAGATGTATGCGTTAGCTTTGCTAGCAATGCTCGCAACTACCGGTAAGATGGCTGCGATTTGGATCTCAGAATCTCCGAACTGGAGCTTCCAAGCGTCGCGCTTGACTTTGTCCATTTTGTTTCTGAGGACGACTTCCATTCGCTCGCGTGCGTTAATCTTGGGGGCCAGACCTAAATTTAAGCCGGTAGCCAGATCTTCTTGAATCCTGGCTTCATAGTCCTGAATAAGTTTTGCATCTTGCTGGCTTAGCTTCTCATATGCCACATTCCACAGCTCATGAATCGGCGCATCAACGAAGTTCAACTGTACAGGCGGCTTTGGCTAGAATAGGATTATTAGCAGTGCTCAACTCTACTTGCAGCGTGGAATTGATTCACACTTCGATGTGCTTGGAATCAGCATGTTCGTGGGGCGGGGTAGAAACATGAAGTTTTGTCGTCGCTTGGTCTTGTTGTAGCCTTGCATCACGGCTTGAGCTGCTCTTCTTTCCACTGGAGAATTTTTTTCGTAGTTCGTCTCGTAAGCCCATCGTCGAACCAGCTTTCCACGGCCGTTCTGGATGGTATGATGAGATTTGATCTTGACTGCTGTTGCCTGCTTATCGTAGGAATGAGAGGCACATGTTCATGCAGCTGCGGCACGTACTGGAATAAGTGCGGGCCGGTCAGCCAATAAAGACTACATATGCGTGTGCATGTGCATGTGCCTGCTTACACCATTCACCAATGCAGTGCAATTCTTCGAAGAACCAATAAGTCACTTGCGCATATTTAATGTATAAATGTTCTTCCTCTGCTATTCGACATGGATAGAGGAAAGATTTCATGTTACGAGCAAACATGAAATGTTACCGGGTTGGTTAAAGATTTGTCAAAAGTCCATTTCAAGAATTTTTTACTAACATGTCAATACTGCCTTGACATAAATGCAAATCTGCCGGAATATTTTGTCCCAGCAATAACAAAACCAGTTTTTGCAATCAACCTAACCATATCCCCTGAATTGATGGCGTATTTTAATTAGCGGGCATATCAATTGAGTCATTTGTGATTTTGGGCTTATACCAGAGAGAAATAGAAATGTCCTCCTACAAGGAAACCTGCTATCTTCATTGGCGTGAGTCCTCAAAGCATACGACAAACAATCTTAAATTGTAACCAAGCCACCGCACTTGGATTGGTAATCTTGACTAATTGAATCTCAATTTATCTCTTATATGCCAATTATGCATCGATCTCTATTTGATAAAGACTCGTAGAACGGATCAGGGAATTTCTGTTTACTCATCTTATTTTCTGATTATTGAACATCTTCATCCAGTGGCCGCCCCACCACTCTCGGCAGCAAGACGTGTAAACGAATCATTGTTAGAAGCCATACCCTTCATACCGCAATTGCGTTGGCAGATTGCGTTCTAATTGTTGGTCATAAGTAAGGCGTCTCTTACCCGCAGTAGGAGAATATCTCCGCTGTTATGTAAGATCAATGTTGAGAGCGGTAAAAAGTATAAATACTTGACTCGCCAGAATAATTTGTGAAGAAGACGATCCAAGATACACTACAGAAACAACTTGCAATATTACCTTCTAAAGAAACCTTTAACATGGCATCTATCAAGCGAGTTGCTATTCTTGGTGGAACAGGGGCTCAAGGTTCGAGTGTTGTCAAGAGTAAGTAAACATCTTGCAATTATACAACTCAAAGCTTATGAAGAGGCAGACCTTTCGAAAGCCGGGACATTTGAAATCACCGTTCCTACCAGAAACCCATCTTCAGCCGAAGCTCAGGCTATTGGAGCCTTGCCAAATGTCAAACTGCTGCAGGCCGACTACTTGACTGAGGCCGGCCTCAGAAGTATTCTCGCGGACCAAGATGGCGTATACTTTAACATGAACTCTTTTGCTGTCACTGAGCCATTCGTCTACTTTTGGACATTCCGCGCATATGAAATAGCCGTCCAAAGTGGATTGAAGCTTTTCGTTTTGCCGGCTGGGCCAAATCGGTATGAAGCTCACGGATACAAAGAAGAATTCCGAAACGTACACGGAGTCATCTCGGGGCGTCTCTCTGATTGGCTCTCCCACCAGCCAGCAGATATCCTACCATGGTGTATTACCTATGGCGGTGTGTATGCTGAAATGCTATGGACACTACTCCAGCCACGAGTCAGGGATGACGGCGTGTATGAGTTCGCTGCACCCATTGGGGATGGCAACATCCCATTCACCCCTCTGGAGGACTACGGCACTCGCGTGCGATGGATATTTGAGCATCCAGAGGCCTCCACTGGCAAGATTTTGAGCTGGGGCGTAATGTTTACAAGTTATAAAGATTTGGTGCAAGCGTTCGAAGAGACCACGGGGAAGCAAGCTGTGTTCAAAGACTTGACACAGAACGAGTGGTTCGATAGAATGCGGGTTTATAAAGATCCAGAAACTAAATTCCCTAACCGTGGGCTTCCAGAGGACGATACTACTTTTACCTGGAGGCAGACATTTGGCGCTTGGTGGAACTTTTGGAAGTACAATGACCGCATTCGGGATCCCAAGAGAGAGGAAGAAGCGGCGGCATATGCTGATGAAGTGCATCCCGCCAGGCACAAGACTATCAAGGAGTGGATGATTGCCAACAAGTACACAGGCACAAGATAGCTTTACGTCGTCAAGAGCTTATTAACATCATGCTTTAAAAGATGTTTGATCATTTGCAAGCTGTATCATAGTCCTCTATACAGGGAGATGGGCCCAATATGAAGCATAGTGGGATAACTTCGCTTTTTCACTTATTGGTATTATGACAATAATTGGTTACATGGCGTCAAGGCATAAGATATAACACTTTGATATTGAAACAGAAACCAACAAGATTACTTGAGCATATCGCCTGTGATGATAGCTGTTCAGGCGAACGTGGTTGTTAAACACCATGACCCGCGCTGCCAATTCATACCATATCCATTACACCGCATTCATGTGGCCTATACAGCTTACAATGGCATCTCACCTTCCATCGGATGCCCTACCTATGCTCCTGGGCCAGGGCAATAATCTCCTTGACCATTATCTCATCCGCCACAAAGTGCTGATGCTTCACCTTGTGCTTAGTAGCTATGCCAATGCTCGCATGAGCCACCACAGTACCATCCCCGTCTTTATGCCCATCTTCCAAAAGTTTGTACCTTCCAAGCACCGTTTGCGCAGATTTCGACCTCTCCTCCATGGTATGTGGCGTCTGGATCTTATCACAATGATATCCCACCGTTTTGGCCCGAAAATCTGCCTCTGTAGCGAGCTCGTGGAGGTTTACGGCGGCTGTCTCGACATTATGGCCCTTTACATGCACACCATGGTGATGGCGAGAAATGTATTGTTTCCACGCAAAAGACAATGCGTACGCCGGAGGAGGTCGTGTTGGTTTGTCAGGTGGACGCCTCTCTACAAGACCAGTCTTTCCATGTTCACGCAACCACGGGTATGTAGGCCAGAGATCGTCCATGATGGAGCCAAACTGTTGCAGCACTTTGGTAAGCTTGCGTCGGTTAGGGAGCCACCAGCCAAATCCGTTGTAAGCCCGCTCCACGGCCATAGTTGAGCCTCCAACAGGCACGCCGAGAGGCACAAAGTTGTTGACGGCCCCTTCTACCCCGTCGTACATTGCGAGTGCCTTCCTACATATGAGTCCTCCCATCGAATGCCCAATAAGAATGAGGCGCCGGCCGGGGTTACTTTCACTCAATGCTAGAATGCCTTTGGCACAGGGCGCTACGTGATATTGGACACGATGACGCCAGTCGTAGGCATAATAGTAAACATCTCCATGTCCAGACAAATGTTCGAGGAACCAGCCATATCCAGGAACTTCAATGTAGTCCAACCCCTGGTCCAAGAGTTCTCCCACAATTAACGGTTTCTCAATGCTCAATTCTGCGGCTTTGTACCACCCATACTTAGCACCGGCAGCTTTTTCAATATTCCAAGCATAATGTTTCTCGCGAACAAGTAGCTCCGTTCCCATTATTCCAGGGACAACAATGAATACGGACGCTCCGCATCGTCTTGGGCAATTTTTGTGTCATGCCGTTCAATTGGCGCCGATTGTCCTTCTTGGACCAATTGACTATTCTGCATCTGTTGTCCAGTCTGAGTCATGTTTTTGTGTCTAGTCGACGTCCGTGATGTAGAAGCATTTGAAGATGATCAACTGGGTGGCAAACGTTGGGCACGACCACTTAAGGTTATTATATAGACTACACGTGGGAGGAAACAGCAGCTCAGCTTAGCTAGGCCAAGGATACTGAACTAGGCGTCTAGCTACTCTGTGGCGGCACCATGATCATCATGAGCATGGAAGCGCCGGGTTTGGTCATAGCTACTGTGTGGAAAGTGGATTAGAGCTGAAAAAAACATCGACATATTGAGACTCACATAGGACGCCATTGAAAGCCACAATCTGAAGTCTCTAGAAGCTATACAGGCGACTCTTGTTTGATAGGCACTTGCGAATAGCAGGACAAAGATACCGGCTGATTCGGATAGCCATTATAGATAGTAAATACAGCAAAATGACCATCTAACAAGGACGATCTGCGATAAAGTTAAAGATCTGTCCACCTAAGATCGCACGTGGATCCCAGCTCAAGTGAAATATGTGAAAAAGTCGAGTTACCGAAAAGGCGGCTCAGTAGTAGTAACTATTCCGCCGGGACCATGCTTTGAAAGAAGATAGTTGGACACTGGTTGCAAATCTCGTATCATGTATAACTACCAGCAACAGCTTCCCAAGCCTTGATTCAGCTGTCTCAACAGACAAATATCGATAAATGCGGTTTGCATACACCGGCAGCGGCCATTTTTGTTACCTCCAAGACCGAAATTGATACAGAATCGCCATATATACAACAGAATAGCGCTCAATGGACAAAAGAGGAGAGGGGGGTGAATATCTGTAGCTTCAAAGCGCCCACATATCGCAGCAATCATTCTGCAGTGCAATGTCAGCACGTAAAATCAGGGAAAACCAAATGCTCTGTACTTACACTTCGATCTTTTCTATCTTACAATATTTCGTTCCATAAACAACATCCGTCTACCTTTATATACACTAGCCCTCGCGCCGTCGATTCGTTCGAATGGCCAATCCTCTCCATCTGGAAGAAAAACGCGGTCTCACCAGAGCGTTCCTCTCTCTTTCCTTCTCTTCTCCAGCTAAACAACATATTAGCACTCTACATCTCCAAATCAAAGTCCGAGGCAGACATACCCAAGCCGATTTACAATCGCGATACGCCCTAAACCACACGTCAGCTAAATCCCATGGGCCGTATAGCCGCCTCTATCCTGCAGCCAAAACCTCAAAACATACTGAAAGTATTCTCCGCACATTGCCTTGTCGCCGTTATTCCGGTAGAGGCATTTATAGCTGCGCTGCGCCGCTTCCTGGCAGGGATCGTAGAATTGGCTCTTGGATTTGCTGCGAGAATTGCCGATTGTCAGTTCAAAGCTACACTTTAACACAGCCAGCGCACGCGGCAATTTACCCTTCAAATGTATTCTTCGTCTCCTCGTTCCAGGGGTTTTTTTCGGTAGGCTGCTGTTCTGAAGACATCTTGTTGCTGATTTTCTGGTATGATGAATGTCGCTGGTTGAGGCGGATGTTGAAGAAAGCCGGAAGAATATCGGCAGCAGCTCAACTTTGCAGCATTAACTTCAAACGTGCCACTGCGTTACGTCATTCAGTTTAGCGCTGAAGCTCTTGGTGATTTCATGTTCGCTGTTGTGATGTGCAAGAATATATTGCATTTGATGGTTATTGGGTGTCAAAATTCTATTTTATGAACAAGAAATCAATTGACTGCCGCTATCAAACTTTGCATCTTAATATCGACGTCTTCGTCCCACACAGGAGGCTACGCAGCTGTCTCTCCACAGCATCCTGATCAACTTACACAGCGACATTACTCGGGGTCTTCCACTAACCAGTTTATAGCCTTGCGTATTTAATTGCTACATTACAATCACAAGTATGATGAAGATTTATCTCACTTTAATCATTTCAGCAGCCTTTCCCCAAAACTCTTCTCCTCCCCATCCACCGCGCTGCTCACTCTGCTTCTTCAAAGCCTCCAGCATCCCTTCTCGAGCCATCTCAATCTTCCGAACTGCATCTGTGCTACAGCACAAGCCAGCATCAACTTCCTTCAAATCATGTCCACCGATCAAACCCACGGTAGCCAAGCCAAGGTAAGAATGATAGATATCCGGAGGCTCACCAACAGCTTTGCCAAATCCGCCAATGATGTGCTGCGTGATATCCAACAAGTAGTTGCCGGTCGGCACCGCATCGTAAACATAATCAGCATCGAGTAGCTAGATAGCGAAGCAACCCCAATTTGTCAACTCATCACTCTCAAAACGATTGTCAAGTAGCAGACTCACCCTGAACATGCTACAAGCCCACCATGTATAGCAGGTATCAGCTTTCTTGTTCCACCTGCCGTTGAATCCAGTGTACGCGCGCTCTCCATCAAGACTCAGATCTCCGAGTTTGGCCTCGAGATAATTCTCCGTTGAGCCCTCGTCACTAGCAATGGCCTCTGTGTTTGACATGTATTTGAATTGTCTGTGCGCGAGGAACTTGAGCAACTTGGCACGATCTTCAATACCGCTGTCCATTGCCCCTTTCGCATTTGCCGCTGCATCAGAATGTCTATCAAGCATAGATAGAGCTGAAATGGCACAATATGCATATCCGGCTACACGACATCAGTATGCCGATCCAAGTTATCCATTATGTAGTAAACACTTACCGTGAGACTCCTCAGTCGAAGACTCTGCAATTCCACCATCATAAGTCTGTTGCCTCACAGTCAGCATCACAATCCTAACTGATCACCGTCTTAAGGGCAGCAAAAATCACCTGAAGACCCCTGATATACTGCGTCATCTTCTCAACATCAATATCCTCCACCCTATTCTCATCCTCCCTCTCGACCGAGCCTCGCAGCATCCATCGTATAGAGCTCGCCAGATAACTATGGCGCGTATCTCTTCCACCCGTTGGCTCACCCTCCCACAACACCTGCCCAAAACTCCCATCACTTCTCTGCAGCTTCTTCAGCCAAAGCAGAATCGCCTTGCGATCAACTCCAGCAAACGCCGAGCGCTGCTCCTCTTCAGTCTCTGCCGCCATGCCCAGCAAAATCAGGGCAAAGAAAGTAGCCGCTATATTGGCCGAACCTTTGGACGCATTCTCGCCTGCGATTGCGTGAGTTGGACTTCCGCAGAAGCCTCCATCAGGGTGCTGGAGACTCAGGACCCATGTTCGCACTGCTGCCCGATCCTGGGCTGTGAGCGGGACAGACAAGATGTCAAGAGCGGAGATGATGAAGAAGGCGAATGTGAGTCTCGTTGAGTCGCTTCCAGTGTAGGCAGTTGGGAGAAACGACTTGTGGCATCGCTGCCAGTATTTGATGTGCCGCGCCTTGTCCAGCTTTGGCGCCTCGGCGTCTGGAGCGCTCATGATGGCAAAGTGATGATTCAATTTCTTATACAGATATCAATTGCAGTAAAGAAGAAAAAGGGGTCGATATATGCAACACTCCAATTCGCCCGGTTATGTACAATGAGCATCAATATAGTACTAGTGACAAGTTATATCGAACTAACACTCTCGCAGCTCCTTGCTGTCCCATGCATTCAGCTGCAGTCGCCAAACAGTACTTGAGGCATGTACTCTCCACGCACTGAATGCGCCACAACCGCAGCGCCACAGACCTCCGTACAGCCTCCAAGTTTTGTTCAGCAACCCCTAAAGCTCTAATCGATAACGAATTATCAAAGCTCCCGGCATCACCTTTCAGGTGCGCGAACATGCGTTGACGCCAATCTACCACTTAATCCTCCCTTTGATTCCGCCAAAAGTGGGATCTCCTTCTGCTTCTTCTCTCTTTTGACTCGTTCCCCGTCTATTCATTATACGAGGAAGAGTGCCATTCCTTCGCAATACAGTCTACCACAAAGCTCGGATGCTCCGCGAAATCATCCATCACAGACGTCCGCTTGTGCCACGTATACAGAGTCTCTGAAACAGCCCACGATCAACTTATATCTTCCTGCATGCGCCCTTAACAAGCAAACGACAACCGTTCCCGAAACTCCTACGAGCTCATCAAAATCCGCCCACCATGGCTCTCATATCCTTCACCACAATCATCACCTCCATCTCCCTCCTCCACCTCACCCTCGCCTACTTCTTCCTCGTGCAGCCCAAAACGATTGAGGACCAGGCACTGGTCTTTGTTCTCGGCGAAAGCATGAACATGGTACGCCTCCTTCTTCATCTCTTGCGCCTGAATCTCCTGCTAATCGAGTCGTGACAGCCCGCCGTCCGTGGCTTCGACATTCCAAGCCCAGCCCTAGCCCTCGTCGCCGTCGTCCTTGGCTTCTCCGGAATCAGCGACCTTGTCTCACTCTCAATGCCCGAAGACTTCAGCGCTTTATACTACTGGGGCACCCAGGGTACGTTGCCCACTAAACCTCTTCTTTCCTCTGCAAGACTTTATACTGAACCGTCAACAGCTCCTCTACGCTTCTTCCTCTCCATGCTCCTCGTCTTCTACTCCTACACCTTCAGCCCTACCACGTCGATATTTTCGTCCTCGTCGTCTTCTTCGACAAGACGTCCAGGTGTCTCCCACAAGGGCTCCGGATCGGGCACCGACCATCTACACAACAGACTGCTCTTCACATTCGCGTTTATCGAAATGATGGCTTGGTTTTGGACCTGGATTACCCTGCGGGAAGAGAGAGGGGCCATTGTCGAAAAGATGAGGAAGCAGCATGAGAAGGAAGCGCACAGCCATTAAATCGACCACAACCGAAATTCCCGAATATTTCTTCGAATTAGCATTATCGCATAGCAAAAGAAGTATCAAATATCACAGCAAGGTGTCTTCAAACAGCCATTTATAGATATATCTGTAATTGAAAAGGCCTTAAACAAAAGAAAAAAAAAACCAATGAAATTTGTCTAATGACTTTCAAAATTCTAGCTTTGCTCAGTCTAAGTCGTAAGAGAATACAACGTAGATATCCATGACCACGGTGGGTATAGTACATATAAGAAATAGCTTTTTTTTACAAACTGACAATAAAGTCGGAACAGTAAGACAAGAAGGAAAAGTAAAAAGAAAGATTTTTGCAATATACACTAGCGATTAAGCCTATCTTTCGCCAAAGTTTGATTCATTAAAGAGATAGGATATGAAAAAAGAAGGGGGAAAAGGGGGTAATGTCGAGGAAAACACGTAACCTTCTGAGTACCTATATATGTGTGTCCATGTTGATGCTGTATTACCAATCTGCTCTCTTTGCAAGCAGATGCACTTCGATTTTCGAGCTTGTAACCAAGGTCGTTAGTTGCTCTTTGTATAGCAAAGCCACACTAAGCAAGCACTGTATTTCTAGGAGAAATCGCCGATGGACTATGTATATCCGCTAGGTTGTGCACCTCCGCCGTAGGAGTGGTTGCTTCTTCGTCTTCAAGGATCTGTTCCTCGATAATCTCGCCTGGGCCACCAACCAATGGGCTAAACGCATCGACCTCCTCAATCTCCTCCTCTTCCTCCTCCTCGTCGACGCCGCCCATGTGGTCTTCATCTTCTTCCTGGATGGTGATCTCTCCGGAATGTCGTCCCAGTCCTGAGGCGCTACCACTGCGAGAGTGGGAATGAGATCCGCTACCACCATTTCGATGTCCATGGGAACCTCCAAAGCTAAGGCCCGGACCCTTGAACAGATTTTTCTTTCTCTTTGCAAACATGACACCCGTGCCAAATGGATTCGGTGATCCAGGAGCTTGCGGCTGGCTTGGCATACCTTCGTTATACATGTTCATTGTAGGAGCGGGAGCGGGCGGCATTCGAACAAGACGGATGTTGGAGGGGAAACCGGTGCCCGTAGGAGTCGCAGGCAGAACTTTGACAGAGTGGTGAGGCGAGTGTCCGCGAGCTAGTGGCGTTTTGGTAGTTGACACAGATCCTGTAGAGCTGGTAGAAGACGCCTTGGAGTGGGTATGATGGTGGTGATGCATAGATCGCACTGAAGACACTGAAGACGAAGTCGATTTTCTGCCTCTCAAACCTGCCGACGAGCGGCGGACAGTGCCTCGAGGCGTTAATGGCGATGGCGATAATGACTGGCGTTTATAAGCCTGCGATGTAGCTATTTTAGGCCTCAACGGCTGTTGCGATGGTGTCCCTACAGGCCCACTGACGCTTCCTCGAAGAGACCCATAGCTAGATGACCCGTTGGCCTTAGCGACGAGACCGTTTGGAATGACTCCCTTGGGAAGAGGAGCGGTAGGGTTTGCGCCTATTAAGCCGGTGTTCGGATTTTTGCTCGTTTGCGGCCTAGGACTGACATCATTGATGCTTTTCGCGCTGCCTTCTTTATTGTGAAGATCCGGCACACTTCGACTGGTGCGCCTTTCGTGTCCACGTCGTCTCCTCGTGGTATTCTCGATGAACCAATGAGTCCAATTCTTCCAATGAGCAATTATAGCCTGGCTGGGCTTCTTCTTCGCTTTCTGCAAACTACTATCGTCCTGTTGTTGAGAACTGCTGGGAGGAGCACTATGGTTATCAAGTCCCAGCGATTCGGTGGTAGTGACGAGATGCAGAGTTGATCCTCGAGATCTAGCACTTCGTAGAATACCCTCCTTAGGCGGCGGAATCGGTCGATAGTTGCGCGTCGTCGAGACTGAGCGGATAGAATGGCTATCGATGGAACGATGGCGGCCATTTTCATCTGGAGTTTGCGGAGCATTCGACCGGCTGCCTTCGGCGGTAAAGTAAGAGACGTCATGAATCGCCAAGTCATAGTAGTGCGCACTCCTACGATCCGGCCTCCCTCGAGTCCTGGGCATTGCTGGTTCTCCTAGCTTGATGAACTGCTTGGTTAGGCCGCCATCTTCGTCCACATCCTGCAGCATCCGCTCGAAACGACTTGACGCCACTGAAATTCGATGAAGGCTCTTGTCCATATCCTTTTCTCTCTCTTTTCGTTTTCGTTCCCTCCGGCGAAGTTTTCGTTCTTCCTTTTCAAGTAATAGCGTCCACCATCCAGCCAAGGCATTGCACTTTTGTGCCATGACACTCTCAATAATCATATCGGTGTCTACTCCAGCACTTCGCATGCGATGTAGGCAATCCTTCTCTAACATGGTAGAAAATGGGGGCAGGGCTTTCGTTTCGAGAATAGCTTGCTGTGCTGGCGCATGCTCTGCTAGAAAAGGATGAGCTAGAATCTCCGGGAGTCCTGGTCGGAGTATAGGACGTTTTGAGAGAAGAGATTTAATAAGGGGGATCGCTTCAGCCGGACAGTGTTCGGGGAAGTTTGGCTCTTCGGTCAGAATCTTCGTTCGAGTCACGTTGTCATCGTCGTCGTCAAAGGGAAGCTCTCCGCAGAGCAGGGCATAGAGAATGATGCCCAAACTCCAAACATCCACCTTTTCACCGGCATATTTCTCGCCTTTCAACATTTCCGGCGCCGAGTAGCATATTGTTCCACAAAAGGTCTGCAGATGATTTGTTCGGCCCTCGTACTCTCTCGTAAAGCCGAAATCGACCAGCTTCACGTTTTCATGTGTATCAAAGAGAATGTTCTCAAGCTTGAGGTCGCGATGGACGCAGGACTGCATGTGCACATAGCTGACAGCGCCGACAAGTTGTGCAAAGATCTTTTGCACCTTTGGCATTGGAAGCGGGCCATGATCGAGTAGGTAGTTGTATAGTTCGTCGCCTAAAGGATTAAACGTGTTAATTCACTTCTCCAGAGGCGCAAAAGCAACGGAATAGAACAGAGACAAGCTCTCGCGGTCTATCATAAGCTTTACCTGCACAATATTCGAGAACCATCCACACCAAATTCTCCGTCACAATAACTTCATACAACCTCGCAATGTGTGGGTGGACAAACTGTCGGTGATGGTGGATTTCGCGGGCCAGATTAGAATCGGTTCGATTTGCCGACTTCAACACGACCTAGAGTGGCATGATTAGCCAGGATCGGCATGTTGCATCAGCCAATGAAAGAGGCACTCACCTTGGAGCCATTAGTGAGCTTGTGGGTGGCCAGATACACCTTGCCAAAGGATCCTTTGCCAATGAGGCGGCCAAGGGTGTAGTTGCCGACTGATTTGAGATCATTGCTCGCGAATTCACTGTAGAGATCGAAGCACTCCCGGTTAGCAAAGCGACAAGGCGAAAGGGGCGAGTGAAGCCAACTTACTCTAAGAGCTCCTGGTAGGAATTGGCAAGCTACACAGCACCGCTCAGTTAGCCACGAATCTCAATCTTGATCCTACTCCTAGTCTCGTCTCTTCTCTTCCTCCAGAGCAGCGTAGATGGGGAGCCTCAACCCACCTTGGCCTTTCGTCCCAGCGCCTCGGCCTTCCCCTTAGCCGTCTGCATCCCTCCTCGTCCAGCGCCCGCAGCGCGAGCTCTCTTCCTCCCGGGTATAGATAGGCACAGCGACTTCAGGATCCGGGCCCTATGTTTTGTTCGTTCAGCGGCCACAGGGGACGACGACGGGCCACAACTCGGCGGTCCCCCTTTGCGAATATGCAGCGTCGGGCTCGGGGTCAGGCTCCGGCTCGGCCTCTGGCGGCGTCAATGCATTCGACGATGGCTTCAGGATCGCGTACGAGGCAAGGTCGTCGTTTTCGAGAGGTCCGGATTGGCGCGTCGGGCGGCGACGTGGTTGAGCAGAAAATACGGTTCCCCGCTGGGGATCGGTCGCATGAGCTCCAAGCGAGATTGTCTGCGAAAGGCGAAGATGGACTGGCAAATTTCGAACATGGGACATGGGACATGGGGTCCGTGACGGTGACTTGGCTGGGGGCGCTGGCTGACTGCTGGAAGACAGGATACGGGCGGGAACTGGGTGCTAGTAGCGTCCGGAGGTGCGCACAAGTAGCGGTACCTGCGGCTGGAGTACCTTGCGGGTGGCTCGCCCAGCTTCCACAGCGGACATGGGTGCCGCAGGGGCTACGATTGTTAGCAGTTAGACTACCCGTAGATGCTGCTAGGTCCAGCAAGCCCAGGTACTGCTACCGGTTTCACATTCCACAATGAGCGTGTTGGTTAAGGCACCTGGAACCAACCGTTATATAAAGACACAGCTGCAGAAGTTGCCATTTCTCCACGCGTTTGCTCAATATAAAGCTGCTTCTATTGTGGTCGACGCTGGCCACTGCGGGATGCCCCGAGCGGAACAGGCACACGTACCCGGTACCTCTACCGCTAGTAGTACAGCCAGGTCTAGGATTGTGTCCCAGTCGCCAAACAGTGGAACCCAGATGCGCTGTGACATCTTCTGCAGCTGGTAAAGTGGCGTGGGTCGTGGTGCTATTCTTACTTTTTTTCGCAGGATCTGCAGCAGCAGCATTTCGTCAAAAGGGGTTTTGTTGTTCTATTCGATTTCCTTGGGAGCTGCACTTTGTAAACGTATTTCGGAGTCTCCACAAAGACATCATGATATAATGGAGACGAAACGATTCTAAGTTCCACGTGGGTTAGAAAAGAGTTTACCTAGAGCTTTTCGCTGCTGTTAGTGCTTAAAAGTGGGCGCTAGTAGTATTCTGATGACGCTCACATATGCCGTTTGTATAAACAAGAATGAAGTCATGGTTGCATGAGCAGGAAACAAATAAACTCGGCCAGCGTAAATCTCTACGATATATTCGTTATAGAGGCTATAGAAGTATAGAAGTAATAGGAAAGCAGATTGGTGGCTACTTTTGATTACCTATACCGATATGACTTGTGTTTGGAGTAATGCAGGGTAATACTGATCTCCAGACGCATCACAAACGCTCCTAAGCAGCAAGAAAATACAGACAAATAGATACCTAGGAGAATTTAACTAGGTAGTACCTAATACAGGGGAAACTTGATCTCCAAAGGCATCACAAACACTCTCAAACAGCAAGAAAAAAAAACACAAGTTCCTGGGAGATCATAAATCATACAGGGTAAACTCGACCTCCAGATGCCTCAAACACTCCTAAGCAGCAAGAAGATAAGTTCCTAGGAGATTATTCAGTATGCACATTTCCAATGGCAGTGGCCATAATCCACCAAGTCTACCTAAACATAAAGCACTTTGCTATCGCCCTTTTGAAAGTTTTTTTGGCACCCTCCTGAACTCCCATCCTAATAACATCAATAGAACCCTTTTTGAACCAAATCTCATGCAACCCAAGTCTCACGCCATACTGTACAACACTCACAACAGAAACAACAGAAGAAAATATTATACACACAATGAATGTCATACACGCAATGGTAGTCATCTTTCGCCGTCAATATTTCTTCGCTTAGGGCTGATAAAATCCCTCAGCCATTACCGTTTCCTTGTGTCTTTGCCCTTCTTTTTCCCTTTCTTCTTATCCTTTGGCAATTCCAGTTTCGTAAACTTCAGTTCCTCGGTCATGATCGAAAGCATATAGTCATCAATATTGCCCAGTCTTCCTCCCCAAGCATTATACTCCTCGATTGTGTCGATGCCGCTTTCTTCTGGGCCATCTAGTATGCCGATGCCGCCGTCAAAGATGGACTTGCCCGCTGGCGTTCCTTGTCGTGCTGTTGATGTGCCCGAGGCAGGTCCGCCAGCCTTCTCCGTAAAGTCAGCGTCGTCGGCGAGAATCTCCTTCTCTGCAACACGCGCGGCAGCGACGTCTTCTTTGTCTTCGGCCTGCTCGAAAACGCGGCCAACGCGGCGTTGGTCGTTGCTGCTTTCAGATCCGCCAAGAACCAGATCAAGAGCGGCATCTGCAGCAGCAACGCCCTCGCTCATGAAATCGACCTTTTCGCCGAGGACGTCTCTGACAGAAGGGCGGTCAAACGTATCCGTAGTGAACTCTCCTTCTTGGATAACAACGTCGTCTAGCATCTGCTTTTGCGATGCCTTGCGAAGAATATTCGCTTCAATGGTATGCTCGCTAACAAGACGGTAAATGTGCACGTCGCGTGTTTGGCCGATACGATGGCATCGGTCTTGGCACTGTTTATCCATGGCCGGATTCCAGTCCTGGTCGTAAAAGATGACCGTATCTGCGCCCGTAAGGTTAATGCCCAGTCCTCCTGATCGAGTGGACAAGATGAAGCAAAGGATGCGTGAATCATGGTTGAAGCGATCAGTCAAAATCTGACGTTGTTCAACTTTCGTGGCACCGTCAAGTCGTAGATACTTGTGTCCATGAATGTTCAAAAACTGCTCAAGAATGTCAAGCACCTTTGTCATTTGCGTAAAGATGAGCGCGCGATGACCGCCACTTTGTAGCCTGCGAAGCAATTTGTCCAGGGCCTGAAGCTTGCCGCAGTCATATTGAAGGAGGCGCTTGTCGGGAAACTGAATAGTAAGACGCATTCGGGCTTCATGCCATGGATCCGAGGGGGGCTGCTTGGGCATAAAGGGCGCCCATCGCACTGGTGCTGATAGCTTGAGGTCTTCATCCGTAAACGCCTCGATGCCCTTGCGACCCAGAATGAACTGGTCAAGGTCTCGAGTCACGACTGCGGGCGTGACGCAAGAGAATTTCTCAATAGTAGTCTTGAGGCTATCGGCTCTCTGGTCAAGAGACGGAGTTAATGCCTGCACAAAGGCCGAGTCGGACTCGAACCAGTCCATGATTTTCCGGGGCACTCGAGGTCGAGGCTTGCGAAGAGGGTTATGGGCGTTGATATTTAGTAATGCAACAACATTGCTCCCATAGATTGGCCTCTGCTGGCGACGAAGGGCATTGAGATAGACACAGTGCTGCAATTCTTCAAAGCGTCCCCATCTGGCAGCACTCTCTACATAGGCAATATTCGATTCTACCGTGCCTGGATCAAGAGTTGTGTAGGCGTTTTGCGCTCGACTTTTCTGTGCTTCTCGGAGATCCATCAGTATGCGGTGTGAGCTTAATTGGGCAATGCTATCAGCCTTCATCGTAGATAGATGCTCATGCTGTGTCGGTACTAGATTTAGAAAGGCTAAATTGACAGAGCTCATCGGGCTTTCTGAGAAACAAGAATGCTGGACAGCCCTCACTGTAGCGTCGTAATCTGCGGTTACGGACTTGCGCATGCGGAATGAGGTCATGATAGGACGGTCGACAAACAAGTCGGGATGATTGCAGACCTTACGAAGCTGCATCAGACAATTGATAATGGAGAGATAATTGCCAGACGCCAGCGTGTTCCTCGTATCGCTGCGTGCCAAAAACCCATCGTACAGCTCACGCTGACGCTTTGAAAGCCGACAGAATTCGACATGTTCGTACTTGGCTGGCATTTGCTTCTCTACGTCGGCTTTGAGACGTCTAAGAAGATATGGACGTAATACTTTATGAAGCTTCCCGATAATGGCTTTCGCTTCATCGTCCATCTGGTCTCTTCCATTCTCCAGAATCTGTGACTCAGGTTTGCGAAACCAGTCATGGAACTCTTGCAGGTCTGCAAATCCTCCAACACCATTTTCCGCAGGCATCAAGAAAAAGAGTAGTGACCATAGTTCTGTCAGGTTGTTTTGCAGAGGAGTTCCAGTCAGGAGGAGTCGTGAGTGTGTATTGAATCCTAGCAATGTCTGCCACCTCTGCGACTTGAAATTCTTGATGTTGTGCGCTTCATCTAGGATCATGTAGTGCCATCTACGGCGTCTAAACACCTGTTGATCTTGAAGTACCAACTGGTAGGAAGTAATACAGACGTTCCAAACATCGTCATTGTTCCATCCCTGTCGCTTTCTCTTTCGTTCTTCCTGAGAGCCATAGTAGGCGAGGATCTTGAAGCCAGGACACCACTTCTTGAATTCCATTTCCCAATTCAACATGACGCTGGTGGGAACGATTACAAGATGCGGGCCCCAGACTTCGTGACGACAGGCAAGATGCGCCAGCAGCGCAATGGTCTGAATCGTCTTACCAAGACCCATCTCGTCTGCCAAGATGCCATTGGTATTGTTTGCATAAAGACCAGCCAGCCAGTCGAGACCTTGTCTTTGATATTCGCGTAGTGTTCCTCGCAGGAGAGGCGGAATTTCAACTTTGTGAGCGGAAGGCTCAAGTGTCGTAACTTCGTCAGTCACGGTAGGTATTGATTCCGCTGGTTCAGTCTGTTGCTCTTCCAAGGACGTTTCGTTCTCAGATGGCTTTGCTTCCAACTTGGCTTCCACTGCCGCCGGTAGTGATGTGTCGTAAGAAGTATCGGAGTGAACATTCGCAATTTCTGTTTCAGGATGCGCAGACTTGTCTGAAGCTGTAATGCTCTTAATCTCTTCCAACTTTGACGCATCGGTAGCTGGCGAATCCGCTGGGACATCTGCCATCGTAGTGTCCTGATCAGCATTTTCCACCTCCATATCATCATGGTCTGAAGGGGGAACATCCGACTCCTTAGTTTCAGTAACAGGCTGTTCTGCGGTTTCCATGCTGTCTGGCTCGGTATCCAGTGTAGATGGGATATCATTAGTACCATCGCCATTTTCTTTTGCATCGTCACCGTTTATCGAATCAGGGTGCCGGACAAGCGACATTTCATCCTCGTCTTCAAATTCAGGGTCTGGCTGCGCAACATCCATCTCAGATTCAACGGCTTGAGCCACTTCTTGTTCGGGACTTTCAGCCTTTGCTTCACCCTTTGACATTGCTTTAAGCTCCGACTTTCCAAAGAACAGCCCTAGCAGCCCACCGGCTCCGTCTTCGGATCCCGATTCATCGCTTGACCCTTCATCTCCAGATTCGCCACTACCGTCAAAGTCACTTGATCCCAAGTCGTCGTCCATGTCCACTGATTCATCGCTGGTCTCGGCATCTGATCCTTCTGCAATGCCAGGGGTTTCTGTATTTTCGGCGACCGACTCTGGCTCCTCAGGGGCTTCCAACTCAGGTATGTTGGCATATTTCGCCCGCAGCTGTTCCTGAGTAAGGCCTTCATCTGCCACGTCTTTCTGGTCTTCATCTTCTTCATCTTCAGAAGAAGACATCATGTCGCTATCGTCGCCTTCGTCGCCACCATCACTGCTGCCATCTGTCTCTGCCGAAGCCAGACGCGAATCGTCAACTTCACCGTCTTCTCCATCAGCGCTGTCACTTAGATCGTCAAAGCCATCATCTTCGTCGTAGAGAGATTCGGAATCTACACCTCCAGCGCGCCGTGCCTGCAGCTTCTGCTCCGATAAACTGACGGCTTGGTTGAGGGCAGCCTTGACCCTCTTCTGCTCATCTGCTTCCCATTGTGCCAATCGCCGCCGATTCACTTCTGCACGAACATTTTCCCAAGTGCCAAAGAGTGATCTGAGGACAACGCGATAGCGCATCAGCCACACAGCTCTGGCTTCTGCTTCTATCTCTTCGGCAGACTTGGGCTGACGGCGTAGCCATTCCTCGCGGCATGCTTCAGCAAGCTTCTTAGCCACTGATCGATGTCGTTGTTGTTCTATAATCATGAGTTTTCGAAAGTTGCTTGCGGCCCTTGTCATATGATCCTGACGAGCCCACTGTCTTGGCGGCTCTTCTTCCCCTTCAGGTACGAATAGTGAGCATCGTTGAATTGAAAGGAGCCCCCCCGGTTCGACCTCGCGCTCAATACGAAGAACCATTCGTGCATCGGTTTGCGCCATTTCGTTCGTATAAGGGGGTCCATCCTCAGACGTCAAGAGGCCGCCCTCCTCTACCGGAATATTCCCAGCTCGATCCCAGAAGTCATCGAAATCTGTCCCAATTCGCGGTCGCTTGCGTACCTGGTCTGGATGGACCAAGGGAATCACTGTGAGCCGAGGCCCAACCTTGAGCTTTAATCGGGGTGATTTGCCGGAGCTCTCGAACGTATTTTGTTTGGCAACGCTGGTCGGGGTATCTGGCGCAACTGCGGCTCCTCTTCGTGTGCGTGTCGAGTGTCTGAGGGATGGCGGAGGGGGCGAAGGAGTTCGTCGACGCGAGAGTCTGGAGGATGCTCTAGGTTCGGGGGCAGCACCCCTCCTAGAGCCATATCTCGAATTCGGTTCGGCGGGAGTAGAGTGAGCTGGCGTCGTCTTGCTTGTGGGTTTCTGTTTGGATGCGCCACCTGCTGCGGCCTTGTTGGACTTGCCATTAGGCAGTGGGCTTTCCTTGAGCACGTTTCCGGTCGATCCATTGGTAGAATGCCTCGTTGTGCGCTTCGTACTGGGCAGCTCGCTTGGGACAGGCTGCGAATTGATGCGGCCAGATTTGCGCCGTCCGTTCTCATGGAATGATGTTGGCCCGTCAGCCTCGATCTTCTTCCACGGCGGCGATATAGGCTTCAGCTTTCGAACGGCAGGCGGTGGAGGAGTCGAATTCCGCGTCCTCTGTCTCTTCGCCGGCCGCTCGCCGTCGTTGTCTCCATGGTCGTCCATGGCTTCGGCTGTCTGCAGCACGTGGCCATTTGCCTGAGCAGGCGTCGCGTCGTCGTGGACATGTCCATTCGCATGGGATTCCGCTGCGGCATCTCGGCCCTCTATCTCGACGGGCGGCGCGTCACTTGCGTCAACGGCGAGGGATCTGTTTGCTGTTGATGATGCTAGAGAGTCCGCGTCCGGAAGCACATGGTCGGGCGACGCGGTCTCGGGCATAATAGCAACGTAGAGCTAAGGGACGTCGCAGGCTTAATCTCTGTGAGGCTATCATTTGGCGGGGAGAAATGGGTGTCTACGGATTCGTGGCGATTCACCGAACATTCGGACAGAATTTGCACATGATCAGAGGCCTGGGCGGAGCGCTGCAGCGATTTTTGTGAGCGATTCCAGTCTCCTCTGCAAAACTTTTGAACGGGAAGAATCTCGACGGCGCCATGTTGGCTGGTGCGAAATGGGATGAAGGGCACTGGAGGGGTTGGTGTACCTGGAGGGTACCTGGAGCACCCATGCTGTAGCTGGAGCTCTGCGGCGCCCGCTGGGCTTTTCAGCGCTGGTGGGGCTGCTAGCTGTTGTATCCACAAGTATCTGGGTTCTCTAGGCGGTCCGAGACAAATCCCGTCTGTCGTAACGGGTTTGAGCAGCAGAGAACACGGATGCCTGAGGCACAAGCGCTTGCAGTCGATCAGCAGCAACCTCAAATCTACCAATCTGGTAGTCTGTTGAGGTCATTACACGGAGCGCCATCCCGTTACGCAGCAATTGGGCGCTGAATACCGCAGTCAATTCGCCCAAGGTGAGAGCGAAGCCGAATCTATGACCGCACAAGCATTCGAGCGAACAAATGGACTGATATTTCATCTCTGTAGATGCTCCCGCAACGACTTGTGCGAGCTTCGGCTCTGCGCAACACCCTAGCTGCCAGCCGAAGACTTCCTACGATCCAACGACGAGGCTTTTTGCCATCTCAATTTTCCGACAAGAAAGTGATTGACGAAAAGTACCCCGATCCCGTGCGACCGAGCGAGGCCGAGGACCCTGGCATGGTTCGTAATGCTTGAGCGCCGTTTGAGCGCTGTTTGTGCAAAGAGTTCTGGGAATCTAACTGCTGGCTGTAGAATGGAGGCTATATCAACCCGCCCAAGATCAAGCGACAGTTCCGCGACCCCTATGCTACCTGGTGGGACCCTCAGGAGCGACGAAACTTTGGTGAGCCGGTTCACGAGGATAACGATACGCTGGGTATCTTCTCTCCATGGGAGTATACGTGGACGACTTCAGGCCCCGGTCTGATCATGGTTGGAACATTCATCGCCGTTTTCCTTTCAGTTTCAGGAGTTGTGTATCTCAACTACCCTGACCGGATTGCCTACCCAAGAGAGTTTGAGAATGGCCTGGAGCGAGAGTTGGGCGGCACAGGAGCCGTAAGAGTAAGCTCAATTTGAGATTTCCTCGGCAAATGCAACGCAGACGATACTGATCATCATGAATATAGGCACGAATGGCTGGCGATGCGGAGCCGTAAGATAAATTGTCAAGTTGTATATAATAAAGAATGAAAAATGTTTCTCCTATCTGACGCTTCCTCATGAGACAAAGTCATTGGTCGATGGGGCTTTGGATCGTAGAATACGAAAGAGGAATTCGATATTCGAACCTTTTCCTCAAAACTCCATGATCATCAGGCCACGTCCTGCTAACTGGCTTATACGGCACAGCATACATTTCTGAATGCTCCAGTATTACCCGTGCCCGACTTGGGTGTATTAAATCTTGGTGGCCAAAACAAGTGGAAATCACATCCTGCTTATCGTTTCTGTTTCTTGTTTCCAGACTGAGCAGAGGATGCTGATCCATACTGGTTTCCTATTGCTCGTTTCAGTACTTGCTGTGATGTAGCTCAGGCACTTTTAGGCTGATATCCTCATCGATTGCTCTATGCCAATCCCGTAAGACCCATTATGAGATAATTATTACACCGTTGAAAAATAAAGCATTTCTCCTGCGAAGTACTGCCAGTACATGGCGTCGACAATCGCGTTATCCCGGAAATCTCGCCACCGCATGCCGATATAAGTGCAAGTTTTATCAGGGGCTACCAACTCTCGATATTGAGGGGCGACTTCACCGTAGAGCCTCCCTACGACCGCCGCAGTAAGCTATGTTGCTCAATATTTCTAGTTCTGTAATCTGCTATACTCATATCTTCGTCTAGATACTTTTACCTGCTTTCCTGGCAACTAGGACATCGCAGGAAGCAGCGAAGAGCCCGTCTTTGAAGGCATTAGCGAGGTCCCGGTCTATTAGCCCGGCACTTTGGACGAGCTGTTGCCAATTCTGCAGCTGCTCGCTACTCGTCGAATTAAAATCAGCGGGCTTAATGCTGGGCCGATAGCGTTGCCCTGCCACTTGATAGTCGCCTAGGTAGGTATTTACAGCTTGATCATATTGACAAACCTGATTCTCCCCTTCTCAGCCATCCTTGGAATAGCAGAGCGGCACAGTTGGACTCTCCAGGGCCTTTGCTCGAGGTATCTGCTTTATTTCAGTCTGACTTTTTGCCTATGATTTTTCTGGACCTCCTGGTAGTGCACTCTCAATCTTGCAGTTGCAATGCGGTTCGACGACTGGGATATTCTACTATTCCCCAGAGACTGCAAAGTGCCAGTCAAAGAGTTCAAAGTAGCCTGTCATGCAATCCACGACCCAGGTATGTGATTTTATCTCCCTACCATCTTGTCTACTTGGACGTTGTTTTCTATATCACTTTCCTGATGCTGATGGTGCCAGAATTCTCCAACCCGCATGGCCCATTTGGTCTGCCCACAGTCTGCGGGTTCATTCCGAGTTTAGCAGCTGGTACTCCTTTCCAAATCTCAATCCATTCTTGGTTTGCTCCGTCTGTCAGCCATTTCACCAGGTGCTACAGTAAATATGGTGAATGTGCCAATTTCGAGGCTCGGGTGTTTGTCGACGGGCAATTGGTTGCGTATGTAGATGCTTTTGCGCTGTCTGCAGCCCTAGCTTGCTAACATGTGCCTCCATTTAGTTCTGCGTCTCTTGATAGAGAAAGTGATTGGCCACACGTTATTATTCACAGTTTTGGTATGGACTAAGGCTCCCATAGATGTGCGTGTGTACGAAAAGCTGCTAACTCGCTACCGCTCTAGGAATGTCAAAAAACGGAGACCTTGAGCCTCTTCGGTTTCCTAGCTTTCGACAGGAGCTTCTGCGGCAAAATCATTGGAACCCGGCCGATGACTTTGGTCGAATCAAAATTGTAATCAGCGAGGGTTTTCCACGGGACTCTCTTTCTATGCCTATTGAACGAGTGAAGAATGTTGTCGCTTTCTCTTTCCAACATGCGCCTCTCGGTAATTTGATCTCATCTTTCTTCCAACAAAGTGGCATAAAGCGATGCTAACAGTATCAAATTCCAGAGATTCTTGAAGCATCTGGCATCGCGTGGCCCAATCCTTCCATGTGGAGACGGATTCCAGTTGCTACATCGATGACTGTCCCCAGCTATCCTTCCGATGATACCGAATCACACGCTCACTCGCCGAGAAGAAAGCATAGTAGAACCAATGCGGGCCTGACCAAATCTTCGACGGAAAATGTCCACAAGATTATAGCCAACCGGTCTCTTCGACATGGACAGCGGAAAACTAGTACGCAGAGCGGAAGCAGTCGCTCTACCTCTGGAAGCACTAGTACCGGAACAATGGAGACTATCAATGACTCGGACGCGTATTTTGAGTGGTTGAACAGCATGGGTCTCGGAATGCCTGATATATATAGGCTTGGAGAACAGGAAATCTTCCCGGAAATACGCCAAATTGGAAGAAAGTCGTCCAACGTCAATGCCCAGGGCCCCATGGTGGGCAAAACCTCTCACTTGGGTCAAAGGTTCAGCTTGCAGGAGCTTGGAGACGAAGAAGAAAGCGAGAGTTTTGGCTACTTGAAAATTCCTAGTGACGCGCTGGATTTCGAAGCATCTTATGGCCAAGACATGCAAGGTATGGATGGAGAAGAGAGAGCCAAGTTTGTCTTTGATAATGACCCTTGACTTTGAGCGCATAGGGCTATTTCTGCCTCGGAATTCACAAGAGAATTCGTTATCGATCGACTTCCAAAACAATTTGGCCCACTCGTTGCTTAACCAGCCAATGCCTGCTCACATGCTGGCAAACAATCTTTATACCACCTCTTTTCCGGAATTAAGGCTCTCCAGAGAAGACTACAACTCTCAAACGGCGGGCCCACCTCCCTCAACCACATCCTCAGCATCAGCTTCCATGGGAGATCAATTCGAAGCGGGCAAGACTGCACAGCATCCATATACAGCACGCAAAGCCATGTTACGAACAGGATCGTTTGGCTCCAGGGTGCGTAGGTCAACTCGTCCGGATGCCAAGCAGCATACATCTTCTGTTCTATCGACTCTAGAAAGTGAACCGGTAGAAGAGCTTGCCATGGAGAATGCGGCAGCACATACGGACGATAAGGGAGCTAAAAGGCGCCGCGATTCGACTTTGACACCAATAAGTGCTGCAAAGAGTGATGATAATCACAAGAGATCGAGCCCAAGAGCTCGCCTCACACCTTTGCTAGCACATAGTCCAACCGCCGACTGCCAGTGAACAAGTGTATAAATAGGTGACGATTCATGTTCTGCCATCGCATCCACCCGCACATAAGCATATGGATCAAGCGATGGGGATGTACTGGAAGAGATGTTCTGGTGGGACGTTTATTTTGAAACGACTTGTCATTTTTCAGGTAGTAAACTAGTACGCCCTTCTAATGGAACTTTATGTCACTCTTTGTACCTATCACAAGTGCATGAGTGCCTACCAAGGTACGCAAATGCTGCTGTTACGTGCTCCATAAGCTGATATCTACACACGGCACCCGATTTCAGCTTATGATTTCGGCATATGCCGTCAAGTCATTGAAATTCAATGATTGGATGAGCCACAGGCCATGAATTCTTTTTAAGCATATTCTCTAGGTAATCAGTATATCTGAGTTGACCTGAGTTGTAGCAAAACTCGACCCAAGTTTTCATTCTTAGCTATTGGTTCTGGCATCATCCGAAGCCACAGCTCTAGCATTCAAAGAAGCTAAGCTTCGAGGCAGATAGAATCGTTCAACGGACAAGACTCGGCGACTTGGTTCAAGTTCGCCACCAATTTGGCGTCTGTTTTAACAACAACACTAACAACACACGAACTGAATTTGAGTTATTGTTATACGCCCCTAGCTGGAAGAGGCATGGTTGTGTCAGTCAAGTAAGACTGATTTGAGCGATATCAGCAACTAGTTTTTGGATCAGTTGCCATTTTGGGAGCCCGGCGTCAAGAACACAGGGAGGAAACTCAAATAATGAGTAATGAGCGCATGGCAAACCACGGTAGGTAGCGGCATACACCACACAGTATCTTGTTTCATAATTTTCTCGTTGCGATTTATTGTTGTTCGGACATGTGTGTATTTTTCATGCGGATGCTGCCATTCCGAGTTCCGCTGCACTTCGCTTCCCTCGAAGCGACTTGTCCGGGTCTGCCGATCCTGCGATCCGGCCGCGAGCCGGGGAGATCTCCCCAAAGCGGAAACCCAACGGACATGATGATTTGGCCCTAGGCAGAAATGATGACTGATCTTGATTGACTGGTATGCAGGTGAGATTTCTAGGCGCAAATCGAATGTTCTACTGGTGATGAGCTGCCGGAAGAACTGGAGAAAAAAAATAGAAGACCGGGCGGAAACATTGCCGAGGATAACTGACAAAAGTTGAACCACCCACAACACTCCCAGGCGTGTTGTGACGGCATTTGCATGGCTGTGTGTCTCAGATGACAAGGGCGTGTTGATGATTGGGCCGGCGATGGCTTGGTGGCGCTCGGCGGCGCGGAGAACTGAGGGTTTCGGCGATGCATAATTTCTTTAGGCATGGCTTTGTAGTAGTGGTGAGCATTGCGGCTGGATTAGTAGAGGCGAAAAAAGGAAAATATGGGGGCTTTTCACGGGAGAAGATATACGAAGATGGTGGGAGCGATGAGTCTTGTCATTGTTGTTGTTGTGCTCGATCTTGGTGAGCTTTGGATGTTCAAATGCACGGGAAGAGTCGAAGCCCGAATGGAATGTGGGAATCGAGACTGTCAAAACGGCAGTGAATAAGTCTCTTGCTTGAACGGCACACCTCATCTTCCTCTTCAGCCCTTGTTGCCGCCATCATGAGCACACAGCCGGGGCCGAGGCTATCCCTCGATCTATCCAAGTATGAGAAGCTCAATGCAGACCAGGCGGGACACTTGCGACACTATCATAACCTGGCCAGCCAGATGGACGGCGAGTGGCATCATATGGGAACCCAGGAGCCGATGCAGGAGTTTCTAGATGCGTACCGCTACCAGCTCGCCATCATGGCCTATGGCGTTGGAGTCGCTCATTACCACCGTACACCTGCACTACGAAGTACGCACAAGAGTCTGATGCGCCGTCTAATACACAAAATGATGCGGCGCGAAGTCTGGTCTTACTGGTTCTCAACCAGCCTTTCGGGAAACCGGACAGATCCTGGTCGGACGCAGCTGAGAACGCCTTGGGCAGATCCTCTGGTGAAGGAAAATGTCATGTATAGCGGGCATCTGTTGATGATGACCAGTATGTACGGCATGCTCTTTGACGACGATGAGTTTGAGAAGCGGGGATCCCTGTCGTTTGTCTGGGATCCTCTATTCTTTGGACTTGGGCCGGAGACGTTTCGATATGATAATCGGAGCTTGCAGGATGCTATTCTTCGGGAGATGGAGAAGAATGGCTGGATTGGGGTCTGCTGCGAGCCGAATTTGGTGTTTGTTGTTTGCAATCAGTTTCCTGTAAGTTTGCCTATGCACTTTTAAGAGTGGCTAATAACTGAGAGGCTATGAAAAACAGATAATCGCAATGAGATACAATGACGCGAGGGATGGCACTGATGTCTCTGGGAGAGTTTTGGAAAAGTACAAGGCGGCTTGGGATGCAAAGGGCATGGTTGAACCAAGCGGCTTATACGTCGACTGGTATTTTCTTCGACAGGACAGGACGCTGGCTCCGAGCAATGTTGGCTGGACTGCATGGTGAGTGCAATTCATTTTGCCTCTTGCGTATACAATACTGGGATCGGCTACTGACACACATTTTGTCAGGGCAAACGCCTATATGAATACTTGGAACTTGGACAAGGTGAAGTCATTGTATGACTCGCAGTCATACGGCTTCATCACCAAGATTGATGGAGAGGTGCAGCTTCACGAAGAGAAAATCGCCCTCGAGTACCGGAAACTCGTCGATACAGAAGACGCAGACAAAAACGACGCTGCGGTCCTTGCCCGGGCTCGAGCCAATGCCGCCGCCCTGCCGCCATCATTTCCCTTTTCTCAGCCGACCTTTGGCTACGTTGTGCAATGGCTGTCAGAATTAGGCAAGAAGGAGGAGCTGGACGGTCTGCTCAAGTATGCCGATACGCATCTACAGCCTACGTGGGAAAACGGCGGCCTCTTCTATCCCAGAAACGACGACCGAACAAACGAGGCCGGCGAGTGGACACACATGGATCCCTTCTCCGGCAACGCGGCGATAGGATATGCGCGTCTCAACGTGGCCGACGGCCAGAAGAAAATTTGGGACCATCCGCGCAAACGAGGCCATGCGGCGACACAGCCGTGGATCGACGGCATCGAGCTCGGCCAGGGCATTGACTGTCTGCGAGGCGTCTGGGACAGCGACGAGAGCGCCCTGGTGTTGACGATGAAGACGTGGGATGGGCGGATCGTCACTGCGACGCCGGTGGCGACGAATTTGCCGGCGGGTGAGTGGGCGGTGTTTGTGAATGGGGAGCTGGTGCAGCTTGGGACGCTGGAAAGGGGCTGTGATTTGAGGGCGGAGGTGAGGGTTGGTGGTGAGGAGGTGGATGTTGTGTTTAAGCGGGTTGCGGGTTTGAGGTGAGCATGGCGTTGGTGATGTGTTTCTGTTATTACCCTGTATTATTATGTTGATGTCTTGTATATTGATTTTACCAATGTACAAATAATAGAGACAATGGAAAATAGAAATAAATAGATTACCCGTTAACTGATGCTATTTGCGTTACATAACGACTTTGCGTTTATTATCATTATATATCTTGTGAGCACCTATGAAACAAACTGAGTTGTCTTTTTTTTGGTACGTCATCTGCACCTCTAACAGCTCTTAGCTTAGCTCCCATTGCTTAGAAGCTCAGGCACCCGGCATTAGCAACTTGGTAGCTCCTCAAGCAATCAGCTGCAGCAGAGCGACATCAGCGCCATACTGAGACACGGAAAAAGCAGCTTAGTGCAGGCTATTAATTCATCTTCTGTAAGACGATTCCGAGGTAGTATCACGTAATAAAGCTTCAAGGATCCGAGTTACAAAGACACAGCTGGCAGCACGGTCACGTGGGCTGCAAGTCAATTGGAACCGCATGTAAGCGGCCGAGGCTGATCTCGATTGCTTCCATCACCGCTCCTACACTACGAGTTGAGTTGAGTTGGGAATTACCAGACTCGAGCCCAGACAAGATGCACTGGACTTCAGCAATTGTGTACCCGGCGCTGTTGGCGCTCGGCGCGGCGCAGCAGCAGCGCCCCTTGTCAGACACCAATCATTCTGGCTCATCGCAGCATGCCAGCGCAGACGCTCCGTCTTATCGGGGCGAAGTGCTCCAGCTGCTCGAGTCGCTGGTTTCCATCCCATCCATCAGTGGCGAGGAGAACGAGGTTGGCAACTTCATCGTCGACTATCTCAAGCACCAGGGCTTCGAGGTCGACATTCAATTCGTCCCTCCAGCAAAGGACAAGCCCGATGTGCCCGACAGGTTCAACATCTTGGCGTGGAATGGAGACCGCAAGTCCAAATACAAGACACTGGTGACGAGCCATATTGACACGGTCCCTCCCCATATTCCATGGGAAATCGAAAAGGGAGATGTATCAAAAGACACCGTCATCAAGGGCCGTGGAACAACTGATGCCAAAGGCAGCGTCACTGCCCAGCTCGTGGCGGTGAACCATCTGCTTTCGACGAACAAGGATGTCAACCCCGAGGACATTATTCTGCTCTTTGTTGTTTCGGAGGAGACTTCCGGCGATGGAATGAGAGCCTTTAGCGATTCGCTCAAGCACATGAGCCCCCCTCTTTCTTTCGACTCTGCCATCTTTGGCGAGCCCACCGAGAACAAGCTGGCCTGCGGCCACAAGGGCGCTCTCTTCTGCACTGCCGAGGCCAAGGGCAAGGATGCCCACAGTGGCTATCCCGAGCTGGGCAAGTCGGCCAACGAGCTGATGATCAGGGCCATGAACAAGATCTTGGACACAGATCTGGGACATAGCCCTCTCTTTGGCCCAACAACATTCAACATCGGTCGATTTGACGGTGGCGTCGCTTCCAACGTCGTTCCTGCAAAAGCTTGGGTGGACATCTCGGCCCGTGTTGCTGTTGGCTCGGAGAAGGAGGGCCAGAATGATGTGCGCAAGAAGATTTATGATATTCTTCAAGAAACAGACCCCGAAGCTTTCACCCTGAACTGTTCTCATGGATATGGGCCGTATGAAAGCAACTGCGATGTTGATGGTAAGTGTAACCTCTAGATTTTAGTATACTGCAATGGATTTGCTAACCATCAATCCAGGATTTGAGCAAATTGTTGTCAACTATGGCACAGACATCCCTAATCTAGAGGGCGACTATGTTCGTTATTTGTATGGACCAGGCAGCATTCTTGTTGCTCACGGTGACCACGAGTACGTCACCGTTGGCGATTTGGAGAAGGCAGTTGAAGACTACCAGAAGCTGATCCTTCACACGCTGGGTCAATGAGGAGTTTGCAAGTCATAGTCAGGTAATTTACGAAATTTAATTTTTTCTGAATACTAAACGATGTGTGCATCAAATCATTACTAGGTAGTGAAGCTTTTTACTAACGCTGGTCTTTTTAACCTGAGCCGGTTAAATGGTATCTATGCTTGAGATGCCTATCCTCTATATCTTTGTTTTGTTATATGCCAATCCCCCCTCTTTCTTCACTCTCTCTTAATTAGCCAGCTTGGCCCATCGCTCAGGTAGAATCTTGCTAAAGTCAAAGGTGCCATCGGGCCCCTTCTCCACAGCACCTTTCTCCGTCACAACCACATCGATGAACTCGGCGGGAGTAACATCGAATGCAGGGTTCCAAACGTCGATCCGCTGGTCAGCTGTCGCAATGCGAACCTTGTTCTCTTTATTCACCTGGCCATCAGATCCAACAACCGCACCAGTGATCTGCGTCAGCTCTTCCTTCTTTCGCTCTTCAATTTTGATGCCGTCGCCAGTCTTGGTGTCCAAGTCGATGCTTGTCGTGGGAGCGGCTACAATGAACTTGATGTCGTGGTGCTTGGCCAGAACAGCCAATTGGTAGGTGCCAATCTTGTTTGCGGTGTCGCCGTTGCGAACAACACGGTCAGCTCCTACGATGACGGCAGCAATGTTGTTTTCTGTTTTCTTGGTTCGGAATAGCGCAGCAGCCATGGAATCTGTGATGAGCGTGCTGGGAATACCCTCGTGGACCAGCTCGAATGCTGTCAGGCGGCTGCCCTGGTTGTAGGGTCGAGTCTCGGTGCAAAAGGCATGCTTGAGGAATCCCTTGTAGTGAAGCGTACGGATGATTCCAAGGGCTGTTCCATGGCCTGAGGTGGCGAGTGCGCCAGTGTTGCAATGTGTCAGCACAGAAATCTGTTGCTCTGCTGAAGCGCCAGCTTGAGATTGGAGCCACTGAGTGCCAAAGTCCCCTATTGAGAGGTTGTTCTGGAGATCCTTCTTGAATATCCTCTCTGCTTCTTCGATAAACGACTCGGTAATAGCGCCTTGTCCCTTTCCTTCAGCGGTTCGGATGATTGCCTTTAGCTGGGCAATGGCGTTGGACAAATCGACGGCCGTTGGTCTGCTTTCCTTCAAGTAATCCAATGCCTCGTCGATGCGCGTAATAAGCTCAGAGTCTGAAGCCGCCGCAATGGGGTTGTTGTGCAGCTCGACAGCGAGTCCCAAGCTGGCTACGATGGCAATGGCCGGGGCGCCTCGCACTCGCATGGTCGCGATGCTGTCAAAGGCCTCTTGTCGAGTCGAGACGGGGTCATAGTGGAATTCGTGGGGCAGGCGAAGCTGATCGAGGACCTCCAACTTGCCTCGCTGGTACTTGACAGCTTCCAGGGCCGACATTATGGAACTTGTGTGATGAATTGAATTTCGCGAAAGGACGAGTTGGAGGTCTTGCGCCTCAGTTTTTTCTTTTTTATTTCGCCTTTTCACATGAAAAGTCTGGTCCAAATGCGTCATGCCCCTCCTTGAAGAATTCTGCCGCACCCCTCCTTGCCACTAACATGCCTTAAAGCCGCCACGTTTGTTCCTGGATAGCTTGCGTGCTGAGCATCACTTATAGCATCATTTTCTGATATTTCATGCGTTTACAGAAAGAACAATTTATGTTCTCTAAAATAGACTAGAAAAATGAAATAAAGAAATCTGACATGAGTTAGACTATGATGTAGCCCTTAAGGTATATGAAGCTTTGTAAATTCCAGTGGAAAACACGCCTCTCTTTCGGTGCTCTGAAGTAGCTGTTCACCGCCCAGCCATCCGGAGTAACATAAACTCCGATTAGATCAAGCTCCAGAGCTGCTATTGGTAGCTGACGATCCAGGGGTCATCCTTGTCCATGCACCTCGACTATTGCGGCCAGCTCTCTGTCGCATTGACATCCCGCATCTCAGGCGGTCGACAATGCCAAGGACAGAGACGACCTGGTTGCCATGGAACAGCAGACCTCGACTTCAACGGTAACAGGTGAGGGCATCGGCCAGTACAACCTCAAGCTCGACCTCAGCTAATTGCATTGCTCTATAATCCACGCAGTCGAGTACTTCGATCCCCACGATGTTTACAAGCTCCTGGCCCCGGGGCTAGTCCCCCGCCTACCCCTTCATAACCTGCACTGGCAGTCTCACTCCGGGCCGCTTCGATCAATCGATACGCTGCACGTTGAGCTGGTTCGGGGAAGTCTCGAAGTCCCAGAAGCTACGCTATCTCCCACAGCGCGACGGTCTGGTAGCGTCCCGAGGGTTGAGGATGTCTTGCGGTCACGGAGTGTTAGTGTCTCTACGGACTCGGGCAGAGCTCGCGCGCCGTCTCTTCGCTCGAAAGCAAGTGGTAATCTACGACGACATCAGATCCCAGGACTTCGACGAACGCCATACCTCAAGCTCCTTCTAGTTCGATGCGACGACAACGACTCTTACAAGAACTCGGTACGGGCCGAGGTCCGAGAATGGGTCAGGAACCATACTGCGCCAGCGACGTCTTCAAAGAAGGGGAGTGGCCAAGAGAATCATGATGCGTTTGAGTGGCTTATTGTGCATGTTGTCATCCCCAACACCGCAGCGTCGACTCAGCCCAGAAGTAGCGGGAAGTCGGACAGCACGGAGAAGACTACAACGTCGAGATGGCGGACAGGGACAACCCCCTTATTGGAGAAGCTTCGATCCGATTTCAACACAGCGACCAAGGGCGCCCAAGATCGTGTCACGCAGATTAGAATCGGGATCAACGACGTGCCATACGACCTTTTACCTAGAGTGGTTCCAGCTGTGCCATCGGGCTACAACGAGACGGAACAAGATGCCGAGAATGCTTGGAATGATTTGATAGGGAAGATCAAAAGCCAAATTCTGACCTCATTCGACATGCGAGTGACCCAGTACGAAGAGGATATTCGAGAAAAGGACGCCCAACGAACTCTTCCTGGCTGGAACTTTTGCACATTCTTCATTCTCAAAGAAGGTTTGGCGAGAGGCTTCGAGAGCGTTGGTCTTGTCGAAGATGCGCTTGTGGGGTATGATGAACTTAACGTTGGTCTGGATACTGTTATACATGAGCAGCTCGAAACAGGCTCGCCGGAGAGACACGGTGGCGAAATGGCGGCTTTCACGGAAGAGCTCAGAGACATCGCAGAGCGAGCATTAGAAGCTGTTACTAAAGATAGTAGCGACGAGGAAGGCGGTGATACTGAATCGAACGCCGCAGGACCTCGCTTTGGAGAGATTGCAATCAGTTCGACCACAAAGGCATACCGAGACATGATCCTTGCGAACAAGGTTTCCATCTTCGATTTTAGATGCTACATCTTTTCTCGCCAGGTCGCCCTGCTTCTAAGACTAGGAAACGCGTTATCCTCCAAAGAGGAGCTAATTGCGATGCTCAAGACCCAACAGAAGGATATTCTCTATGGCGAAGCACCTTTAGCAATGCCACCGCCGAACCAAAAAGACGAACCGGAGAATCTCATCACTTTTGCCGACATATGCCAGCGGACATTGCAGTTTATTCCATCAGTATCGCAGATATTGCGACAAGATATCATTGTGGGATTAACAGCAAACAAAACGCCAAGCAAAAAAGCGCCAAGGTTGAGCCCCCAAGCGGAAGAAACAATAGATAATATGGTGGCCTCGTTTGCCTTTTCTGTCGCTCAGCAGATCCTTGCTCAGACCTCTACAAAAGCACTTCCAATTCCGCCCTCTTCGCTATCTTATGGAGATGGACTCGAGCCAAAATCCTCCATCCCAGAGCCTAAGACGATGATCCATCCGGCTCGCAACTCGTCGCTCTCACCAAGATCAGGAATACCGCCGCCTCCACTTAGCCCAAGCTTCTTTCCCGGGCCTGGTAGGCAATTACCAGCCGGGGGCGACGCAAAGGGCCCGAATGGTTTTCTCAAAACCGGCTTGGAAGATTTGGCGGCTCGACGAGCCGAGTTGTACATGCTATCTAGAAGCATCCTGTCGAGCCTCGGCAAGAAGCGCAGCTGGAGTGACGGCTGGGATGAAGCCCCCTTGATTCGGGGAATTGGTATTGATGACATGGAAGACGTCAATCTGGATGAAGATGAGCGTGATGGTGAATCTGAAAACACCTCGCCAAAGAGCGCTTATTCACCGCTGATGTCTGGTATTGACAACACTGTGCTGCGGACTGCAGTCGACAACAAGGACGATTTCTATCGACTGTTTGAGATCCTTACAGATAAAGCCATGCGCCACTACACCGTTGCCAACCATGATCACGCAGTTCACTCAAGCTTGGCTGATTTGGCTGTATTGAAAGTTCACCTGAAAGACTACAAGGCTGCTTCATCTTTCTTTTCTGTCACTACGCCATTCTTTGGAGAGAGCGGCTGGAGCTTGCTTGAGCTGTCTATGCTTATCATGTACTGCCAGTGCCTGGATGATGTGAATCCACAAGGCGAGCATGTCGGCGTGGCCTTGAAACTTTTAACTAAATACTGCTCTGCAGAGAAGGAACGACTTCAGAAAAAATCAGGATTCAGTAGCTTCTCAAGGGACAAGACATATCCTGATGCTTGGCCAGTCACTGGAATTGTAGAAAAGCTTACGAATCTGGCCAAGTCGTTGTCAAAAGAAGTCAAGGTTCCCTTTGAGAGCTTCTTCACCGACGTGGAGATTAGCGGGTTTCCAGAGTATGAGGACAATCAAGACGGCTGCTCTCTGAATATTAGTATTAGGAGCCTACTGCCTGAAGATATTTCTTTTGACGCGGCGAAATTGCGAATAACTTCTGTTGATGAGGGGCCAAGCAGAGAGCGCATGTTTGAGGCGGCAGCTGGCTCAACTATTACACTGAAACCGGGAAAGAATAAGATACGGTTGGACTGCAAAGTGAGTTGATCAAATATTCATCGCAAGCATGGTGTGCAAACTGCTAACAATGTTTTTCTCCGTTCAGTCTGTGACGGCGGGACGTTACAAGATAGATCGAGTGGTCCTTTCGTCGAAGAATATTATGCTGCACTTTGAGCGTGATGTGAACGCTTCTTCGTCCAGCACAACAGATATCCTGAAACATGCCGATGTTATGCTCTTCCAGCGTACCGGCACATTCGACGTCCTCATGTCGGCTACTAAACAAACGTCACTAGACAAAAACAACTCCCTTGACCTAGCAATACATGCAGGGTGGAATTCTATCAAGAATTGCGAGATTCGAGTGAAGCCGGCAACAGGGGGTCTACGCTTTTTGACAACAGAAGCAACGATCCTGGACTCTTCAGCAGAATTTGCCAAACCACCTGAAGCTGGCGTGTTTTGTTTCGATGCCATTGCTGCCAACACTGTGGTGACAGTGCGATTCCCGTACTCTGTCGAGCAGGACGTTGCAGATGTTGTTGCCAAAATCGAAGTTACATACGTAACGGAAGCCGATGATACGTTTCGACTGGCCAAGTCCTTATCAGTGCCTGTGTCCTTGGCAGTTGGCGTTAATGTCCAAGATGTTTTCAAGCACCAGGCGCTTTTCTCTCGGTTTAATATTTCTACAGCATCATCCAGCCCACTACGGTTATATAACAGTGAGCTCCTAGGTTCAGATCTCTTTGAGTCTACGTTTGGCGTTGCTCCAGCAAATCCCGTCGTCATATTCAACAAGCAACCCGCAAGTCTACTGTTTAAAGTAAAGAGGAAAGAGGGGGCGAAGCCAAACAGTAAGGGCGGTAGGACCATGTACCTGAAGCTTGACTACAGCCTTTTGGACGTTGAGATGGAGCAATTGATGAGGCACTCTCTAACGACAGCTTTTGAGGCAAGTCCCCTAGCTCAGTATTCCAAGCTAGTCATTTCAACAGTTTGGAGCGAGTTCAAGAGCAAGCTGGTGCCACGAGACTTTGAGCAAGCTACTATCAAGGGTGAGATGACAACCGAAAGCTTGAAAGGTGTGGCATGGGAGAAACACTTTGCTGGGATCGGCGGGGCTCCAGGGGCTAGCGAGCATGCAACCGAACAGTTATCAGCACTTCTTCGGGCTTGGCAAAAGGACAACAGCCGTCTTGCCATACCATCGAGCGGTACAGTTGACAAGTCATCGATTCTCATTCCGGTAGAGATTCCGGCTCTGCCAGTTCTCCACACGGCAGACATTCACCTGCAGAGCCTCATCCCCAGTCCCGTACCCAGCAATGCAGGCGGGGGGCTCCCAACGGTGTGTACGAATCAGATGCTCCCGGCAACTCTACACCTCAAGTGGACGCGGATCTGGGACAACGACTCGTCTGTGCGTGACGACCAAGAATTCAGTTATGAGGTCACGGCGCCGGCGGATACATGGCTGCTGGGCGGACGTCGAAAAGGTCATTTCGTGATCCCGGGGCCATCAGCGTCATCACCAGCGGAGACCATGACGTCAACACCAGAGACGGAGGCTGAGATTCCACTCATCATGATTCCTCTGCGCGAAGGCTGGCTCCCCTATCCGCTTATCGACATCAGAGAGGTCGTCAACACAGAAGGGGATAGCAGCGGTGGTTCAGTCGGTGGTCAGGCCATGATGGCTCCAGGATGCGAGGTGGACTTACGGAATCTGGGCGAGACGGTGCGAGTGGTAGGGGATAGGAGCGGCATGACGGTGAGCCTTGACGCGAGCGGCCCCGGAGGGGGCCCGTTGGTGTTTGAAAGCGAACGGTTGGCTGGGTTCAAGGGGAAAATCGTCGAGTGAATGCCATCATAGACTCGGATGATCTTCTTTCCTTACACCAGATTTCTCTTTCCTACATCAGATACAACAAGCGCAAGATTTCTAGGCTTGGCATGGAGGCTTATTTTGATTAGAATTATACAAGGGTTTTGGCGAGGGTTGCCCGTTGTTAGAATACGTTGACCGTATTTTCCGTTCTTCTGTATGCGGTAATGCCATGGAATTTCAAACACAAACAAGCAAGCATAACCAAGTTTTTTGACGGCCGTTTTGTGGGTGCTAAGCTTCCGATCGTCCATTTGATTCGGCCGTCGGTTATTACAACGGTATCGATTCAGTTAATGATCTTCATTAAGAAGGTTTCGAACCAAATGGTTAGAGTAAGGCTCGGCGACGCAGGGATATGGCGGTATGTGAGAAGTCAACTTTATAGGCAAGGGGCGTTCATGATCAGCCCAGAATATGACTTTTGCAGTTTTGCTCGCTGATTTTCGTTTTTAACTGATTTACTGTACACAAAGAGGCACAATCAACGCGTCGATGTTGAAGGCCGGAGATGGACGGCGATTTCTCTTACACCTCAGCACCCTGCGTTTTGACCATGCCGATCAGTTCCGTTTACGAGCTGCTTGGTATCTAAGCCAATCCACACACCCCCCTTGTCATGTAAATAAATGTACGTACCCGTTGAGATGGGCGTATGTAGTTCTGTATTTAGCATTAAGGTGAATGTGAATGTGCACATGCTAATGCAGTCTATCGGACAAGGCCAGGGTATTCGTCAAGGAGAAGTGATTAGGTATGAGTATGTACGTACATTGAAGCTGCAAGCTGCAAGCCAGCTGTAAGTACTCCATAATAAGCTTTTCCGTACTATAAGGGGAATAAAAAGAATGGTGAGCTCCTAAAAGGCAAAAAGGATATATGTAGGTTGGATGACAAGGAAAAACGCCACAAAAAGCAGCTTCGTGTGGGGAAGAAGGGCTGAGAAAGAAAAAGAAAGGAAAGCTGCATCTGCATCTGCATTGCATTGTTCCTTTGCGGTCAAATCACACCACATACGCATACCCCTTACATTCGTTTTACAGGGTATAGGGACGTATAGTACTGTACTTGGGATGTAAGGGAGTTGAGCGGGCTCGGAGATAGGGCTACATGCAAGTTGCATCGGGAGTAAAAGTGCCAAGGCCTGTTGTAGACATGCTGCATATGCGTGGCGTTGCGTTATAGATGCGAGTTTGTATGCAGCAGCAGGAATGGCTTGTGATTGTGGTTAGGTAAGGTAAGGTACAGTATAGCTTGAATGATGGGCGTTTATCGCAATATACTTGATACATAGGAATGAATTCGCAAAGGATCACTTCTCCATCTGGAAATGAACCCCATGACATGCATCCAGGGCATCTCACGCAACACCAGCGAGCAGCTGCTCAGCCTCAACACCTAACCGCTCACTAAAACTTCTCACACTGTCTCAAGTACAGAGTACAGATTGTCAGCTAGATTTCACAGTACGTACCCGTGCAGACTGTGAACCTTCTATTCCTCATTACGCCATTAAGCAGGGATTATTGGATTTATCGGCCCCCCCCCTCATTTCTCATTTTCGCTTCTTCAGACGCACACACACGCACACACAAGATGCAGCGTCGCGTGCAGCACTAAATCGGGGACACACAATACACGAGGAAGTGAGGAAAAAAAAATGAGAAACTACTATAGAAGAGAAGGAGAGGTGAGCGAGATGCGATACAAACCCGATGTGCGGGGCCAAAAGTCTCGATTCTTTTAGGTGCGGACAGCTGCAGTAGGGGAATTCATGGTGTAGTTTGTGCATGAAGAACAATAAAAGGCACGAGGAAATGTAATCTTTTCTCAGCGCCAATGATTGACGATCTTGGACAAGAGATGGTTCGCTCATTCGCAAGTAGCTGAAGCATCTTGAAACGAGGCCTGAACTGCGATTGGACATGATGAATAGATCCTTCCAGCAACAGACCACCTGAGAGACAAACAGCCTTTCTAAGCGCTGTACATCCACCGTAAAACCCCCCGCATTGATACCTACAGCAGCCCTCAGCAGACTAGTAGTAGCCCACAGCTCGCAATTACGTAGCGATAATTCTTCATGTACATAGGTCCCAAGACCCCTAAATCGAACCCCATAGCCGTTTCTGTCCAAGAACACTGCAATGCAGCGCATGTGGTCCCCTGTTTTTTTTTTTTTCTTGTCTATCTTCTGAGCGAGAGGATCTAGCATTTGTGCAAGGTAAAATCATCTGCAGTGCGTGCAATGTTTCAATCTCCTGGATCGAAATCCCTCAAAATGTTCCGAGTAAAAAAGGGAAAACGAGAAAAAACAAGAAAATCGACGTCATATTCCAATCTGTAAGGGGGCGATCCGCCTGCCTTGCGCCTCACGGATCTTCATGGCTGGCGAGGCAAAACAACGCCACTCAGCCACCGACCGTTTTTTCCGACCGTATCATGTTCCAAGATTGAAAATAAATGAAGATCAAATGTTTTCTAACGTATAGCTCTGCGTCATAATTCAAAAAAAGCGTCGGAGCCAGGTCCGAAAGAGCGTCGTCACCTGTCGTTTTTCCCCAAGCAAGCCGGCCTTGCATTACTCTACGCTCCCAAGTGATAGCTTCAAGGCCCCCCCTTGTTTCAGCTCCGCCAGCCCTGCTGCATGTTCTCGATACCCCTACTTTTGTGTGTCATGTGTAGTACCTTGGGTACAAGCTATGCCGGTAGTGGGCAGACACATTTCACAGGTACCGACTGACCCTGCATCCCTCCATCCATCCATCACCGAGAAGGTCAACTGTGAAATCCAACACATCACATTATGCGCCAGCGCTGTGGCCAGTGCTTTAGTTCCCCTGATGGCAAAAAATCAGAAGATTGAAAGGACAGGAAAATACTGATGTATCACAATGTACAAAATACATGCAACGTAGCGTGGATTCTCGTCGTAAAAAAGTAAAAAGACTGTTTTCGTCACCGTAAAAAGATACACAACGCCCCCTTGCCTGGTTTAGCCCTCCCCCCCCCGTCGTTGTGTCGTACCAAACTGACGACATCTGTCTGCGTAAGAGCCTCCTGCTCATCCTCGGTGGCAAACACCATGACATCAGATTCCGTTCCCTTCGCGGTTGGAATTGCCGCAGCGCGCTCCCCGTCTGTGTAATTTGTGATTGCAAAGTGCATTGGTCTGGTGTATTGGTTTTGCGTAGTGTTGGCACAGTCCAAGTCACATCTCCCTCTCCCCAAGCAAGATCCCATAGTCGAAACGAAAAGTAGAGGCATCAAGTAGTGTTTGAACAAGTCTGTTATCTTGACTGTCGAGTTATAGAGACAAAAAGCTTTGAGCCCAAGACCTTATTTCCCCTTGTACAATAAGTCAGATACATGTTTTAAATTTGACAATTTTTGATTGGGTTTTTTTCTTTTCGCTACCAATTCCCTCTTCCTTCCTTCCTTTCCCAAACCTTTCCAGTATCCGTCTACGCTGGTCCATGCAAAACAAATCACAGATCCCTTAAGGATCTGCCCTTTAAACGCCTGATAGATATGATCTCCCAGTCCCAGTAAGATGAGAGCCTGTAACTTGTAAAAAGAAAACACACAAACAATAACAAAAAACAAGACAAGACAGCTGTAAAAATGACCAACAATTGTAAAAACAAGGAAAGAAAATCGCAAATAAGACGCCCAATACAATGACGAGATGCTGCCATAAGAGGTGTTGGCGCTCATAAACGTGGCTCAGAATCCCCATATTTCAAGGGTAGTGTACAGTAATGTCGCTTTTACGCGAGCATGGTGTGGCCGTAACGACAAGAAAAAGAATATAAAAGTAAAAAGGGAAGCATGTGGATCGTGGCGGCAAAATGCAAAAGGAAAAATATTGTTGTTCAAAGTCTGGGTATCATGAGCCCCTCTCCTTTTCTTTCTTCAAAAAGGGGGGCTCGGAGCGGCGCCTTTAGAAATCCAATGCTCCAAAATAACATAACTGAAGCGCCACAGTCTTTTCGTGGCGCGATGAATGGAAATAGCCCAAAATTTTGGTCTTTGTTTTAGGAAAGACGGGTCGAAAGCAGACTTGTCGTTATAGGTAGCTGTCGTTTTGAGATGACGTCTTTTTGCGTTGATGTACTTCAAGTGGTGATTAATCCAAGCACAGGACCAGCAGGTCAATTTGACTGAAGCCACATATAGATGATGCGTGATCGTTTGATGGCTTATTTCTTTCCTCGACTTCCCGTCGCTGTGATCTTGCTCGTGCTCATCAAGTCACCAATGTATTTTTGAAGGAATTTGTTGTTGTTGTCGAGCTTGTCGTGCTCTTCTCGTACCGCTTCGATGCGGTTGAAAATTGTGAGGAGGGATTCTTGCAGAGCCTTGGCATGCCTAGAGTCACATTGGTTAGTGTCATATGCGACAATTGTCTGGGTTGATATGTACTCACTTTCTTAGCTCTTCGCGCGCCTCCTCGCCCATCTTGTTAATGTCCTCGTTGGTCCTCCGCGGGCTCATGGGTCGAATAATCTCTGGTTCATACTGCGAGCTATCGCGAGGGCCAGGGCGAGTGGGAATGGGTTGGTGGATAACAGATTCGTTCTGATCGGAGGGAGTTGTGGACGCCGACGAGTCTGAGCGCTCGATGGGGTAGGCGCGGCCGGCATGGCCAGCAGAGTGGTTATCGTGTTCGTCGGACATGGTGTGTTGGATGATGTGTAAAGAAAAGATATTGCGATATATGAGTGGTGTGGTGTACGAGTGGTGTGGTCTTGTGTTGTGTCTGTTGTCGTCCAGTAATCCGTAGTTGGTATGGCAATGAGCCTTTTTCTTCCTCCTTGGGCTGTTGTCTTGTAATGCTTCAACACAGCTGCAGTTACTGGATAGTCAAAGTTGGCGAGGAGCTGTGGCTGCCACGTGTATGCGTATATGCGAGAATAAAAGGAACCAAATGCGGAGCGAAAACAAGGCGGGACAGAAGAGCGTAGAAGTAAGGCGGCGAAACCAAGTTGCAAGGAAACAAGCTTCAATCAGCCGAGGCGGCAACGTGAGGTGGTGCAAGGTTCTAAAAAAGGACCGGGATGGCGGAGAAGAAGGTTTGTCGGTAGTAACTCGTGTTTGGACTTTGTGCGAACTCCTCGTGACAGTCAGACGGGCCCCTCGTTTACTCGGCGGCTCAGTCAGCGTGGAGTTGTCGATGCGTTGGCGAGAAGAGGGAAAATTAGGCAACGCCGAGTGGCTGCGCTGTCTCGGGGGTCTTGTCTGTCTTGTATTGTATTGGACGATGGAGGAGGGTGGGAAGAGGCAAGCGAAGCTGGCGAGGCAGAAAGAGCAGCGTCAACGGATGACGAGAAAAATCGGGTTCGTGCGCAGAGATGGGCCTGCGTGGAGAAAACTGATTTCAGGAAAGCCGTGGCCTTTTTAGCGGTCAGCCCCCCCGAAGGACAAGGTGATGATGATCTGCTACAGTATAGCGTCGGGCAATGGCACCAGTCGAGAGCTCTGTGTCTCCTTGGGCTGGGGGTCCCTTTTCCCAGCGTGTCAGGCTGAGAGGTGAGGGCAGATCTCCGAGCTATCGCTGGTTAATTAGCTGCGACCCAGTGCCAGTCACCAATGTGGGTTTCTGTGTCGACTCTTACCCGTTTGCTCGACCGGCCTGGCTAGTTGATTTGACGATCCGCCAAAGCGCCTCTGAGCCAGCTCGCGAATCGAGGGGAGAGGCTAGAAGGCAGAGAAGCAGAATCAAGGTTGGCGCTAGCAAGCAATCAAGGGTTCTTTTTTTCTCTTGGATATATATCCTGCAGCAGACACGATGCTTCTATTTTCCGACCTGCTGTGCGGTCCCTGTTTGGTCTCCTGCTTCTTTGGACGGCTTGTGCGAAGAGGAGTGAGTGGGATCAACGGGTTTGACGTTTTGACGTGATGGAACTCTGCCCTCGCCAACGTGCCAGTTAGCATGCAAGTACCAATATTCTGATATGCGCGTGTATCGGCAACAAGAGGGAAAAGATTCTCGGGCCCGCTGACAGGGAAGTACTTGGCATACAACACACACTGTCCTGCGACGGAAGGGATGAAGAGAAGGAAGAAAAATCTATCTCGACGGAGTATATGTAGCAATGGAGGCCCTTTGGGACGGCTTTGGGAGCGAGAAAGGGGGAGTGCAGGTGGTTGCGGGTGTGTATCTGCGCTGGTCGATAGTACAGCGACCGTATTTGCTGGACATCGAGCCCAGCACAGTTCGCAGAATCGCACCTTCAGGCGGTGAATTGGATGAATTTGGGAGGGGTGGGGGATGCCCACCATGAAAAGTACGGGCAGGGGGGGCCTGAAGAGCTCCGGCGACGAGGGTCGAGACGAAAAGAGAGAAAGACAGTTGGGCTTCCATGACCATGTCGATGGATGGGGAGGACCCTTTGCTCGAAATGAGCTACGCTGGTACCGGATACCTTGGCCATGTCGCGACGGCAAGCGTGCGCGCACTGACATGTACTGACGTATTACAGCCGCGCTGCACCCGGCTTGCACATACGCCCCGGGTTTCTTTCTTGTACACCCTCGCAGATAGCGCCTTGTGTAGGTAGGCACTTTCTGCAGTACTACGGTACGCTGCTCGCTGCCGGCGGCTCCTCCAGGCACAATGTAGGCAGGCAGTACGGGAGCGGGCTACAGGCAGACACGCCGCCAATGCTAGACGCCCTTCTCATACTGTACATTAGTACATTACAGACACCGCGTGATAGGATACCGACTGGAGCAAATAAGAAGAAAAAAACTTTCACAAAAAAGAGACAGCGAGGGCGTGGGGGAAGTGCCAGATCAACCTCTCCTTTCACAGCGGAATCCATTCTAGCATGGATGTATCCTGGACCCTTGCGCGCTGGGTCCGTTTTCCTACTCCCCGCGATATGGCGATGGACGATTTGAGAAGCGCATTGCAGCCCGCCTAACTCGTAGCGCCTAGTGCTGTTTTTTAGCCCTTCTAGCGCCCCTCTTCTGCACGAGTATCACCGCAGTGCCGAGCTAGAAGAGCACCATGCTTTTCTTCGCAACTCTCACGGTCAGCCACGATAGCGCTATTATGCAGCCCGCCTAGCTGCCGGGGGGAGCTGGAGAGAAGAGAACAAAGAAGCATTGATACGTATTACCTAAGATTGCTGAAGAAGAAGACGATGGAGAGTTAAAGGGCAAGAGCTCGGCTTGGCCTGACCCGGCTTCACAGGAGACCTGGCTCCCGACGTTGGTTGCGACATCAGCGGCAATACAAGCAATGTTATCAGGCTATTACAAGTTATCGCCGGTATTTGCCATGTGCTGGCACCAAGACGAGACCAAGACATGCGAGGTCGGCACTCACAATTTGAGAAGAGAGACGATCAATGCCAGTGACGCCATGGCATACAACACCCCCTTAAGAGGCCAGCAAAGACGCCCACTGTACAGTACGAGGCAGTACTGCTGAGGTGGACTACATGGCACGTGGCGCTGAAGGAAGCCTACCTTTCACACTGTATTCATTGGCGCATTACAGCAGCGTAGATACAGTTTCTCGGCGGCCAAGCCGTACCGTATGACGGGTACCTGCCAGTAGCGGGCGGTAGTAGAGAAGCTGTGCTCACCACACCCTGGCCGCCTCCAAAACCCAGCAACCCATGCCTCCATCGTCAGTTTTGCCAATGTGCTGCTCCGAATATCACCACTATGCCCACTTTTATTTTTTCTTCAGTCAGTTTTTCACCTCTCCCGGCAGTTTAGCTACAAGTGCAGTGTACTGTCTGTACCTACCACCATTCACTTTGCTGTTGCTCGTGGGTCCTGTCTGAAAGGTCGACCTGCGAGGATCGGTTGGACAGATGTGCTGCCGTCCATTACAACCTTCATCAGTGATCGGCGCCCTCCTGCGGCCCATTTCCGCGAGCGACTTACTCAGACCCCAGGCCAAGATGTTTCGCCTGGGAGCTCTTTGCCCTTTGCAACAGCAGCTCGAATCTTGCGATCCCGAAACCCCCGGCGTGATCCTGTTCGGCATGGCCTTTATTGTCTCTGGCCTTGACGGAAGAAGCGAGAAAAGAGGTGTTCCACCTGACTTGCGTCATTACTAATCTGGAAGCCTCAAGGTTCGACGGCGGATAGCCCACACGAGCTCCCTGTCGCCAAAGTGCATCCTGTAGCTGCTGCTGCTAGCTCTACGGAGCGCTGCTCCGTAGCGTTTGGCAAATTTTCTCTGCTCTCCGCTTTGCACGACGCGATGCTCCGTAGTCAACCGCGGCGTCGCAGCCGGCGAAGCTACAGGCAGCCTATCCCCCCAAGAAGGGGGTGAGCGGAGTCGTCGTCTCTGCCTGCGGGATTGGACTCAAAGGGTACTTACTGACTGATGGGCGATATCGTGAGGCGTCTCGCTCGTCGTCCGTCCACGGTGCTTCGACCCCCCTGCCGTCACCCGGCTCTGATGCTGCGTCCAACGCTCTCGGAAACGAGCCTTGCCCGGACAGGCAATCTCCCAGAAAATGAGCTTGACGTCGGCCCCGCCTGATGTCATGGATCGTCCGCCTCTGTCCAACAGAAATGCGTCGAGCAGCCGCTCCACCAATCCCGCCCCAGCCGCTTTGATGCAGCGCCAGCGCCAAAAGTCTGCGTGACTCGCAAGCCCCTCGCGGCTGGTGCGAGGTACTCCCTACTCGTCTTACAGTGCGTCGTCTGCTCTGCTGCACATGGCTTCTAGTGTTACTGACCAAGCCTTCCTAGCCAGGAATAACGTCCGAAATCACGATATGTTTTGCCTTCATGCCAGAGACTCAGCTGCTCGCCCCGTCTCTATCGTGTTCGCCTCATCCGAGGGCTAAAAGTGACTGATGACAGGGCGTGCCCAAGCAGCTACATTAAAAAAAGAAAAATCGCCTCGGCATCTTATCGTGGACCCTTTTCGTCGTGATTCATAAGCCGGTCTCGTCTAAGCATCGTGTACGACAACACTCATACAGCTACGGGGCAAGACCACTATTTGCAATCAGATGCTCTGCCCGAGACACCTTTCCAAAAGCATTGCCCAGAATTTTACTGCTAGGGGGAAGGGAGCGAAGAGTATGAGGAAAGCCACAAAGACGGAAAAAAGAAGAAGAAGAACAAGAGAAGGATTGAAATTTGCGGCTCTTTGATGCCTGACAGCGCACTCAGTTATGCCTCATGGGTCCTGAGCTGCCTGCCTAGCTGCCCATCACACGGTAAACTGCTTCCAGCCTCTGCTTTTTGTCTCATGTGCATTGTGGCGCTGGAACCCATGGTTATAAATGTTAATTTTGTCTGCCTGCTCACGATGCTGCTGGCCTAGTTTCGCATTTTCGCTGCCAGCCCTGTCGTTGCTATATCATGCTAGCCGAGGGTGGTTCTCTCCTGACACAGAAACATCCATCACGTCTCACACCCGCGTTGATAGCCACAGCTTGCCAACCGGCAGATTATAGATCGACTAGTCTGCGAACCGCTATTTCTGGCCAATGTTTGCGGCCATACGTGCACTACCTATCGCCGGCATCCAATCACGCAATCTCTTACCAAGTACAAAAGTAAAAACAACAACGTGCTACATTTCATGACCTCTGGCGATCGGTCGCCCGCCATACACCTACCTAATACACATTCTCAGAGCACCCAGAGGCGAGCCCTGAGTTGTTTGCATTGTTTCTGTTTCTCACCGAAAACACACAGCCCTTGTCGTGTTCCCGCCTATCAAACCCTAGACTTCCCCATGACTATGAGTACTTGCACACAGCTGGAGTGGTACAGGCATAGCATCCTTTTTGCCGGACAGGCCTCGTGACAACAGCCAGCGATGTTGTGGAACCACACCTAAGAACTCTTGTTTCACTGAAGCCGTTCATCCACTCGGTGATTTGAGTATACTACTTGTTGGCTTACTAAGTCATCTTCCTTCATCCTACGTCCAACAAAGACCAACATCTCAAATTACTGTAATCTCACAACTCTTGTGAAACGAAGAACTGTATAGCTGTTTAATAATCCCTGGGCCTGTTAAGCTCCTGGCGCGACCGCCAAGGCTGCTTCGGCACCAGCTCGCCAGAGCCCTTGTGACTCTTACCAAGTAGTACTAGGCAGTTGCCGCAAGATGTCAATCTTCCTGATGTGCGATCTAGTAAAGTCAATAGTGTCTGGGCGGCTCTCTTCTTGACCCCTCACAAGACAATTAAAAAGTCAAAATTGGAGGTTCAATTCAACGTTTCGGTACCGACTTCATCGGCCGCGACCACTTTACGGTCCGCCTCAGCCACATACGGCCCCTGTTGGCTCTTGTTCATGGTGGCGTCTAGGATTGGCTGAGTTCAACGCCATACGGGCCGTTCCAATCCATCGTGTAACACAAAACTCTCGTCGGTTGGCAAATAAGAATGTCACCCCCTCTTGGTTGCTGGAGCGCTTTCCCAGAGGCTGCCTGCATATTCCCACAGCTCTTCTACTCGCGATTGGCCCTACAGGGTGGTGATGGAGAGGCACGAAGCATGCACGATGATAGCAGTCACACCAGTTCGGCCACCAAGGAAGGGCTACCATCAGCCAGTCAAGGGGTTCGGATGTGAAGGGGGCTCTTGGCGCGTGACAATCTTTGTGCTTCACAGCCGCTCGCTACGGCCCTATTTGGTAAAAAGAATGGCAAGCGAGAGGGAAGAAGAGGATGGCGGCTGTCCAGGTTGCCCCGTCCTTGTTTGTCCCCTACTCCTTCCAGCCATCACCAGCACCCTTCATCCAGTTTACACTGACTAGCTGTAGCTGATGCTTTTCAACAAACTTGACAGCGTCAAAGGAGCGTCTTTGAACGAATTCCTCGCCTCCAACGTCTTCCTTTGTAAGAGCCAGGCCATGGGGCTCTCGGAAGAGCAGGAACAGATACCGGTGCGGTTTCGAACTTTTGAGTCGCATGTCTCGTTTTAGTAAAATTGTCCAATAATGTTTGTTCATATAAAGCTAAGAATGGAATAGATGAGAGGAGAAAAGAAGGCTATTTTCAGGTAATGGAGAGGATGATTGGGGCCGGATTTATCAGTGCTTGGCAATGGAGGGCCGCGCACCAATATCTAACTGCATGATAGGGGCAGCAAACCACAGACACAATCCACTCTCCTACATAAACCACCCCTCCTCTTCGCGATTACGGAGCCATGGAGTAGGTGGAAAAAAGTGGCCAGAGCGTAAAGAGAAGAGGGGTGGATGGCAGCATGACATGACAAGACAAGGGACAACGGGATGGTGGAAGAAGACGAAGCGAGAAATGTGACTTACTCATCCTTGGGACCCGGGGCAAGATACTCTGTGAGCACCGGCTTCGTCTGGGCAACGATGCCATCAGCCGAGGTCAATGGCTTCAACCCTGGCAGAACCCAATGGCGCCAATATGCGAATTTAGGGTCGTCTGGCGTAGGTGCGTCGGGGTCGATGAGGAGGAGCATATAAGACGCCTCTCCCGAATCCCCAGCCTATAAATGTACATGGATGCATGGTAAGCCATCAGAACTCTAGGTTTTAACTCAGCGCCTCATTGGAGCGATATAAGGCACACTCGCAGGCTTTTCAAATTATATACACACAAAAGACTTACTTCACCCTCAAACGACACAAAGGGAGCGAGCTTCACCTCGCGCACTCGAAAAAGATTACCAAATTCGACATCCCGGCCGTCGAAGGAGACGCCCAGCCGCGTGGTTGGCGTAAAGTCCCGAGGGATGAGCGCTTCCGCCGAGCCAGGCGCAAGGTTGGCTTCCGCCAGGGACCTGGCCAGCGTCTGAGCAAAGCTGTCGAGGGGTGTTGTCGACATGGCTCTCTTGTTCTATGCGGTGGCGAGGGCTAAGGTTGTAAGCGAGAAAGATGAGGGATGACTTGACGGGGAGAAGATTCCGAGCTCCCGGGAGAGAAGATTTGCAAGGATTTGTTGACTGCAGCCGAGAAAAAGAAATAAAGAAGAGAGATGTGTTTGGGAGTTTGACGTCTGTGACTGCGGTGGCTGACCAAGAAAAGGGAAAAGAAAGACAAAAAAACGATGACGATCTTAGCAGCGGGGAGTTTTCGCTTTGGGCCTTTTGAGTGCAGCCGCGCCGGGCTCCTCTTACTGTACGATGTTTGGAGATGAGCGCTTGGTTCTTCATGGATTTTGGGCTTGGCGACCAATTTGACTGGTGGAATAATTGGCGGCACAGTCAACGTCCTTCATGGATGGGAATGCTAACTAACAGGTGTAAAAGTTTCTACAATTTTTCTCATGATACGCACACGTGAAACGAGCCGAATTTTTACGATTGAGCAGCATGTGACAGATATATTGCAAAGTGCTAGACAAGTTCGAGCTGCCTGCTTGCTCGGCTCATAATAAGCAACAAGAGCACTTAATAAATGACGTCTGTGGCCTATCCGGAAATGGTCTCTAGGTTTTACAAAATCGGCAAATGGCCAGTTACCGATAACATGGCATGTGGAGAAATTTATACATAGCACTCTTTTAGTCTTATATCCTTGTCTTGCTTTTTGGGAGTCTAGAATCGATGCAGAAGCATGCTGTTTGTGGTTGAGTAGGTATGCTAAAGGCTGTCAACTAGGATTCAGCCTATAAATAGATGTTTTGTTTTACTTTTCTTATTTTGGACTCTTATGGGAATTATTCCACATTCCATTGGGGTGTATAGTAGCGCTTGCTTTAGCAACGGTAAAAAACATACTCAGAACTCGAGATGAGCCAATGGCACAAAAAACAAGGGCGAGCGCCGGGCGTCGCTGACTTGGAGTAATCTATGGATCGGCTGAGAGAAAGTTTTCAAATGCTGGGAGAAATTGATATCGGGTGTCCGTACGGAAGTTCCGGCGTAAGGCGCACTTTTGACTCCCCCGCAGAATGTCATATGCAATAAGCTTCGGATCACTACTGCTACTACTGCTGGCCGTTTTGACTCTTCTTTTACTTTTCTAAGCTACTACGAATTCATGTTCAATGCCGAGATTCTTTCTCGCCCGATTTTGGTGGTGGTTCGGTCTGGGGAACCCCGGCTGTATGAGTGGGGACTGCATGTAGACATGGTATCTTAGAGTTTGTTTCTGGGGACAAGATGGATTGTTGGTATGATTTAGCCTTAGTCTGGGGGATTATTGATCTCGAGATTCCGGCATAAATGTGAGTGTTACTACTCTTTTTCTACGAGAAATTAATCAGTATGAGACTTGAATTGAGAATCGTGGGGTGTAGATTGAGGAGATCTACAGAGACTACAGAACAGCGATTGAGAACATCACCGAGACAGCTGGTTGACTCATCTACTCTTATGCTTTCATAGGAAGCTACATACTGAGTACCGATTGGGTATTATCCTTTATACTACCACTCATATATATATACCTATGCTTTGGTACTTACACAATCAAGCATAGTTTTCTTTCGTCACAAAAGAAAGCTTCATCAGGCATCAAAGGCCATCTCAGCCTCCACGATCGATAAGCCAACCCGAGATTTCTTCATCTACAAGTCCTCAAACTCAAACTTGACGAGCAGCGTGCAATCAGACTCTTTCCCCTTGAGGTCGTTCATCCTGATAAACGTCCATCCTACCGGCGCATACGACAACCGCACAGTCGCAACGGCAAACTTTGGGTTCCTAGCCCAGCTGTCGTCGCTCTTGATGAGCATGCGCAGAAACACCAGCTCGTTGTCTTCATACTGCCACTCCAGGGTCTCGTCCCAGACGGGATTCGTGGCATGTGGGTTCTCGCCGTGATGAAGGAACCCCAGCGTGTGGTGCTTGTACGGCTCCGTCTTTCGCTTGGCCTCCTCCTTGACGCTCATGAGGGGGCTGTACAGCGAACACGTCAGGTACGGCTTGATCGAGTCCCGCTCCCTGTCCTCGTGGAGAGGCACGTCCGTGGCGCCAGCGACGTGGACGCGCAGCTTTCTCGTCCGCCCCGTGCGAAGATCGCCGCTGCCGCCCGCTCGCAGGGTCGCGGGCTTGAGCACGTAGCCCGGCGTGCCGTTGAAGAGGGCGTCGTTGAGCTGGACGCTGGTGGTGTACGTCTGCCAGTTGAGGGCGCAGATCTGGGCGCCGACGCCCCAGTACTTTTCCGGGTGCAGATTCGTCGACGAGATGCGCGTGCCCTTGGGGAAGACGCGCATCAGGTGGCGCGAGTTGTGGCGCGCGATCTGGACGGCGTGGGCGGGCAGGTGCTTGGCCAGGCCGCTCTCGGACACGTTGATGAGGTGGTGATGCGGGCCGTTGATGAGCTGGCCCGGGTCGTACCACGAGTTGTCCTTGGGTTTCACCGACTGCGCGTAGACGCCCAGCTCCGCCAGCTCGGGGATGATGATGGCCGCCGACGGCTGCTGCTTCTGCGTCTTCTTGTTGTCCTTGTAGGCCTTGCGGGCCTGCCGCTGCTGCTCGTCGTCGCTGCTGTCGTTGTCATCGTCGTCATCGCCGCTGCTGCTGCTGCTGTCCTCATCGGGCAGATGGAACTCGACAATGACGGAAATTTTGGGACCCAGATCCTCCAAAGTGACATGTTCACCGCTCCCCTGCTGCTCGCGCGTGCCTTTGCGGCGCACCGGCTCGCTTAGCAGGCGGTGACCAAAGACGTCCCTCATTATCTGCACCAGGCGCAGCTGGCCGTGCGGCCCGCAGTGGTTTTCCAGCGACAGCAGGATGGGCGACGCCGGATCGCCAGGCAGGCCCGCGGTGAAGCTGCCCGCCGCCACCTCGCGGTCGTAGACGCTGCGGATCGTCTCGCAGACGGCGCGGAACGGGATGTGCGACACCAGCGTGAAGCCGTGCGTGACCTTTGGCTCGTCGGCGTCGTCGGTGTTGTCCCAGGCGTCGATTTCCACGCAGCGCGAGCCCGTCGTCAGCGCCGTCTCGTACGCCGACGGCGACGACTTGCCGTACAGCTGGTTGGCCAGCAGGTACGTGTTGTGGCTGGAGCTGACAAAGTATTCGGGCAGAGGGTGCGCCGGGTCGATGAGCGACGGCGGCGCCTCGAAGCTGCGGCGGGCCAGCAGCTCGCGCAGGGCCGGCGTCAGTGTCTTGTCGTCGAGCCCGGCGTCGCGCTCCGAGAGGACCTTGTGCTCGTGGAGGTACGCCCGAAGCGCGCGGCTGACTCTGAGCTGGTCCTTGGCCGTGTCGGATCTGCGCGAGTTGGTGCCGGCGGCCGGCGCCATGACATCGCCTTTGTCGTCATCGTCGACTTTGGGCGCTGAGCTGAAGGGGTTGAGGCCGGCCAGGCGGGCTGTGATGTCGGCCATGGCTGTCTTTCTTATATGAGTTTGTGGGTGAATCCTTGTTACACAGAAAGTGGGATGAGCCGCTGCTTAGGTGTAACGCGGCTGGAGCTACCAAGCTATGCTGTGAGACCTGAAGCTCGAATAACTGGAAGTGTTTTATATATATTGCACCTTTGAACTCTGAAGAGGTGAGCAATGGCAGAATAACACTGATAGATTCAACACACCTCTGAGAATTATGTGCTCAAGAGTGAGTTGAGATGAGCATCCGGTGTTACATCAGGTCAGGAGTTGATGGCTGAGTCTGAGCTCGATGGCGGGGTAAGTGATCCTAGCAAAGCCACACTCATCATCAGACCAGCGCCTTCATTATGCGCCGCTTGGCTATGGCTTTTTTTCTAGACCGACAGAAAGGTATTTTTATCTGAATTGAAGCTGGTATATTATAGTTTAGATCGATATATATAGAGTTGAGTGTATAGACAAAGAGATGCGAAAGACCTTCGCTGACAGAAAGGCTCGGCGTAGGGTAACCCGACAATAGACGCTGGCTTACGCCCGGATTCTTGCGACGACAAAGAAAATGGTATAACGGAATGGTATAATGAAAATCAGAAACGAGGGAAAGAAAAAAAGGAAAAGGAAAAAAACCACTTCTAAAATCTGTAAAGAACCCAGTTCTCCTCTCCAACAAAGTCTAGTGCGCCTCCTCCTTCCCCCATGGTGCATATAATCGGCATGGTAAAGTCCTTCTGGCCCAGCCATACCCAGTATCCGTCTCGCTCTTTGGATCCCTGCAGCGGTCGCCAATGTCTTTCGCTCTGCCTGAGGTGAGCTTGCTCTACTCGGTCATTGTTTTTGAGAGCTCGGTCTCGCTGATGCATGTACAGAGAGCTGGGGATGCCGAGCGAAAAGTCGTGTACGCGGGGGGCCAGCTCCAACACAAACTTGTCCACCGGCTGTAAGATTTCATCGGCTCTGTCGATATTAGTGTCCCAAGTTGTTCTACCGTCGACAGTTTTGGTTGGGAACAGTCGTCCTTGCAGTGATATATGCAGCTTTTTCACAGCGGGAAACGTCGTTGAGATGGCGTTGAGAAATGCGTGGAAGCTTGCCATGTCTGATAAAGGCGGCTTGACGACTTGCGGATGGATGCTGGGAAACGGCGCAAAGTCCCACAGGAGCTCTACGGATGTGATGCTGGATAACCGTTGAGGGAGGAGAATGGAGTTGAGGCTGAGGATCATTTCCTTGCTGGCTGTGTGGAACGTGTTGGTGGAGTACAGGATGTCGATGCCCTCGATATATCTAGATAACTCATCAGAATCCGGATACGGCGACAAGTGATACATAACCAACTTACGCTTGGCGACAGCTACGCAGCCACCCCATTGCGCCTATAAGACACTTTGTCGGGAACTCGCCGGGCCAGGTCAAACAGATTCGCTGCCATTCCGTCTGGCCAAATCGACAGTAGTCCTCGGCAGGCTGGATTCGCATAGTAGGAGGACAGCCTGGGCTATTCCGGTGACAGACAGAGCTTCTCCATGCCCACTCTTTCGGCCGCGAGTCGTCCAGTTTGAGGTTTTGGCTCTCGGCGGAGCAACCTTGACCGAGGAGAACCATATTGCCATGAGGCGGGACTCGATATAAGCCGTCGTGATCTTTGAAGGCATCTTCTTCTGGGGGCACCAATGGGTGGTCGTAAACAAGATCCATGTGGACGGTTTGGCCTCCAAACGCCTCGATGAGGATCTTGCGACGAATCTCCAGCGGCAGCTTGGTGAAGAAGCTGCTATTTGCGGTGGCAACATTCGGAGCAGCGACGAGGTCTTCACATGATGGCGTCGGCGTGAGGCGAGCTCGGCGCTGCGAGGGCAGCCTTGGGTGCGGTGGAACGGGTAGAGCCTCGTCCAGTTTTACTGCTGACGATGCCGATGCCGATGGCGCTCGCTGCTTGCGATTCCTCCTTGCGACGCGCCGCCGCCGGAACCAAGTTATGATGGCGTTGGTCATGATGAATCTGAATCTGAATCTGAATCTGGCAGATCGATCACCATCGCTTTTACCGCGATTGGGCGGGAGTGACGATCTGATCTGGGCGATTTCGATGACGGAAGGCAAAAGAGGACGCAGAACGGGCGCTTATGCTTGAAGCGGCAGACGTTTTGCGCTACATGCCATGAGGAAATTTAGAATTTAGGCTCCCCTGCATGATGCGCAGTTCATGCAATTCGCCTCTGGAGGGCGGCGTCACATGTTTTGTTGTTCAGCTCGCACTCGCTTGCAGGGATTGAGTTGGGGATTGCCTTTTTTATGCATAGCGGTTTGGCTTTTGTTGATGTGCTGAGACTTACCATTTTCTTCTTCTTGTGATTCGATTTTTTTTTTTTTTTTTAAATTGTCTTGTTCTTTGTGAGCAATCTCTGCTTTTTCTATTTTTGGTTTTGCACTTCACTTCAACAGCAAGTTCTACGTTGTTGACATCAATGCTACTACTCTTCTTGTTTACTCTCATCAGGTACCAACAACTTACAGCAGCTTGGAACCCAACCTAAATTACTGTGGAGCACGCCAAATCTGGACAAATCATCGCTGCCTCGTATCCCAGGCGCCAATCAGACCCACTCTCAACGACCCGCTGCCTATTTTAGAAAAATTTCAACTTTTTTTTTTGTGTTTCTCTTTTTCCTCTTTTTCTTCTCCATGAACAACGCAAATATCACGTTCGGGTTCTTCCACACTTGAAAAAACGAGTACCTGGTACGAGGTTACGTCTTCGGGCGTGGGCTCACGACTGCCGGGGACCTGAGGAACGAAAACGGAGAAGAAAGCGAGCAATCTTGGGTGCGGTGCTTTCCTGGCTCAGGCCACATGGAGGGGACCGCAATGATTGAGCGTACATACCTATGCCTTAAATCGCTAGTGATTCCGATGCCTTTTGATGCTGTAGATGTAGGCTGATGTATCTCGTAAAACGTCAGGACGTCAGGATCTCTCTGGCTTGGGATATTTGACTGGCTGCTGATGGCATTTGGCTGTGGGCTGGTAGCCATGTCTTTGGCTTAGTCACAATCCTGACAAAGGGCAATCGTTTGTCTGCTGTCATTTATAGCCCATGAATTTGGTCAATGAGATATACGAGTCGAAAATTTCCGACGCTGGTATTTAATTGCTAGTGCTCGTCGACCAAGCGGCCATGTTTGTCTCGATATATCCTGCCGATGTTCACCCACAAAGTGCGTGGCTATTTGTCATGATTCATCTTGCACGAAACATCCGTCACAGCTCTGCGCATGGAAACGTCTTGCCAAAACAAGATTGAGATGTTTTGCAACGTACTATATTCTTGGAACTATACTAAATACAAAAAGACATCCATGACTATCCCTTTCTTGCCATGCCGGCATAGTCTGATGACTCGGGCTCTGTTCACCCGGTGGAAAATAGCGGAAAAGTTTTACTGAGAAAATCCGCCTGGTTATATGAACGAACCCAGAATATCCAAGTAGACATTAGGAGAGAAAGAAGTGAAGGAATGCATGGCTCATGAAGCGTGACCGGCGTTGCGTTGATCTTTACTGATTTGTGTTTCTGTGGATGATGAATATTAGCAACTGTTGCGTCCAAGCAATGACATGGCAAAGGCTGGCAAGAAGGACTAACATATTTAGAGTCATCGTTTACTCCAGAGACTCGATGAGGCTGCGGGCCTGGTCTTGGATAAACTCAATGTTGCGCTTGGCCTTCCAGCAAGACTCGCCCACTCGCCAGCACCAGCGCTTGGCAGGAGACTCTTCATTGTCGACGCTTCGCTTGACATCACCCTCGACAGTGGCATCAAGAACAGCCATGGCGACACGCTTGGCCTTCCAGCAGGACTCGCCGACACGCCAGCACCAGCGCTTGTCCTCCTGAATCTCATCAGTTCGCTTGGCCTTCCAGCAAGACTCGCCGACTCTCCAGCACCAGCGCTTCTCCTCCTGGAGGTCGCGCTTGGCGGGCTCAGTGTGGTTGCCGAAGAAGGTGGAAGGGTCCTCAGAAGCCTGGGCGACAAGGATTGCGAGGTTCTCGAGACCGCCAATGGCCTTGTAGGCAAGCTCGTTGGGGATGCCGTTGGGTGCGTCGCTGCGAGCCTCGATGCCATCGACTGAGCGGACGGCAAGGGTAAAGGCCTCGTTGGCGCGCTTGGCCTTCCAACAAGACTCGCCGACGCGCCAGCACCAGGGCTCGGGGTTGGGGGCAGCCATGGCCGCGGTAGCGAAGAGGGTGATGGCGGTGAGGAACTTCATTGTGGATGAAAAGATGATTGAATCAAACTGCTGTTGAGACTGTGAAGAAGTGATGCGATGAAGATGGAAGACAGGGAAGACAAGGATGGGAATATGGGAAGACTATATGGGTTGGCGATCTTTGCCTTGGCGGTGAAGATGTTTCCATCCTTTGCATACACATGGTTGAAGCTCAAGTGGTGAATCCACTCTTTTTCGTTATTGAGCACTGTTATTGACTATGTTTGTCAATAAGCCTCCATATCGCTTTGCATTCAGACTACCTCTACAGAAAAGCACGCGGGACTGGCTACGACTGGTAAACGTTTAGCTGGGCTTTTTCTTGACTGTTGGTGGAAGGCACCGGCCATTGAGCAGTGGCAAAGACCGTGCTGGTCGAACTTTGCTGAAAAGGAAGCCTTTACTGTATTTGTTGTCGAAGACGGAGGCCAAGACATGAAACGATCTGAAGCAATAGCGTACGGTGGGCCATGAAGAGACGGATAGCTGCGGCTGAGGTTTGCTAGTAAATACGAGAGGAATTTACTAGAAGTACATACCATCCGGAGCTGTATCATTCACTTTCGTCTGGAAAGCTCATGATTCTGCACTCCTCGAAGATTTTGATCCATACAGCCTCGCTTCTGCGAGGAGGATAATGATCCGTAGCCTACCGAAGCGAGAACAAAAATTTATTCTGACACGGGACGAAAAAGCGTACTACTTATTTCATCTGAAGACGCTTTCCAGAGATGGGATTAGTCGTCAGCAAAGGCTCATTATTTGCCAAGTGGTGGCCGATGCTTTATTTGCGCAGGGACAATTGAGCTTTATTGAAGGCCCGTCTGTCGTCTTATTGATACCCCGATCGGGCAATTCGCTGTGTTGGACAAAAAGCCACCGGCCGGCCGGACCCACTTTACACACCGCAAACGTGAGCGGCATCTGATGAGAATTGCATGGACATGTGGACGTACGGTATACTGTCAAAGGCGAAATGGGTGTCCCTCTTTCTGTCAAATAACTTTATAAGGGCCTAGTAGGGCTACAATATGGCGCATGTGGCTAGTGCAGGAGACACTGCTACTGCCCAGGTATTAAATGATGCGACAGGTACCCGAACTGCGACATTTTTACCCGCTGCTGGAGCCGGAGTATGTGGCATCACCTGTACGTACATGTACATAGCATGGGATTTGGATTATGTATGCACTTAACGTCTACTGTACATGCTGTTGGATATTGTGTGTGCTATCTCCGACCTGATTCTCTTCTGGCTGCCCTTATAGACGATCTCGTATATCTATGCCGGTTAGTTGAATTGAAAGTTTTTCGAACTGGCCTAAGGCTGGTTGGGCGTACACAAACAATAAGCTAGCCATAGCAAATGCTGCCATTGGCGCCATGAATTTCTGTAGACTGTAAGAATATGCGCATGTTTGTCTTTTTGGAGTTTTAAATTTGACTTACTCGAGGGTCCATGCCTCGGATTTGGGTATCTGCGTGTTTTGGGTGACAACGGAAAATGATTATGGGCTGTTTTTGCTGGTTTAAATTAGTTAATTGCGTGCACATATGTCTGCGCATTGCAATACTAAGTTTTTGGAAAAAAAACTATATTTTTAGTATAAAACCCTTATTTACCTTTATAGGCAATTTAATATTATTAGTTTTATTAGACTTACTAAAGCTAAACATAATACTTTCTTTATATTTTTATTTACTTCGTAATTAAACTAAAGGCTAAGTATAAGTTTTTTATATTAGCTTTTATAAGTCTATTAAAGCTACAGTAGAAGGCGTAATGGGTGTCGCGGTGTCGGTACATAAGATAAATAAGGATACCCACATTGAGTCTGAAAGTAGTTTAGCGCCCAAACCCCTTTGTACCTCCAAGTCGTTACCAGAGGAC